AGATTTGCCGTCGAGTTGCCTACATTAGGCGTAGATTTGCCGTCGAGGTTGCCTACATTAGGCGTAGATTTGCCGTCGAAGTTGCCTACATTAGGCGTAGATTTGCCGTCGAGGTTGCTTATACATTAGGCGTAGATTTGCCGTCGAGGTTGCCTACATTAGGCGTAGATTTGCCGTCGAAGTTGCCTACATTAGGCGTAGATTTGCCGTCGAGGTTGCCTACATTAGGCGTAGATTTGCCGTCAAAGTGGGCCTACATTTGGCGTAGATCTGCCGTCGAGATTGCCTACTTTAGGCGTAGATTGCCGTCGATTTGGTTTGTCGGTAATAGCTCAACACAGCCCATCAACCTGAAATAAGATTAAAGAAATAAGCAAACTACATTTTTTATTGAGAAGAAACACGCGTAAAATCGGGATTGTAAACAGACCCAAAACAACATCGATAAAACCCTTTGGGATTTCAAGTATTTCCTTGCCATTATTCATATTCAATTATCATGCGGCCGTTGTCCGGCGTTCTTGACCTGAATCATGCATAAACTCCCCATTGTTCGGTTTATCTAAAAATGTTCATGCAATTGCTTAATACTCACGTTTTATTATGAACAGGTTTTGTCGTTGTTTCAAATGACTTGACCCGCTAAATCGCTACCTGCAATAAAGCCAAAAGAATGCTTGTTATAGACAGCGATTTCAAGGATTTACCTTCGATGAAGGGAGCTTAAATACCGGGAGAAAACTTGCGGTGATTATTCAGTTGAGAGAACGCATGATGCCTGATCAAGCGTTTCACGTTTTCCCATCCTATTTTGAATAAAATAGACCCAAAATTACCTGTATATTTCAGCAACTTTGAAGAGCAGCTTTGGACTTGCCGTCTCTTTAAATGCGAGTCATCTCGGGGAATTTCAGCAATGGGTTTTCTTTCCCAGCTCATTTCTATATTCGGTTTGGTTTTAACTTTTAAACTCCACCTGGAAGAACAAAAGGCAATGTTAGTTTACTGGTTTGGTCTTTAGAACTCAATTCAAAGGTAATTGCTTGCGATTGGAGCGGCTCTCACAAGATTTAGCGTATATTACCTTTCTCATATCATCAACAAGTCCCAAGAAAAGGCGTAGACGTGCTTTCTCTTCAAAGGCGAATTATCTTGTGTCAAATGCGAGTCGTCTTGGGCAATTTCAGCTACAGTAAAGGACTTCTTGCCCACTTCACTTCATTCAGTTTGGTTTTAAGCTCTCAAACTCCACCTGGAAGAATAAAAGGCACCATTAGTTCACCGCTGAGGTCTTTAGAACTCAATTCAAACGTAATTTGCGTGAGGTTAGAGGGAAGGTTAGCGGCTCAACGGTAAGATTTACGTATATTACCTTTCTCATATCATCAATAAGTCCCCAGAAAAAGCCTAGACTTGCATTCTCTTCAAAGGCGAGTTATCTTGAGCCAGTTCAGCCGCCATTTATCGGTAGTCAATCTCTTGTTTACAAATTTTATCGTTTAACTTCGCTTTAATTCGTCAAAATTCTGCATGAAAAGAATATAAAGCAACTTAGTTATTCAAGTTTGTATTTGAAGCTGAACACAACAAGAACACTACGAGAGAGGCATTACAAGAAATGGACTAAAGACACGTGGAACCTCGGCCCAAAAGCTCACGATGAAACAAGCTGATAAAACACGCGGCAAAGGGAAAGGCATATTACCTGGTATAACACCAACGACAGTCTGTCAGAGATAGTAAACTTCTATTAAACTTCTCTTCTGCTGAAGAAGATAGCAATCTGATAGAAATTTCTGTTGAAATTTTCTTGGCATGGAGGAGACTCATCTTTATTCTTCGAAGACCAGCGCTGAAGTGATGTCTCAAAATGGAATCAAAAGCACATATTCATTTCACCCGCTCCTCGTGTCTGCGAAATAAACTCATCCTATTGGATGAATACTCCCGGCCTGACAGCTCAACAACGCTTCTGATTGGACGTTCATAGTAATTTAAATAATATGATTAATTCTCTTCTCCTGAGCCTGGACATCAGAAATGAAAGGAGAGAATTACCGTAAATGATCGATTAAGCGCCGCTACTCGAATAAGCGCCGCTCTCGAATAAGCGCCGCGCCTTAATAAAAAAAATTAATAATCGCCGTTGTTGAATAAGCGCCGCGGCGCCTATTTAGGAAGATATAAATCAACGCTAAAAAATGTAGAAATAAACGATTCTTTATTTAAACGCGTTAATCCTAACATTTAAACTATTGAGAACGACGGCCAGTATTGAAGCTTTAAAGTTTTATTGTCGAATATCTCTTCCAACCGAGCTCATATGACAGTTCTGATAGTTTAAAATTTTCCTTCTTCCTAATTAACTCCGTGTCTAACACTTGGGCATGTCGTCGATTCGCCGTACATGCTGTGAACTTAGCGGGAATCACCAGCCCAACTTTCTTTTTCCTGTAACCTCTACCAAAAGTTTATTCGATTCATCGGCCTTCAGAAAATAATCTATTTACTCACTTTGAAATAATCGCTTAATCGGTTATTTACGGTAATCATATTACTCAAATTACAAGCTCGTCCAATCAGAAGCAATGTTGAGCTGTCAGGTCAGGAGGAGTAAATAATGCACTCAGCATAAAGGCATGGTTTTGAACTCGACCAATATAAAAACGAAACCGGGACACAATTTACAGAAATATTTTATTATATAAATTCCACACAAAATATCAGTCGCTAATAGTTATACCAAATATAGCGTCATATTTGACGATGTCATCTTTTATATTTTGGCTGAACGTTCTTCTCGTTCACGTGACTGTTAGCTGCATCCCGAGGGGAGGGGGGAGGTGGGTTTATGTTCACAGACGCAGACGATAGTTGACGCAAAGGGTGAGGTTCTGAAACGTGATGCGCTTCTTGCATCGCCGAAACTGTTCCCCTTTCGCTCGCCCTTTCCTCTGTATCTCTTGCTATTCCAAAAACGGACTAAAAAGAATATTTGTTTGATAAAGTTAAAATGTAATCTCAGTGCATCATGCACTGGTTCTAGAAGAAAGCACCTTCACAGTAAGTGCAGGAGGTAAGGTAAAGATTTTATAAGCTCGCATCATTTTGTCGCTAAGGAATCTCCAGCATCACTTCATAGCCATTGCATGGGATTGTCTCTTCGTTCTCATTGATTTAACTATCTCGTCTTAATCTTGAGAACTAGGCTATTAGCCAAATGATACGGTGAGGTGGTGATTAAGAAAACATCTTGAAGTCTTGAAGAACACTTATTCCACGTTAAAAGTCACGTATCTGGAGAATGTGGTCGTTCTTTTATAAGCACCAGGATGAGGAAGGTTTGTATTGCATTTCCATTTGGCTGTATCACGTCTTTCAAAATCAGTGAAGTGCTCATCAACTACTCGTCAACTTAGCGCCAATAAATATTATGTATTTCTTTAGTTTTAGGAGTCAGATGATAAAAAGTGTGATTATAAAGTCTAGATTAAGAGAATAAAGTGGATTTCTAGCACTTTTCATAAAAATTCAAGATGGCGGTTTTTAAGCAGATATGCATGGTATAATTATGTAATTGTTTGTCAAACAACTGTCTGATTCACAGCAAATTCTTCAGAAATGCAACCTACAATTTCAACAATGATATAACTAATTAAAAGAATTTGATTCATGTGATTCATTGCGCTTTAACGACACTAAAAATGATACAGTCCTCTGAACTTTGGATGTTTGTGTGGTAATGAAAATGTACTCAAAACCCATGCACATGTAACAAAGAGTTATACTTACAAATCCTGCGATATATCTACAATTTATTACCTTTTAAACCGCCCATACACATTTGGATTCAAATGCTGTGTCCTTACAAGCTGACTGTGTTTGGAGAACATTTATTTCTTTTATCGACCGTTCATATTCCTGGCGACTTCATCGGAAGACAATCTACTGTTTACATTAACGCATCAAGAAAGATTATGAGTTTCTCCTAATTTTTAAAGGATGACAAGTGTGAAAGAGATATTATCATAAATAGATGCCTATGAGTATGAATATGAGTGTCTTTAATCCCTTCGTTCACCGTTCTTAAGTGAGTTAAGGGACCAAGGCAAGACTGTTGAAGTCCACCATTTTTGCTTGCTGTCTCTTAAGCTGTAACGGCGTAGATATAGAGACGCTTTTCTTTGCTGCATACATGCACTCTATTTCCTTGTATTCATGTGCAACATGCACAAGAATATTTCGCTTTCGCATCAAGAAAATAAAAAGAAATCTCGGAGCCCATGCAGGTTGTTGGCGTAGCAGGGCAAGAAATTAAAAACACAAAAGTATGCACGAAAAATGAAAAAAATTGAAAATTGCCAAGTAATGTTCTCTTTTCTTTTTATTACTAGTTTATATAGGACATGCTTAATGCCTGCAATTATATATAGGCTGGTGCCCTAAAACTAAAAACGTCGTAGCTTGCAGTCACACTTACAGGGTGGTCCTACAATGACATTTATTAAACTAGCTGATATTTTTCAGGAATAAGAAAAAAACTGAGCAGAACTACTTGTTGAAAAGGTAGCTGAATATTATTTTAAATATAATGTCGGTTGATGTAGGATGGATGTAAATGTAAGATATTTTTTCAGTAATGCAGTTGTCATCAAGAACGTGAAATCATGGCAGTTATATATAGCACGATAGCACGACGATGTCCGCAATGCCAATGTGCTTCGAAGGATACATGGGTTACATGGGTGTCTTTCATCCCTTGCAACTATTAACTACCACAATTCCCCCTTATAAGTAATTTGCTGAACTGGCCATATGGTTTTTTTCAAGGTTTTTATTTGTTTCTGAGGCCTGTCACGCACGCATATGAGCAGATTTTCAAAGGCTGCATGCTTCGTCCGGCAAAGCGACGTAATGAAAACGTATAAACAGTTAAGGTCGACACATACAACGCGACGCGAATTTTGAGTTTTCAGAAGCATATAAATTAAATTCTGGAAGCAAAAATTTGAATCTATTGACGCCAGAGCAGTCGAAATGTATCATTGTTATGTAATATACAAGAATATTATGATAGGTTAAAATTTATTTAATTTTGAAAAATAAAAGACGTTAAAATTCGCATCGCGTTGCCAATTCGCGTCCTGGCTGTGTGGGCCTTTATGTTCTTTAACAAATATAATTCTCGCGTGCATTAAATGATTTCATGCAATCGATAATATAACAAAAATTGGACAAGATTGTATTCTTGTTATTCAGGAAAGTTTACTCTTAAATGTGCATTATTTGCTTCGGGTGGACAGGTTTTGATAAAGTAGGATAAAATCGATTTTTGGAAAGAAATATGTTGTTCCAACAAGGGCGCGACGGAATCTGATGCTTTGATGGTATTTCAGTTACTGATCATCTTCCAAGATAAAAGAATGCTGATGTAAAAGTGCATGGTTGTCAATTGGCAAATTATAGCATATAAATAGTTGTTAGTTTATTACTGTTAAAAAGCTACGTAAGCTGTAAAGATAAAATTTTCAGACCACTTCTGGTAATTTAATCAATTTTTTGTCGATGAAAAATGAAAATCTGGTGAAATTAAGTGCACGCGAAATTAGGTAGGAATAAGTTAGTTAAGTTAGAAAAACCTTCCATTCATTTCATTCTAAATTCCAGTAATTATATGGTACTCTGAGGTAAGAAATAGCTTTACGATTCTGATTGCTCCTTTCCAGCTATTTAACTTACAACCGTAATTGTCAAACAGAGTTCTTGAACTCTCCGCAGCCTTCATATCGACGTTTGGTGGAAAGTGACTCGACGGTATATTTTCAATATTGACATTCACTTTTCTAACAAACCGATTCATACCCGAGCATACTGCGTCAATGATGAGCGGTCGAAACAACACGTAGTCTTCTTGAACCCAAAGACAGGGTGGCGTTTTTGCAGGTTGTTTAAGATCTAAAATGCATAGAATTGTACGAATAAAAAATAAGAATATCAGATAATGACAGCGTAGGGAGGAGCGATGATGACGTAATGATTCGTGTTTTTCCTATATCGAGCTCTTGCAATGATGAGTGGAATGACTCTTTTATAAAGGGCTTTAATTTGTCACCGTTAAAAATTTCTATCGAACGCATAAAACTGGGGCGTAGCCAACCTTAGGCAAGAGGGGGCAGGTTGCCCCCCCCCAATCAGCTGGAGGAGTTAAGTTGGTTAGAATTTGCTAGGGGTTATCTCATGGTAAAGAAGACCAGTTACGAACCTCTGATCTTGCCCAAATCTCCAGCATGGGGAACCGCCTATTTATATTTCAGAATTTTAGAGGGCCTAGAATTCTAAATTTCGCGGTTGGGATGGTGGGGATGACGCCCAACACCCCTTAAACGCGCTTGCCCCCCAGGACCCCGACTACGCCTCTGCATAAATGGTTCACAGATCTTTTTTGTTTCTAAAATCAGGAGTGTCATTATAGGTTTGCAATCACGAAAGTAACACATGCATGCACATATAAAACGCCCAGGCTTCACCTCTGATAGATTTCAAGTGTTTCATACAACGTTCCTCAATATTTCCACCACCAGGCAATACACACTGATCTTCGAACGTATTGTACAAACGATGAGCACAATTCCAAAACCTCTGTTCACTGTCGTTAACTAAATCTTGAACTGGACCACATAATAGCACCGAATATACAGCAGAGTGAGCAGACGTGAAAGTTTCCTGAACAGACCATAGACAGACCTGACCAAACACAGGTGTTTGAACTGCACAACCGTTTGCTGGCTGTTCAGTTCTAACGTCAGCACAAATTTTAATCACAACCTGTTTTGCAAAATCATGTTCGCTGAAATCCAAGATGTAAGAAAAAATCGGCGTCTCTGTCATTTTGGAAAGAACATTAAGCTGACAATCGCTCAAATTTTCAAGTATAATCACACCTAAAGTCTGCAAATTAGCGCGCAATCCTTTATCCATTTGACCGTGTAAAGCAATCACACCCAAATTCGAACGTTTTATAAATGACATAACTTCAACTAACCATTCGTTTTCGGCATTCAAACTTAGGTCGTAGAAATCATCTTTGTTCAAAGTACGAGTTACTCGAACGGATTCTTTAAAACCAGTGTGTCGGTAATTGTAGCTGATGTCACCTTTAACCAAAGCAATCAGTCTTCGGGTATTTGGATCGCATGCTATGATAGAATGGTTTTCTTTGGATAGTTCAACGACTGTACCTTCTAAAACACAAGACTTTTCTACAACTGGCCCCATAACTGTCTGGACACAAATACTGTCCAACAAAAACGAGAATTGATCATAGAGCTTCCCTGATGAACTATACTGCTTTTTAAGAATCTCCAGCGCCAACGACATTTCATGCTCTTTTCCATGGGCTAAGCCATGTCCCAAGATATCCAACCAGTTTTTGTCATTTCGGCCTGTATCTGGATCAAAACTTTTAGGCCCTTTAATGGTCGAAGAACTTTGTTTATATTCATAACTTTCCTTAAATACCGCTGAATTGCTACGAGTTTCACCTAAGGTTGTGTTTACATTAACGCACTTTCTATCATTTTCTATAATTTGTGAATGTACTGTAGTTGATTGAAGCAATGACACATCCGTGAGATTGCGAGTTCTAAGAAATACATCCCTTACATTCGTCTTCTTATGAATCTTTTTAGCCACATTTGTCTCATGTTTAGTATTTTTATGTGGGGACGGTTTCCCATAAATATCTGGCAGTTTAAAGAAAGACCCACAAATTTCGTTCAAGTTCTTTTCAAATTTCTCTTCAATCGGAAAGTCACTTGGGTTTTCTTTTATTTCACCAGCATTACAATTACTTGTATCTTTGTTGACAGACAGACCTTCAAAACAAGCATCAAATTCATCCGGAATACTACTTTCTTCGACCTCTTTAGATTTACAAGACGACCGGTTAGGACGCACTGCCGAGAAGCAAGATTTCATCGAATTTTCCGTAATAGTATATAAGTTTTTAGAACAACTCGTAAACCTTTCGCAATGATTCAGAGTATTGGCTTCAACACGATTGTTGCTAGTGTTATTAGGCAGCTGTGAGGGCCGATTCAACGGGGATCGAGGTAAAATAATATTATTCATCTCATGGTGGAAAATTGGACGATCTAATTCAACATCTTGAATATTTCTTAGGGAAATACGTGATCGTTTCAGAACATTTTCCATCTCTTCCGAAATTTCATCCAACGTATTCACTATGACTGTAGTAGGAACACCCTATAACACATAACTGGTTATCCTTTTTTTGTAATGAAAATAATTTCAACGGATAGTAGCTAGTTCCTTCCAAGAAAGTGGTTTCTTTTCTAACTTGCAAAAAAAGTTGCATACATGTAATTTATGATTATTTAAAATATTTTGGTGGGATTTACCCAGCTTCCTACTGATAAATGCTTGCATCCAACGAAATAAATTTGTGAAACTTTAAGAAAATGTTTTATTCTTTTTTTGTCTTTTTTGTATACTCATTGCTATATTTTTGGTGAAAAAAGAATTTCAGAATACCAGTATATGAATACTTCTATCATGAAGAAACTATTTACTCAAGTGTTCTTTCATTAAAATGTGGATAAAATAAAGAATTATCATCCAGAACTAACAACGTTTGACTATATAAGTTCATGACACAGCATATAAGTTGAATTGCTAAACATCACCTGTATTGAAAGATCAGAATGTAGAACATCAATATAAAAGGATCCCAATTATTCAACCTAAGGTTTTAATATATGAAAAAGACATGCATGATATAAAAATATATATTCCTACAAACCATGTCTACAAGATCTTGGAAGGCACTAGCCCAGTATCCAATCAAACAAACAAGTGTTGTAGATCCACATCCATACTCTTCGTGGAAACTCTTACAAGTGCTGTTGATAATATAACCAGCAGAATGCTATATCAATTGTGTAAAATAATCATTCAGTGGCATGATAGACTTTCCTTTGAAAAAATTGTCTTTTACCTCAATATCAATGGTTTCAAGAATTTTTGGTGTACTGCCTGTTAATACTGTTGATCCAGATAACTCACAACACTTCAAGCTAAGAGAAATTTAAGGTTGAAAACTATTTGTACCATACAATCTTTGATCATGTGTAAGTATATATAGTTGTAAAAGAAGCACGATGGACCTATGCTGCAATTTCCTATCGTGAAAACCTTTACTCACTAAGAAATGTTGTATATTATGGCTGAGGTCTCAAAATCAGAATTTTAGGATAAGATTATAAATATAGCATGTCTTAAATATCTGTATACCAAACAATAGCTATCAAGCAAAACAACATTTCTTCAGTGTTCAAGTAAATGTTCAGGAAATTCATTTTTTATTTTGCTTGTTGATCTTTGAATAGATTGAGTCAAAGTGCTGCTTTCCAACTACACAAGGCAATAAAGTTATTTTTCAACAAATATGGCAAGATTTCACAATTTTTTTACACAATTTGAATGTCAACCAAGTGCCCACCTTTCTCCATTTCCAATTAATGTCTCTAATAATGATGCTATGGGAAAAGAAAATGCATGTCTCACTCTGTAAAAAATGATAGGCAAGGTATATTTCATGCTTTCATTATATAGGATATGTTGTGCAGTATTAATGAAATAAATGTATTCCTCTTGAATCTAATGTATTCTACCATCTGACATATATCAGATTTTTCATTTATAAATGCAAGTCTGCAAGGGTTATCATCATTCTCAACTAGAACGATGCAGTGGCATCATCATTGCAACTTCATACTGTGTCCAACGTTAAAGCACTTTGAAATTCATGTAAATTCTATTTTTTAAGGCAACCAATCTTTAAATGGAGATAGATAAAAATAACAACCCAATTTATACTTACAGTTGATTTCATAAAACTTTGGCCGCTCCAGTTGCAAACTATGTTTTGAAACTGTCAAGTGGGCGGGGAAGTTGTCAATTCCGTTTTGTAATTCGCAACGAAGTTCCGAAGCTCAAATCGAACTTCGGAATTTCAAATCGAACTTTGCGGGCAATTTGACTAAATCGCTATAAAATGGCCACTATAAATCACCAGGGCAAAGCAATTTCAATGCAGTAAAGAAATATATTGTAATTGCATTGCCCTGGTATTTTCTAGTAGCCATTTTATAAAGACTGAGCCAAATTGCCCGCAAAGTTCAATTTGAAATTCCAGAGTTCGATTTGAACTTCGGAACTTCGTTGCGAATTACAAAACGGAATTGACAACTTTCCTGCCCACTTGACAGTTTCAAAACATAGTTCGCAACTGGAGTGGCCAAAGTTTTATGAAATCAACTGTAATTAATAATAAGTAATCAATTCAGGTTTGAATTACTCAGGCAGGTGTATATATATATATATATATATTGGAATATATATATATATATATATATATATATATTGGAATATATATATATATATAATATATATATATATCCATATATATATTATATATATATATATATATATATATATATATATATATATATATATTGGATTAGGAGTTAGGTGTAGCTGTAGCATCATTCAATGGCTTTCTTTCTATTAAAGCAAGTGAAAAAACCTAGGAAACCTAGTAGATCAATCCAAATTACCAAATAGAGATACGGGATATTGCGAGAGAAAAGGACAGCCTACAAAAACATGACGTCCCCCGTAAAATTTTCCCAATGCCAAATTGCATTTATATAAACTCATACCACAACTATTCCTTTGGTGCGAATAAACCCTTTGAGTGACGCTGAAAATAAATTATACCCAAGCAAATTATAGACAGTTAAAAAATGTCTATCGATAAATGCGATTTCGTTCCTCTTGAACATCTATATACATATAATGATTATAGCATGATGCATGTGCCTGTCAAAAATGGGCGAATATTTATTTCGCGGTAAAGAATAATAAAGCGAAAAGTAATAAAACAATACTAACCTATAGCCTTCGCTACCAAAATACATTCACTCCCATGTCGTTCGTTGACAGAAACGAACCGTTTTCTTAACATTTTATTAAAGATTTAATCCTTTGGATACAACCCATGAACCAGCTCTAGGTGTAGAAACAACAAAGCCATCTAGCAAACCGGGGGGGGGGGAACGTGTAATGCCAGTAATGGAAATGGAAATAAAAATGATACAGATGTTCGAAACCTATGAAACCAGTCAACCCACGCCGATCAGTCAGTGTAAGACAAACGTGCAGAGACGTCACGTGAAGTGTCTAGGTCATTCCTTAATACAATTCTATCAAGAAAAATGAACATATTGAACTTGTTTGGCCATGCTAATTAGGGAGACAAGCTCCACTAGGAGACTTGATTGCAAGAAGCAAATTCAAGCAGAAAATATGAGAATATACATTTCCTTTATGTAGGTCGACATAGCCTCATAAGAACAAGACCATTAGCTCAACTCAACAAGAGTGAAATAGTAGAAGTTCTATATTTGTCTCCCACTCTCATGAAGGGTAACTGTCAAAAAAAGAATTCAGAAATTGCAGTCTAACCAATTTTTTAGTACCACATGTTTTAGTGTGATTGTTTGATTGAATGAGAAATGATGGCCTAGAAAATTTCATTGGTATGAAAAACATAAATGATACAACCCATACAGAAGTATGAATACTATTTAATTAATGGGTATATTTAACAAACCCATGGGTATCTGGTTGGTTATTGATGAGATTAAAATAAAATATTTTTCCATAGAATAGATTGTAAAGGTATAAATATATGTGACTAACATTTTTGTTCCATGAAATAAATCTGCTCAGTCATACATATAATCTTATCATATTTTTAATCAGTTTTCAACAGATCCCAGGAGAATTCTCAGTGACAACCATGGGGGTGTCTCAATCATGTTTACTACTTTGCAAATAGTCTTCTGTAACTGCAATTAGTAATTCACCATCTTGCAACATAAAGCTTTCAACAAAGTTATGTAATGACATTACATGAAATTAATGAAAAATATGTCTGCTCATGCCATACCCTGCAGTTATATATAGTTTCTACACTCAGGGATGTTCAAAAGTTCAAAAATTCACTTCCAATTCTATGATCTATTTACAATTTATCATCAATACACTAACACTAATCTATGGTTCTCCCAGTGGAATTAAAAATGATATCATATCTCCAGTAGCCCCCCAACTTGCTCTGTTATTTTGATAGATACTAATCCAGACTGCCAAGCCAACAAACCACACAAGAAAGCCAACCAACGAACCAGTCAAATAAAATCTTATTTTCTTCTGTCCTTCAAAATGCTCAACGAAAAAAGCGTACTTGAGGAACCACACGACATTCACAAACCACAAAAAAGGTAGGAAAGCAAATCCCATCACGAAATAACGACGACATAGTTGCAGTTTGTCTTCATCAGGCACTTTTCGTAGATCCATATTTTGCGTCGAGTTCGTGGTTACTTGCTAATTCTTTAACAAAAATCACTCTGGATAATAAATAGTCGGTCTACTCAATCACATAGCCCTTTGAATGGCTTGAACGTAATTCTTTAGTACTTTTTTCAGTTTCTTTCTTAATTCTATAAAATGACACTTCTTTTCCAAAATTAAGTTTAACCAGAATTCCTTACAGCGAGGACAAAATTTCCTCAATTCAACAAACACCTATATGATCAGTCAGATCAGACTATCGAATTTATTGATTCATGTTCCTACCACGGTTTTATTCTAAAAGTTGGATGACGCTGGAAAAAATATGTAACTCAGGTTCTCAAACAAGACTTGAACGTTTAACCCGAGGCTATGCACTTCCTGGAACATGGATTTACGTTCAAACCACTGTAAACTTGTTTACAAAAAAGCTGCTCCAGGTCAGTGGGAGCCTGAGAGGAAACACATAATCTATTGTTTGCGTACTATGCATGTGAGTTCCTCTTTCAAGGAAAAACGCTATCGTTCGTGCAATTTCCTTTATTTATAAAAATTCCATTCGAGCTTCCTTTCGTTGTTGACGTCACTAGTCAACAAACGATGGCCGGCTATCATGTCGGACGAAGAGTCAAGAGGAATTTGAGATCCTATTTAATAGCTTTACCTTCAATGGTTGATAAAAGGTAGTATCTGAATGTGCTGTCAAGACCTTGAATATTTTCAAATAGTATGTACGATTTTTTTTCAGGCTCTTTTGTGCGTATACAGCGTATTTCATATGTCCATTCCATCAGAAAGCAATCAGAAGGTCTTTGAGTAATCAGAAGAATATTTTGTATGATTGCGGAACATATGAAGGTTCAAATAAAATGGCTGTTAAATTTCAGCCATCGAGGCGGCTGTTCCAAGTGCCAGGGATACTAAATTCAAGTAAACGAAAAGAATACTCAAACAGGAAATTAATAGGGTAATTAAACACTGTCTAAATTGAGCACCACTCTTCTCCCGCCTTGATAGTCCCACTGTCCCAAATGTACTAGCTAACTGTGTGCACTTCAATTAATTAATCATGTATAAACAGTTTGTACATCCTAAACCAAGTATGAACCTTTTAAGTTTGTTCCTCATGCTTATTCACTAGTCATTATTATGGCTACTAGCTAGTAAATTGCAATTAATGCCTTTTTGGCCACTCAGCACATTGACTTGGCCATACCCCTATGACTGTGAAGTGGCTAAATTGTATATTCCCTTTACTGGTGGAGAAGAAGGCATAGGAATTGTGATATTTTTAATGTACATCAATTTCTTCCCCTGGGTAACTTTATCCCTTTACCCTCTTCCATACATGTGTTTGTCAATAAAAAACGGGCTTAATTATTTCAGATTTTCAATGGAAAATTTGTACCATGTTGTGTCACACGTTGAAGATTATAAATATTTCGTACCATGGTGCAGGGACTCAACAGTCTTTGAAAGAGAAGGTGGACATGTGAAGTGCAAATTAGAAATTGGCTTTCCCCCTCTTGTAGAACGGTACATTTCAGTATTAACACTAGTACCACCTAACTTAGTTGTGGTAAGTTTATCAATGGTAAATAATAGAAATTTAACTTCAATCAACATTGTTGAGGGAGTTAAAACGTTTGACACCAGGGTGGTTTCTGGTATCAGATTACAAGCATATGCAAGAAAAATTGTTTCTGTTTAGTCAGAGTGTACCCAAGGCGAGCTCTTTAATTACATGAAGACTGTTTGGAGATTTAGTCCTGGTTTGAAAGGAGATTCACAAACAGCAATGATTGATTTGCATGTATGTTACCTACATTTTTGCCTTAACAGAGTACTTGTATTAGACCCTTATCTCTTGTTATTTTGTTTTGTTATGCAGGTCGCATTTGAATTTCGTTCTGTTTTACATTCCCATCTCTCGTCGGTGTTTTTTGATGAAGTGGTTAAGAAAATGGTCTATGCGTTTGAGAAACGTTGTGAGAAACTCTATGGACCAAGTAGTTTAACGAAATCACGAGGAAAGCGTACGCTTAGGTCAAAAGCAGTAAATACTATAGGTATAAAAAACCTGAGTCATAATTCTTTATTGGCGATTGGAACCATGTGGGATGAGCTTAGATATTACCATGCACCCAAAGTAGGGGGGGGCTTCCCAGCTCCAAGGAGGCACTTAGCTCTGCTGTGACACAAAATCCTCGAGGCTCGGACCAACAAGAAAGTTCCTGTAATTTGTCTGAGGCACTGGTTCACACGGTACCGGATTGCCATTGGGACAAGCCAAAGTTAGAAGTTGATAAAAGACAGTGAAAATTTCAGTTGAAAAGTCCTAGACTTGAATAAGTATACCAAATCTATCAAATTAAAAAGTATTTGCTGATAATCGCTGCCTCAAACCCCCGGCAAACGAATTCGGACGGTACCATGTTAACGAGTGTTCTCAACCAAAACAGTGTATTTGGTAAACACGATATTAAATTTAACAAAATTTGAATATGGGTTTTTTATGTAGAAGCTCCTCCGAGGTAACACGTGACAGTGACACAGTACTCCAGCTGACGATCTGATTTTCATCTATCCGCACACATCCCGGAGAGATCAAGAGATGAACCTAGCTTAACTTCAAGGTCATTTCACACCAATAGCCTTAGGGTTTACGATTATAGTCTGGATATGGAGGTATACTACTCAATGGACGGGGACAGAATATAAGTAATCAGAAGTTGGCAAAATAAATTACAGTATTGGATTAATTGAAACAATGCTATGTATTATAGCAATTAAAATTAAAATAATTTTTAACTGAACCAATATTTCACGTCGGTCCAAAACAGTTTCAAACACCGTCAATTTACAATAGAAGTTGAAGCTAATTTAACATATTAAGCATATTTCTCTCTGGATCATGTGGACAGGGCGTTTAAACAATAAAATAGACAAAAACGATCTTGAAAACGCTCGAAAAAGACGCTCGTGCACACATAGCCCATATGACCACGTCGGTATAATGATATTTTGTAATTTGAAACCAACCAAAACTATAGTCTAGTGCATTATTACTTTCTCGCGAAAGGCTATAAGCACAGTATGGGGAATATGTTCTTAAAGTGTGCTATAAGCTCTAAATTTTGTCATTGCCGATATTCCCTGCATTATAAACAGGAAGTAAGCTTTCCGTGGGTCCAATCTGATTGTTTTAGGAATATTTTTTTGTTTACCTGTTCTACTAATTAAGTCCAATTATCGGATCAAGTTACGCATTATAAATATTGATCTTGTGTTCCATATAAGCAATTTTAAAACAAAATTTCCTGACTCCCACAAGGCATAGAGTAGGACCACAAAGCATCTCTTATTTTGCAAATATTGAGTGAATGTGTGAAACTAACCTATGCGTATTCACGACCGTAATTAAGTACTATGTTAGCCTTATAGAAGTTTATAAGACGACGCACGCTTGAAGCCTAGCACTTTTTTCCAAGTTCATTTTTTTTACATTAAAAAATTGTTTACTATTGTCGTGACACCTTCCTCCCTTCTTTAACTAATGATTGATCCGACGTTGTGGCAGGCTAATGTTGTGACGACGTAGTTACTGAATTGTGTGCATTGAATAAAGCAAAAATTATTTAAACAAATCAGCAAAAATTAATTAAAGGCATCTATCTATTAATTAAATTTAGCTTTAACTTCTATGAATTAATTATTCGGTTCGAGGGCTGGATTAACCAAAACACTTTGGCGAAAACAAAACTCATTTCTATGCATTTATCCCCGTTGAAAATTAGCTAATATAAAGTGAGGTACCGAAAGCCAATCGGAATGTAATTGCAGTATTATTCGACTATTAAAAAACTTATTTCTACTAATCCCCTTGTTATTTACTGAAGCGAATAAAATCATGGCAACCAGCGTATATGGACTAACAGCGTCGTTTCATTTATCTAAAGGTTTTAAGCAAGCATCTCTCCTAAGTTCGCAGTGCCAGTGGTAAAAATACGCCGTCCTAATCATATCCCAGCATCCACACACATTACTTTAACTTGAAAGTTGATGCAGTACCCGGAAACAAAATTACAAATTAGATTTCGTTTATTTTAATCTTTGTAACATATTGCCACTATGGTATACTAACGTGAATTAAGAATATGAAATGTTAACTAACCTTACAAAAGGTTTCAAAAATAGATGGATCGATCCATCAAATGGAGCAATTATGTTATTCAAATTGGGTAAAACCAATTGACAATGTTAACAGCTAATGAATAAACGGGATCGAAACCTATCGGTGTATCATAATACCAAGTACAAAGACAAAATAAATATATATAATTTTCTCCTTATTATAAAAAGCATTAACTTCCACCAATCTAAATGTTTCCTGCTTAACTGGAAACAGGACCAGGTTAGTCAATTTGAAGATTCCCTTCTACTTCATGGAGGTTAATTCTTGCCATCAATAATTGTAATCAATTTAAAACATTGTAAATATTTTTTACGGTAGGATCACCTCCTGGGTGGCGGAGGCGGTGGCGGCGGCGCACCTCTTGATGGCGCAGGGGGTGGTGGTGGAGGAGCTCCAGTTCTCGGGGGTCCACCCGGTGGAGGCGGGGGTGCTCTTTGGGTTCCACCACCTAAAATGTATAAAATCGTGGATGTAAATCGTTACAAATGGGCCTAAAGCGATATCGTCTTAGTTCCTCCAATTTCTTCAATAAGCAATTTTGTTAGGCATGAAAAGGAAGGAAGATGTCAGTGGTCTTTCAGAGTGTGCGATTGAAAATCCTATGCATTTCGTGATCTTGGATCGATAGCCGAAGCGACGACTGCTTCCCGTTTACACCTTGCAAATTCGCACGCAAAAGTCGCATAGTCGTGGCATACAGGATGTGGCCCTTAATGTTTCTTACCTTTTCTATTTTTATTCTGACTAGGATATGTCTTTGGAAAATCTTTGTAAGGTTCCGGAGGTGGTAACTCCGAGGTAAAATTAAATCTCTTTTCAAAATCATCTGAAAATAGAAACGAGTTGCTACAGTTGCAGAATTTGTTCCAGTTTAAGAAATCGCTTGCACGTATGACGACAGTACAGAGGATAAAAACTTGAGTCTTTTGGCAAACATCAAGTAAGCAATAAACGTCTAGCGTTCACTATTTTAATGTACTCACCAGTCGTACTTGGACTTCTAATTGAATCTGAACTTGGACCTCTATTAGCTGGCGGCAAAGGCGGACCGTTCACAAGTTTGTTATTGGACACACCTATATTTCTTGCAGAGTCTATTGAGTTAAAATTACTTTTAGAGGGAAATGAGCTTGATGAGTTGGGTGACATCCCACCGCGATTAGGTGGTGGTGGTGGGGGCGGTTGAGAGGAAGATGACACGTTTGGTGGTGTCTGCGGTATTGATCTATTTGGTGGTGGTGGAGGACCTGGTGGACCTCTAGATGGTGGAGGTGGGGGTGGCCCACTTCTGCCAGGTGGAGGAGGAGGTGGTCCGGATGGACCACGGTTAGGTGGCGGTGGTCCTGGAGGGCCTCTAGTCGGAGGTGGCGGTGCTGGCTCGGGGGCTCTTATTGAAGTATTAGATGATCTACTTGACGGTGGCGCTGGAAGGCTACCTCTACCTGGTGGGGGAGGCCCACCTCTGTTTTGAGAGGGAAGTGATGGTGCAACTGGTCCCCGGCTAGGAGGAGGTGGTACTGGTGCTGATGGTGCACGACTGGGAGGAGGTGGTGTTGGTGCTACAGGTCCACGACTGGGAGGAGGTGGGGTAGGTGCTGTAGGTCCTCTACTAGGTGGTGGTGGTGCTGAACTTCTTCCAGGTGGTGGTGGTAATGGTGTGTTTCGGTTAGGTGGGGGTGGAGGACCAGCAGGACCTCTAGGGGGTGGGGGAGGTCCAGCCCTTGTAGGCATAGAGTTTCTGCCAGGTGGAGGTGGTGGTCCAGTGGGAGCACGAGGACCATTTGTTCTATTAATAGACATTGGAGGTGGGGGTGGAAAATTAGCCATGCTGTTCATTTGACCCACACTGTTCCTACCAGGTGGAGGTGGTCTTGGTAGCCCTGTTCCGGGAGTGGGTGGTAATGCATCTCGAACAGATCTTCTACCAGGTCCAGCAGGTTGGGCTGGGGGCCCTCTATCTGGAGGGGGCGGTGGACCAGGTCCCCTGCTGCCAAAACCTGCCCTTGGACCCATTGGTCGTGGTGATCCACCAGGCGAAGCTGGACGTGGTGCTGGTGCTCTCATTCCAGGGGGTTTTAAGGCTGCTCCTACAAATTTTTTGAAAGCAGTGATTTTTTGCCAATCTCATTACTCACAATTTTTTGTAGTTTCTGTTTCACAACTTGCAATGCTCCAGACTATGAATGATTGCAAATATTTTGTGGCAACTATTAACAAATTTATTCTGAAAATTTGCAAATTACTTGTAGTCAGCCTAAAAACATTAGTAGTCTACTACATGCAACTTTATGTCTACACTTGCAAATGTCATGTTTTATTACAACTAAAAGAATTATTTGGTTGTTTAACTTCTCATGAAGAGTGTGAACATTGCTGAAACCAACTCTCCTGTATGTATAAACAAAATTTCAATTCACATAGAAGACCTATGCTTCCTTGTTCATTATAGCTTCCTTCTTCCTCTTAGATAGAGTTCAGAACTACAATATAGTCATACACCCTTACCTCCTGGCCCACCCCGTGACCCACCAGAAGGCCGCAACTTTGGCATGCCACCAGCAAACACTCCACCCAATCCACCTGCTGGAGCACCACCCCCTGAAGAACCACCACCACTACTTCCTTTTCCTAAAATGACAAAACATTGAAAACAATGATTAGCAAATGGATCTGTTCTAAAATTAGGTAACAGCAAATTTTAATGTGTCCCAATATGTGTTTGGTAAACAGTTACCTATTTTTCTAAAATACTGATATTAAAAATTTTACTTTATAATATAATATAACATTTATAGTATGCACATGGGAGAAGTGTGTTTCTATCACTGTATAGACAAACTGGACTTTTCCCACGGAAATTGACAAGTGAGGTAATGTGTTTCTATACAGTTTTATATAATAATGTTAAGAATTCAAGCAATTTCATTGGTCGAGAGCCATGATCTATAAGAGGAAGATGTACGGTATAAGCACTTGCCCTCAACGTTATCTATTTGTTAAATGGAAACACTAGTGGGAGTTTGGGAGAACTAAACGTAACGTGGCCACTGATTATGTCATGTTCTTCCGAACTCCCACACATGTTTCTATAACTGTACAGAAACATGGAAAATGAAAAATTTCTTAAATATCAACATACAAGTTTAATATATTTAAAAAAATATCCTAACTCCTTTAGTCAACATACCCTTAGTATCAAAAGACGGTGCACTTCTGTCATTGGTGACAGTCTTTTTGAGCCTGGCTCCCTTATGAATCTCACTTAGTAATGCCCCTCTATTCTTCGTCTTTGGAGGTGGACGTGATGAAACAGCAGTACTTGGAGGTGGAGGTCCAGGTGGTGGTGGGGGAGGAGGAGGCATTTCTCCCCTTTCTTAGAATTTTTTTCTTGCTGCACTTGTTACTCTGTGCAACACAACATAACATATGAGGGTTTAGTATGTGACCCCGGCAAACATTATTTGCATACATATTACCATAAATAATTAACAGCTCAAGTTTAATTAACTGACAGTACTCTTTAGAATTTAGGAGTCATCAATAGACCTTTCTCCTTTTAGGTTTCAAGCACACAATGTGTGACAGTATTTGATTATTAAGGTCAATTTGAGTTGCGATTTCGCCATGTTCAGGAGCGATTTAGTTTAACAAAGAAGCAAAAAGAATCGGCAAGGTTTTCTTACCAACAAAATCACTGCTAAGCAGAGCGATATTGCAACTCAAAGTTGCTTAGTATAGTTGATAATCAACTACTGTCACACATTGCACACTTGAAAGTTAAAAGGGGAAAGGTCTATTCAGATGAATATTACTAAATAATCCCAAATATATTTGAACAAAAGTTGAAGGTGGTAGATCAGATGAAATTTTGCTTATAACAGTATATCAATAAAAGTTGATTTCAAAAAATGATGAACAATTTTACACATTTAAATTACCATAAGCTTAGTATGGAAATGGTATATGTACTAAGATCTCTCAATGCACAAATGATATCTGATGGTATAATTTACCAGAGCTCATTGATATGCATTACAATATTATGCATATTGTAATAAAACAAAAGCAATTGTAAAGTATGCTGATGTTATTGTGATTTGTGATCGGTTAGTAGCATAATGCTATATTTTTATGCCAATGTTACATATATTTATGCCTAATATGCAATACAATAGGTGCAGTAGCTAGTACAGTATACTTCATTGTGAAATAGATTATGGTGTTTAGTATTGCATACTTTTGGTAGCCAGTTGTAATTAGGGATATAAATTTGGTTACCATTTTTCCCTGAATTGTATTCAGTACCAAACCCCAATTATTGAATTGTATCTTATACTTGATATTTACTAGCTGATTGTCAAATGAAATCTTATGCTGGTTATTTAATGCATCTTTACGGATAATGTATCAAAATGCAGATTATAAGCAAACAGTAAGATTAACTCATTTTGGTCAATTATCCATCAACTTTAACAAAAACAAAATGTTTAATTACAAGGCATAAGACAGGAAGACTGGGTAAAGAGACAGATCTTTATTTCATATATACATACACAAATATGTTTTGTTCTGAGAGGCTGCACAAATTTAAACATGTAGATTTTGTAATGAGCGTTCATACATGGCACCCTGCAGCATGCTATTTATATAATTAGGTTTATACTAAATTGTTTTTCAAATAATAGGAAGGAACATTATCAAGGTATGGCTTTCTTTTAGAAAGGAGAAATATGTAAGATATAGTTGCTTTGGTATATATGCGATATACATAGAGTTGAAACATATACTATAAGTAAAAATAACTATGTGAATATAATTCACTGTCTAACATGTCTATTATGCAAGCAGTGTGACACTAATAACATTTGAACAATAAACATTTAGAGCATTGGGAAATAACTCCCAGACGGAATCGGGAAGTAAACTATTTTCACAATCGATTACGAGAGAGCAATATTCTGAAACGGCCAAGCAGGAATACAATACCTAAGAAGCATTCGCAGTAAATAAATTTGGAACTATTTTATTCAAGTGCAAGGTATACAGCGACGGCTTGGTTTTTAAGCACGGGATTCAGACGAATACATTCAGGCGATTCGCCCGTACATCTATCGATATCGAGTAAAGAACACCACATACACAAGTGATGTCGATGCTATTGTCAAATGTTTGGCATCGACGATCAAGTTATCATTTTCCGGGTATCTTTCTGAACCAAGGTTCGGTAAACATCGACAGCTCGTACAAGGAAGCCCAAACACTAACCTGAGAAATCTATCCAACGCTTAAGAATAAACCCATGGCGGACCAACACGGTCATTCCATCGTGTCATAGAGGTAAACTTGCATATGTTATGAAATTTTAATCTGTAAATCAACGAAGTACTTCCCTCTACTTTATCCAATATGGCCTCTGAGGAAATGCAAAATCACTCGTATGGGTGTAACACATTGACCAATGATCGCTCGCGAATGCTGTGACGTCACGAAACCCAGTTGACTTGCTAAAAAATTCATCCAGGGCAAATATTATGAGGTGCTCACTTCAACCCCTCTCGAACTGTCAAATAATCCGTGTCCAAACAGATTGCTTTCACTTTATTGAAGTGTGTTGAATCTTAGATTTCATTTTGTCTTTCCCATAAAATTTTACATTCCTCTCTAGCATGATAAACAGAAACGGAATGCAAAGTTTGAATGTCCTTTAAAAACCCGTGCCCCAAAAGTTTAAATGTCCCTTTGGCTTTGCCCATGTTTCATATGTCAGTCAGAGTCCATCTTCTATTGTCTACGCACAGTGGCAATATGCAGCACAAAACCAATTTTAAACTACACGTCCTACGAGTTTATTTATAATATTGTTAAGTCATTGCCGAAATGAATTCACGAGTAAGCGTTCTGACCAAATATATTCGTGCATCTGAGTAAACTTGAAACTGTACGCGTAAAATGAAATTATTTCCATTTTTGGGGCGAAAGTCGGTTTGCATATTAAATAACTTATATATTTTGGTTCTTCTATATAGGACCATAAGTATTGGTCGCATGCTCGGAATTCGGTCATTTGCATATTATTATCAAATAAAGAAAATATTTCTATAAATTCCAAAATCATTAGGCGACATCTAGAATTGTAAAATTAGACAATTGCTATTCCGCCTCGCCGCTATACACCTGCGCGGGCTGAAACCTACAAACCTGAAACTACAGACAGATGATGGCCAACCAGAGTTGTGTATTTCTGAGTTAACTAAGGTTTAACTATGCAAGATGCAAGTGTGGTTAAAGAGTTTTGTACAGCCGTGACCATTTCGCTCACAACTACTGAGATTATATCAGTACTACTCAGAATATCACCTCCAAGAAAAGCATCTTTTTCAGGTATTTTGCCCTTGCGCTGTACTGGTAATGATACGCCACTCCTTGGACACCAAAAAGACATCTTTTCAGATAATTATCGATAAGGCAGGCTAATTAATGTGCTGTGCGTGAAGATAAAATTTTGATTTCTATACATGCATACAACCATGGTCGAAGTACGAACTTTCCTAACCCCTGCCATTAATTAGTTGCAATTGTGGTAATAAATCCTATATCTCTAGCTACGCTTTTCTTTGCGTACATAAGCGAAGAATTGGAACAGGGCCAGTGGTGTAGCGCTAGCTATTTTCATTATGAAAATCAAGTTCACACGATTAAACTTCCTCATTCATGTCATGATGACTGAATTCGACATCAAAAAAGATTCAGCATCAAATGTGGTAAAACAACTGCCTAAAATAGACAAAAGCGCTTCTCGACGTTTCGACGGACCTGAGGGCCTTCGTCAGGAGAGTTAGTAGCTTCTAGAATTACTAGCTCTCCTGTCGAAGGCCCTCAGTTCGAAACGTCGAGAAGTGTTTTTGTCATTTCAGGAAGTTGTTATACCACATTTGATGCTAAGTTATCTGAAGACGCTGCTCCCTGGTTGTATCAAAAAAGATTAATTTATATTTAATGAAGTAATTGAACATATTTTAAAAACAAAATCGATTGTTTGCTGAACGTTACCTTTAAACAAAACAACAAACTAAATGTAACTGACGTATATATGTATATATATATATATATATATATATATATATTATCTGATATATATATATATATATATATATATATATATATATATATATATTCCGGACTTCCGGTTGATAACGACACATGTTGTTACACCCGCCGTTAGCTCAAGGTCAAAATCAATCGTACGGCCTCACGAGAAATCGGAAGAACGCTATGATTGAATTAAAGACGCCGAAAAAACGTCTGCGCACGCGTAAACCTGTCCGTAATTGGCATTGAAACGAACACCTCAAAGAAACGTCTCCGCGCGCGCGCCAAATTATGAAACTATGGCGGAAAATCTGAATATCAACTTTTGAACCTAAATTTCAATTATTGAAACACGAAACTTCTCGCATTCAGCGACATTTTTTATAAAAAGTGACTTGAATGAAAGTTCGGAAATAAACAAAATTTTTTAGACGATAAATATGGGGTAGTCATGACTTTTAGAGCAGTCACTAGCTGTTGTTAGCTCAAGTTCTTGCGGATGCAACATCTTGTACTTTCTGGCTGTTTATTCTTAGTTAAGTTAATTTCTAGCATGCAATCGGTTTTCTGCGCACGAAATATGACTTTGAAAACAGATAATTTTTTGCTAATATGTAACTCAGTCAACTCTTCCTGAAGTATTGGTTTTATTGTTGTATGTATAAATAAATTCAGGTAATAAGAACTAAGTTAGAATAATAAATAATAAATTGGCTTTAAAGCGATACAAACAATAAAATAATTAATTAAAAACAATAACTTAAGGTATATCTAAGCTTTATTTTTTATTTTCTTCATCAGTCATCAAATGTCATATATTACACTTTATTGATCTTTTCAGGATTATCCAAGCCTGGGTGAGTTCAGCTCTGCCATTCTGTCGTTATGTTGCTCTTTTTGCTAAAGAATACAAAAAGATTATCATTCATAATTACACATAGAAAGACTAAATTATTCATCTGCAACTATTAGGAAAAGAAAAAAAATCATACAAGAATTAGTGTCTTTAACAACTAATTAGGTCACAGTGGTGTTGATTTTGAACTTTAAGGAAGTAATTTCAAACCTATTTTACTTCGCATGATTTGAAGTTATTATTACATAGACGTAATTTGACCGTCGATTTATATAACGAAGACTTATAGTACACACCTTCAATGATCGTATTTTTAAACGAGCAATGATGTCACCAGAAGTTTCTTTTAAACTATTCGCTAAAAAAGTAGAAAATGATACTGCAATGACATGGAAAACCGAATGGAAAAGGGAGAAAGATGGACTCTAAACGACTTGACGAAGAACAGTAGAGAAATAAAGGAAAGAAATAGCAAGAACTATCGCAGCCAACAGAGAAAGACGGAAGCACTCTGTGATGAACCACGAGCGTGTCTATATATTGATATAGTCACAGTCTACGCTATACACGAGTGTGTCTATAGTAAGATAAGTTACAGGATTCAAATTCTGTAAGTGAAACCCTGAAGGCACTGTTGGCATTTCAGATTCTTGTTTCAGTCTGTGTATGTAGTTAGTTAGGCAAAAAATATATTTAGCCGCCATCTTGGTATTCCGAAATACGTAATCCAGGGCCATACATCATACCGAAGTGTTTCCTGTTCAATTTTCTTCCTCTCACCTTCCTCTAAGACATCCATGTCTTTATCTTCAATCTCATTTACAAACCTGTCCTCCCCAGAACTATAAAGAGCGGTAGAAAACAAAAAGTTGAAATACACATCTAAAAATCGATTTTAAATTTAAACGAAATAGTCGGCGAATACGGTACGAGACCTGTGATGATCATCGTTACCATCACCACCATCGATCTGATTGACCGGAATTTCATCCAGCTCTTTTAGATTGGCCAATTCTCGAATGATCCCGCTTCTGAAAGAAAGAAAGATAAGATAATATTAGACGTTACAAAAATGCAAGGATTACCAGATAGCGCACGCTTTTCTCTTATAAATGTACTTTACGTTCAAAAAAAGGATGTATAAGATTACACCGACGACACGTTCATTGTGCGAATGTGACTATTGTGCAGTACATTCTCTATGCTATAGACAAGCAAATGTCTTACATTACCTCATTACATGATCATACATTACCTATAGTCTTGCTCTTTTACACAAGGATTACCTTTCAGGGACAATATCATTAGCGATGGTGGAAGTTCGCCTATATATATAGATACAGTGAGAATCCAAAAAGCAGGATTGTTATTATAAAGCAATTCAAACAAGCAATAGATATTTTCAAGGGCAATTAGGATTCTGAATGGCAACGAAGGGGCGTGTTCAATTAACGGAGACTAGTGCGTGCATGCATGCAAATCATCAACAGAATGAAATTCACTCGTCGATATTAAGTATATAATTTAAAATTTAAATTATTTTAAACTTTTACGTGCGTTCACGTATACGTACAAAAACGCGACAGTGGAAAGCAGCCCTAAGTGGTAAGGCACGAGAGCACTTCATATAGCGTCACACAATAATTTTCGCAATTAACGTAACCTGTTTAGGATCCAATGCGAGAAAGGAGACACAATTACAACCCATTCTTAATCCATTGTCTTTTTCTGTTCCTCATATTAGACGACTACATAATTCTTAAAATATATACCTAAAATTACTACTGTACCTGTGGGACAATGTTCGATGCAGTTAAAAGACAAATCAAGAAACTTTAAACTCTGAAGATGTCTTAGATTTTCAATTTTCCTAATTTTGTTGCCCGATAAAGTGAGGAATCTAAACAACATGAGAACTTTTAAAAACGTGTATGTAGCTACGCAATTCAGTGCAGCAAAATAGGGCCTGGTTGGTGGTTCCAATGAAGACTTTATTATATAGGTTATGATGGAGGAATACAGAGTAGGACAAGCAAATTGGGTGGTGATCCTGTGTCGCCATAAAAAAAACTTTGGTTCAACGCTATTTCCAACTCAAAAACTTTTCTATTATTAACTCTTCTCATTAGAATCATATACCTTAGGCTTCTCAATGCTTCCAAGTTCTCAATTCGCTCAATGAAATTCTAAATATTGAAACGAGTATTGAAATACCGAACTGACTAGTAGACATTTGCATTCGGGGGATCAAAATAAAAAACTCATGATCTTCAGTCAAATACAGGGTCTTTTCAGTTTTGGGTGTTGAACGGGTCTCGAGGTTGAAATTTTGGATTTTTCTTTTTTTTTCTTTTTTTTTCTTTTGTACAAATTATTACGTTTCGACTTTAGTGTTTGTCATTTCTAATGTGAGTAATAAAAAATAAGTTTTATAACCTAGCGATATTCTATCAAACGTCTAACGGTCGTCGGTTAATCAATAACATTGATTTCACAATCACTAGTAAGTTCGTTATGCCTCTACGCAAAAACCTCTTATGCCTCCATAATTATGGAGTTAGACTAGTTCGTTATCAAATACGATACACTTTTTAAGGGTTATATTTTAAACATTTCTAGCCTAGTAGCTACACTGTAAATAGAGAACCACTCTTCAGGGGAAGCTTCACTTTGGACTTTCTTAAATTAACAGTGTATGAAGAGTTTTTTCTGCAGACTATTAATATAATACGAGGCAACCTGACACCTAGCCTGTGGCCTGGGTCCCAGTCCATACAAGGAAAAGTATGGACTGGGGCACAGGCTACCTGACACCGAATTTAGGGACCGCCTGCCATGCAGGCTACCTGACAAGTAGTTATGTCCTGACACCTCACTCTTCTGGTGACAATCATCTAACTTATAGGCATATACCTGTTGCAAATACAAGTTGGTTACCGGTCCCAAACAATCCAGGTTTTCAATTTTTGTAATCTGAAGTCGGTCAAGTCGAATGTGAGTGAGTTTTCCTAAGGCATCGGCACTGTAAAGGACGAAAACTAAATGTGATAACGGATAAAAACATTGTAATTGATAAAAAATATAAATCACGGATTACGCTCAAAATTACGGCAAATTCAGAACATGCCCTATAATAGATTACCCCAATTATATCGTGTTCAGATAAGATTAAAATGAAACTAACACATGGTTACAAGATTAGACAAGCTGGCGCCTACTCACGCAACGGCTTCCAAAAATGTATCAAATCTATCAAACAATTACATTTCCACTTTCTATTGCATTCAAATTTATAACAATATATATTTGCGGATTAAACGGAAGTCGGAGGAAAGAAATTTCAGTTCAGTAAATTCTGCAACAGACAATACAAAACAGTAGCGGAGTTTTTGTATTTTGGTTACCGCTTTGCGTTCGAAAATCAGTTTGCAGCAGCGTTAACGCATATGAACAGTTGCACTTCAAATCGGATATAAAGATTGAAATACGGTTTCAATTGGTATCCGCATCCTTCCCACCATGCCCATATACGTTGGTTTCGTAGGCATCTTTGAGAACAAGATGATATGAATTATATATTGCCGATAATTCAGGCCAAAAATATAATGTTTTGACAAAGGCGTACACCGTTGGCGTTGCTATATATCGAGTGTTTTATAATGAAATCGGTGGTTTGTATGAGGAAAAACATGTCTATATAATTAAAGATCATAGACGCATGTACGTTTCTCATATTGCAAGAAAAATCATGTTAACCATGCTTTAAAATAATAATCTTGCTCATGCAATGCCAATTCTTAAATCCAAACAAAAGCAAATGACCAGACAACCTGGCACCAATTCCGCGAACGGCTTCCGAAAATGTAACAAATATATAGGGTTGCAATCTTGCATAACAACTTGAGTCTACGGTTATATCCTCCATTCTATCGTATTCAAAATGCATAACTTCAGCTACAAACTATGATACAAAAAATTAAATTCAAAACAATATACATAATAGTATATTTGCGGATCAAACAGAAGCCGAAGGAAAAATAGGAGTGAATCATTAACAGACAATACAGAAACAACAGCTGAGTCGGGCACTTTCTGTATTTTGGTTACTGCTTTGCGTTCGAATATCGGCTTGTATTATCTTTGCGGGCTGCAACAGCGTTAATGCATATGAATAAATTATTTATATATTTCAGTTTCAATTAATAATAGCCATGCGGTGGCTCAGGTTTGTATACACTGCATGCAAAAGAATAGACTAGCAATTACTTCTCAGCCCAGGCAACCATAGACTTAAGTTTTAAGGAAAAATCCGTGAATCGTCGTTGACGTTGTTTGCATCAGTCTATACATGTGGTAAACACTAAGTTTTTGGGGCCGAAAGGCTTTTTCCATCGACTTTTTTCGCTGACCAGTGACCAATCACGTTGCAGTATTTTGGTCTTGATCATATCAGAAGCAATTTATACGTAGCAGATATTTATAAAGCCAAAACGTTTGGGTAGACGCCTACATCATTGCTATATATTCAAGTGTTTGATTAAACAAATCAGTTGTTTGTACAGGAGGGAAAATGCCAATCAAATTCATCACAGCTGCATGTATATATACTGCAAGAAAAACCCATGCATCTTAACCATGAAAGGAGACTGCTGCATGGGTGACATAAATTATTGTTTATATAATGACAGACATCTAAACTTAATTCTTACATATCATCTGCAGACATTGAAGATCTTTTCGGAACATTATGATCTCTAATCAATTTCAAAGTGATTTCTTTATCTAACTTCGACTTCTCATCTGAATATAATTTAAATAGAAAGAGAAGAAAAGCACAATGGTTAATACAATACATATCATACAATTAATTGCTGTAATACTCAAAACTAGAAGCATGTGGTTATTATAAACAATACAAATAATAAAATAATTTTCTTTAGTAATTTCTTATTTGTACTAATATATGCCAAACAATTTTAAAAAATTCTTCTGATTGCAGTGATCCTACCAATTTAGATACTGCTGCTGGTACTCGCAACACAACTCAGCTAGACTGTGCATTAGGCAGTGTTAAACAGCTAGGTTATTCTTATAGTAGCATATTAGTCACATGTTATTTATTTCTCTTTTCAATTGGGAAAACACAATGTATAGTAAGGTCTGCTTTCATGCATGTCTGTAATGCAAAGTTATTTTTCTCCTCAATAGAAGAAATTTTAATTGGCTAACTTTTGTAGACATTCTCAACACAGTGGCAGATCTAGGGTATTAAGTCAGAATAAATTACTACAGCTCAAATATTTATGTAAAAATATAGCATTGTTATTTAGACACTTTGAATTGGAAATTATTGTGTGTTTTATAACTGTGTTTTATGACTTACCCTGAATTTGCCACTGTGTCAAGTTGTCAACTACCATTATTCAATAATGTAAACTGTAAAGTTTCTCTTTAGTTATTTATGTCATCACACTTTAAATTTTATGTTAAACAGTGTTAGGCAATAAGCATAAACATGTTTGAATTATTATTCTTATTTGTTGCAAATGTATAGATAAAACTGCAAATCTTCAATGGACACAGCATATATAGTCTAAGGAAGTCTAAGGTCTTTGAAATTCAAATAAGTTAAAATCAATAAAAATTTATCTCAAAAGGATTCAAATCACAACTATAAATTTTTATACACAATGTCAGTAAATATATTTAATCTAACAACGTTACCTACTGGTGTGTATACTCCATTGACTATGCATTTCCAAATGAACTCTGTCTCGATCTGGTTTATACAATACGTTAAACTATTGATTATGAGCCAAATATACTATTTTAGTATAAGTAGCAGTACATTTTATATCTATGTTAAACAAAAATAAAATTTTACCATTCATTATACCACCAGAAAATAGGTTTTCCACGAGTTTCAATTGAATACGTTTTGCAAAATAGTCAAATATATTCTCAAATATATTTACAACAGTAATGACAATTGACAATTACAATTTTACTATGTAAAGATGGCGCCCATATTAAGTCGTATCTATGGCAACAAATCACAGATTGTATCCATAGATATGATTATATCTGATCATCATGGATTATATCGCTGCATTTCTATATTTTTAATTTACTGATCGGGTTTTTAAAATTTTTTACGCCAGTGTTCTGGGAATCGAACCCAGAAGCCACACATGCGTTTTTATCACTATCAAAAAGCACGTTTTGGTTTGGCCCCAGACATGGACACTGTTTTTTCAAGCCAAACGAAAAGGAGGGAAACCGGAGTGCCCGGAGAAAAACCCTCCAAAGGTAACCTGAAATTCAGGTTACCTTACCGGCAGTCCGAATTTGGTATTTTCATTTGAAATCGTCCGCAATGACCGTTCCGCAGTTTATTACAGTTCACCGTTTCAGTAACTCCGCTCATCGGCACCGAGTCCCAGGAGTTGCCATGCAACTCTTGAGCTTCGCCAATGCCGGCGTCAATGCGATCCATTCCTGTTGGTGGTCTAACTCTAACCGCACAGCGCGCATATTGTCCATCGCAAAACACTAGGAAATCAAACTGCGCTTTGTCTGACAATGGTTAAACTCAACGACTTTTTATTACCTCAAAAACATTCCAACGGGACAATGCCCTTTATGCATCGATCGCACAATGTCAAACGTCATGCTTGTCCTGTTACCAACAATAGATAATGAGCCATCTTGATTGATTAACTATTGTTTTAAATACGTTCGGTGCATTGAAACCACTGATTGAAACAGACCTAAGTACACCTAATGTAATTTCCCCAACCCATGCAGTTTGGCAGATAAATTAGAATAAATTAGCCAAACAAACTTCAGTCTGCTTCAGGTCAATATGTTTTGCATATTTCTATTGTGTTGCAAGTGATTAATAAAATGAAAAAAGACCATAAATTTATTGCCCAGATGTGTGAATCAGGTTGAGAAGGCTGAGCCGTTACAGTTTTACATCATTTTCAGTTCATTTCAACTTTATATTTGCTTTGGTTTACCGAATGTTATTCTCCAAGGCCAAGCCAATTACACTGTCAATCTTTAACCAATACAAAATTTCTAATGCCACTGCTGTTATACAGGGTGTCCCAAAAAAACGCAACCACTTAAATATGCAAGAATATTAATATTGTTCGGGTTTGCACCATAGTTCAGCTAAAATGACTTTTAGCATTGTAAATGAAGGATTAAGAGCCATTTTCAATTCCCAGAGGTGCTTATCTACAGGGTGTCCCAAAAAAACGAAAACTATTGAAATCACCCATAACAATGCCATTGTTAGAATTTGAATGCCCAAGCACTCTGTTGGGCCCACAAGTCTGTAAATCAGGGTTGCCATAAGCATTTTTATGCATGCATATGATGCAGTCAAATTTGCTTGTTCGCAAAAATGATATTTATCAACAATATTTACAATTTACAAATTTGGATAACATTATTTAAATGTGCATCTCAAGGACCATGACCTGTCCCCTTTCTCTAGCAACACAAAGCATTTAGCATTTTATAAGTTGCATTAAATCCCCACGGGCTGAAATTCGTGAGCACGGCATTCAAATTTTAACAATGAGTGATTTCAATAGTTTTCGTTTTTTTTGGGACACCCTGTACAGGGTGAGTAAAAAAAACCTGACACCTTTCAAATTCAAATTAGCTGCAATGTGTCTACAGGGTGTCCCAAAAAAAACGAAAACTATTGAAATCACTCATTGTTAAAATTTGAATGCCGTGTGCACGAATTTTAGCCCGTGGGGATTTAATGCAACTCAGTAAAATGCTAAATGCTTTGTGTTGCTACAGAAAGGGGACATGTCGAAGGTCATGGTGATTGAGATGCACATTTAAATATTGTTAATAAATATCATTTTCGCGTACGAGCAAATTTTACTGCATCATATGCATGCATAAAAATACTTATGGCAAACATTTACACATTTGTGGGTCCCAACAGAGTGCTTAGGCATTCAAACTTTAACAATTACATTGTTATGGGTGATTTCAATAGTTTTCGGTTTTTTTGGGACACCCTGTATAATCGGCTGTAATGAGACAGAAGTTGCCTAAAATATCTTATGGGTATACGAAGCATATCAATTAGGCGAACCCATTAATTAAGTAGAAAATAAAGTTTGTTCCCTTTGGGAGTTAAAATGCATTCTAAGCTCTGTAATAAAAAAGAACTCGGAAGCTCTGTAATAAAAAAGAACTCGGAATTAGTTCAATTGGTTTAAACACTTTTGCATTAATTAACCACGTCTTGTTGATTTTACACAATGGGAATTGTCAAATTCCAGCCATAAGTTCGCGGCTAATTTGAATTTCAAAGGTGTCAGTTTTTTTTACTCACCCTGTATTGCGCTTTAGAGCTGTATTAATGTTCTGCATATTTAAGTGGTTGCTTTTTTTTGGGACACCCTGTACAGGGTGTCTCAAAAAAACCCGAAAACTATTGAAATCACCCATAACAATGCAATTGTTAGAGTTTGAATGCCTAAGCACTCTGTTGGGACCCACAGGTGTATAAATGTTTACCATACTCATTTTTATGCATGCATATGATGCAGTAAAATTTGCTTGTTCGCAAAAATCATATTTATTAACAATATTTACAATTTACAAATATGGATAACAATATTTAAATGTGCATCTCAAGGACCATGACCTTCAACATGTCCCCTTTCTCTAGCAACACAAAGCATTTAGCATTTTATAAGTTGCATTAAATCCCCACAGGCTGAAATTCGTGAACACGGCATTCAAATTTTAACAATGAGTGATTTCAATAGTTTTCGGGGTTTTTTGAGATTCCCTGTAGATTGTTAGCTATCCTTCACCCTCGGAATTGATTAACAGCTGAATCGGCGTAAAAAGAATTCAGTAATAATTCAATACATTTTCATCTACGAGTAAATGATACAAAACGTATTTCACTGTCTTTATAAAATAAAATGTGTATATAACGCGTGTTCTGATTGGTCGAAGCCCGCGTTTTTCGTGCGCTTTTCGTAGCTCTCGCAACATTCCCGCGTGTTCTTCAGCTTTAATAAAACAAAACATTTATTCATGCTCGTAACTTTAAACCAACTATAAGTGTATAGAAAGCTGTTTGCTTTTTACATGTTGATCACCGCTTGCATATTGTAAATATTTGCGAAAATTCCCCCAAGATCCTTAGCGACCTCAACGCCCTCGAGGCTGCCCGGCACACGAGAGACTCGCCTGTCGATCTAAGCCAAGCTGTCGATCTCGCGTGGAGGTAGCTTTAGCATATTTTCTGGCACACGCGCGTGCCATACAGACTGTAGTTACCGATAATGTATACGTATGTCTAATATGAACGAGTTTTGTGATTGGCTTTTTGTAACAATATATAGTGAATAGTGTTTATGTTCGATCGTTCTTTTAGAAATCAATTTCTATAGTTCATTGTGTTTTATTCTATCATCAACCAATAGCAAAGCTTGTTCATATAGGTACGTACTGTCGGTACCGACTCATGTATGTAAGTTTGCACTGATATAAGTTTCTCGCGAGGCAGGTATCTCTTGCGGGAAAATAGTTTCAATGCCAGTACCCGTGAGGTCGGTAGGTGGCTCAGCGAAGCGTTATTATGTGCGCCGGACTTTAGACTAAACTGAAAGCTAAATTTTTTAAAAACTGAATATTATATGCATGAATATACGAAGATTTGCATAAATACATATGTGCGCAGGAACTCTATGCATGGGGGAGGAGCATAGGCCATATTTAATCCAGAGTATTGTCCACACCTTTTAAGACGCGCATCCATGCGATCTTGAGACGTTGAACATCTTTCTGTTTGGAAAATATCATGGCAAAATACATGTTTGGTAAGTAACCTGTTTGCGACTATAGTTGTAAATTTACATCTGCGATATACTACGAACCAATTATGCCACAAAAAAGGGTGATCTTTCGGTGCGAAATCATTATCTGAAAACCGAAACTAATTACGGGGATTTTAATATGGGATTTTTAGGCTTCGAAACAAGTGAACTGATTGTTACGATGCAGGAAAATATATATACGTTCCTAAGGTTGTTGATTATATAGATGTTCTCAAACTAACAACAGATGTTCATGCAGTATAATAAGAATAGTCTATGGTATAACTATTTGAATAAATTAAAAGGGATAACTGGAATACTTATTATATAAACCATTTTACATATATGTATTCTACATATACGTTACATGCGAGAATGCAAACTATATATCATCCACCCACTGATGAGAGAAGTATGAAACATCCTCTTTAGCGCAGTTTGAGCTCATGTAGGTAGAAGGGAATTAAGTATATACGTGATAGAATTTAAAGATCAACTTTCATTATCCATTCTTGGAAAACGACTTCGCGTGGTATATATATATATATATATATATATAATTATATATATATATATATATATACTTAAAATACAAACAAATCGCTGCATGCTAATTCTTTTAATTAAAATATGCCGATAAGGCTACCAATATTTTGATGGAATTTTTTACCACTGCATGAAGTAAAACGATTTTTCTAAAAGAATGAATCAAAAGAAATAATGTATTAATCGACTTTACTCTAATTAGGAATAAGATCTACATATATGAGGGCACTTTATTAAAATTAATTGACTCCATAAATGAGCAGAGAAATATAGATTGTTTTTGTCAAATTGTATAGGATAGTAGAGATAAAATAATAGATGAAGATCACCCAGTTATCATCGTAGTACAAGATATATCACATGCAACTTGAATGAATTATGTCAGATCTTGATATCGAAACTTCGGCGAAAGTTATTGTTATCAAACATTTCGAACGAAATTTTAATGGTTCTTTTCACCATTTGCTTGCGAATGCGTTTTTTCCACATCAAATTATATATAGACATGCATTAGACTTTTTCAACAACTAAATTAATTGAATCTGTTTATTAAGGTAACATATAGGAATGCACGCAAATATTTATAGATTAGAATCTATAGGACACAAATGATACATTCAAATTTGGTATGTAAAATATGGGAAAGTGGCTCTTTTATCTTCACCTCCTACAAATGCTGATTTCGCTTGCTTGTGTCCAGGATTTACTGGTACTAACATTAAAAAAGATCGTAATTACATTGGAAACACTGAGTTATTGCAGTCTTGGCACGATTTTGTCCCCAAACTGTATGTATATACCCTCGGTGCACGTCAAATTTGAAACTTTCACTTACAATCGTTTACAATTGCAGGGTTTGCGCGTATACGTGCTTGAATCTGTTTACGAGTTATAGAGGTTAAGAAATATATGAGTTTTTCTTTCATTTTCGGTTCCAGGAAATACGCAACTTGGGAAAGATTCCTCAGTGTCACAGCGTGTTAATTTTCGATATAATAGCTACATAGCTCATTTGAAAGAAATTTATTATTAAATAAATACAACATTAATTTTGAAAGAAAATTATTAAACCCCTGTAGTGTTATTTTGAAGCTTTAGACTTCTCCACACATACAAAGGGGTAGTGGCGTAGCCAGCCTGACGATGTAGTCATGCTATGCAAATTTTATGTTGTTATCATTATTCATTTCTTTACAAATTCATTGTTTCACAGTCAATGAACACCAAAATACCAGCATAGCAAGACTAAATTGTCGGCTGGCTACGCCACTGCAAAGGACATGATGAAATAGCAAAGATAGTAAAGTAGAAACAAGTCTACGAGCCTACGAGCTCACCAGCTAATCCGTACTGATCCTGTAAGTTCGCCGAGATTTTCAAAATGGCCGTTGAAAAATTTTGAGGCGAATCCATGAACGTTGGCTGTGTTTCCCGTGTGCATTTTCTCTTTCAAATTGATGACAGGCTTGATTCGAGCCTAAATTTGTTTGTTTACGTTTAATGTTGTGCGGCCAAAATTTTCTGGGCAAGTCCAAGTTCCATACACAGTGCGTTCAATGCGCTATACTTCCTGGACACTTTGTCTTTCTTGATTTTTGGCTGGTACAAAGGTTTCAAAGTTAGAGCGAGTGGCTTACTGATGGTTGTTCTATGCATGTCTTTCCAATGTCTAAGATGAAATGTATTATTTTTTTAAAGGTTGTCTCATTTTGTTCTCCTGTTTTGCGGCGTACACATTCGCAGGTATTATATAAATTCAGCTAACAATTTGACATGTTTTTGTCAAAACACCTATATTCTATATCGTATATATACTCGCTACATCGTATAATACATATAATAGTTTATTATGGTATAATAATTATACCGTCTGATAAGTTAACCATCACATCGATTTCCTTTATTCCTAGCCACATGCTCCACGACAACGAAGTTGAGTTCCTCTGGGAGTATTTATAGTCCAGGATGGCCATTCAAATATGGAAATGACGTCGCCAAATGCTGGCGTATTACAGCGCCTCTCAGTAATTATGTGGTTCGACTGAGTATCAACACGCTGAACATGGAGGCCTGTAGTGGTTGCAAATGCGACTATATAGAGCTGTTTGATGGTTATAGTGAATTTTCCTCAAGCTTGGGAAAGTTTTGCACCGGAAATTGGCGAATAACATCTTCTGGCAGATACCTTTACGTGAAATTTGTCTCAGATTCCGCCGGAGTCGGTGATGCTTTTTCGGCATCCTACGTTACATTGCAAAAATGTAAGAGTAATTTCGTCTCCATTACCTGCACGTTCGTAAAGCCTATGCAGTCATTAATATTTTGGTGTCATGTTTGTCTTTCAATTTGTTTAGTGCTCTTCGTCGAATAAATAATCGAATAAATAAATCGAATAAATAATTAAATTTACCAAACTGAAAATCTGCAAATAATTATAACAAAACGCTTGCTAAACGTTTACTCGAGCTAAAGGAGGGTTTTTGATGAGCAGATGCGCACCGTCATTTAGCTTCGATCAAGTTCACAAAATATGCTTTCAGTCGTTTAGTTTTGATCGAGTATACAGAACATTGCGTGCGGTGTCTTTTAGCTTCGGTCGAGTATACGCTTAGAAAGCGCACAAACACAGAATACCTGGATGCGAATCACAAGTGCCTGGCCGGGTGCACATATTATAAAACGCACTATAATTACACTGTTTGTTAACGTAACGTGTCGTATGCCAGAAAACAGTCCTCATGCACCCGCAGCTGCATGATGTTAAGCACAAAGAAGCTGGAAGTCAAATGAGCCGCTGAAGTTAGCATGAAGAAACAGGACAGGAAGATGAATGAGTTGCTGAACGCCAAAAAGATGGTGACAAATATGTCACATGCGACCACGAATTATTTCGATTGGCCAAAATTAAAATTGGCCGCGTGGGAGAATAAGTCTTGCGCGAAAAAAAACTGACCGAATTTAAGACTCTCGCACTTTAGCTCGAGTAATAAAGTATATATAGTGGTATCTGTTGACAACACAACGTTATAACCTGTAATAGCAATTGAAATTTTGTGATTAATTTTTACAGAAGAATTTAAATTTCTCAGTTTATTTATCATTTCATTTCTCTACATTTATAGCAAACACCTACAACAATAATAACAACAACAACATCAATATCAACAACAATAACGATGACAATAAGAAAAAAGACGATGGTGGAAATAGTAAGTTTTATTGTAGTATCATGCTTATGTATTATTGAGGAGCTAAGTTTAGCGCATTCTTTTTGGCGTATTTTATACACACTTTTAGATGTGTATCATTGTGCATGTATCCGTGATCCATCCAGATCACCGCAGTTATAAAGGTGTTCTTCCGGATATCAAATCACGAATATAGGTTTAATGTACTGAATTTCCATGCATGCCGTAAAATTACACCAACCTTCGGTCCTGGTCCTGGTTTACAATGTTCTCTCTATATATACGCTTCTGCATACGCACATTGATTTAATTTCTATTCTTTATTTAGAGACGATAGTTTACATTGGTAGTGGAATTGGTAGCTTTATCGGCTTCGTAATATTTTTATGTATTTGCTGTTGCCTCTGTGGCGGAGGGAGTTAATTGACGCTGAAAAGGAATTCCTGCCTGACAGTGTGCAAGACACGTGATTTTTCTGAATTTATATAGTTATATACGTAATTTTCATAATCATATATATAATCGTTTATTAAGCATGTGACCAAGCATATGGTAACTTTAGTGCATAACTAAGTCATAACTAACGCGTAACTCAGTATACCTCATAGATTAAAGTCATGAACACATACCACATACTATATAAAAGCTTCATATATATTCTGAACGAGTACTAAGGAAATACCCAGCACCAAAATTTGTACTTTTATACATAGGACCACAATAAGTAATAAATAAAATCACGAGTGTTGCCGCCTTAAATCAGTTCATTTCTAGAACGATGTCACATGCAGGTAATATCGTAGAGAAGGGGAAAAATGATACAGTTCGACGAAATTGTTTCTCGACGGTTAATTCCATGGGAGACCCAGCTGGAGGGAGGTTAAACTACAGTACATGGCAAGCTTTACAGAAAAAATCACGAGGAGCTATATGTATAGCTGTCTGCGAGAAGCTTCATTTACTAAGAGTCTAACCCGACCGACAACCTACTGATATAGCTGACAGTATAATACTAACGGCCTACGAAGAAGCAGAGCTTATAATATGCACATGCAATGCGGATGAAAAGCGAACAGAAATTTTACGGGTTTGTACGAAACCGAATTAAGCTGTTGCGTTCACAAAATGCCGCGCAAATAAAATGCACGGCGACTCTTATCGTGTTATACGCTCTTGCACAAGCATCTCAATGATTTAATGTTACCAAATGTTTATTATTATGTAGGATTTATCTATTATTATGGAGTTCATGCAGTTTATACAAGTAATGCATGCATGCATGTGTATTATTGTGAATTTAAGGAAATATATACAAAAGGAATGCATAACATAACTTTCATTTTTGGTTCTGGGAAAGAGACTACCTAGAAAGGACTACCGTTCGCTGCATGGTATTTGTTTTAAATATCTTTATTATATTTTGCTACTGATGCGTACCACTGACTGCATGCACGCAACACTGTTATTCTCAAGGAATCAATGCCACTCCATTAGAGTTATTTCAATTTAATATAACTTTTATTATTCCAAACTCAGAAAGATAATTATCTTGTTAACTCTACGAATAGGAAGTTTTATTTTTCCAGATTATTCTCATATTAAGTTTAAACTGTATGAAATGTTCAGGGTGGTAGCACAACATATTACCTTATCTATATCATCATGTTCAAAATAGAAAGCAAGTTTATTGTTTTATTCATTAAGCAAACTAAATGTTTTTAACCTTAATACAAAGATACTGTTTACAAGTACATATTCAGTACATAATATTCAGGTTGACTCATTCAAGGGAGTTGTAAGAGTGTTATTTAATTTTCAGTTAAGCACCGTTTAAGCTAAACGGGCTTGATACAACCGGCCCCAGAACGGTAAATAACCGACAAGCAGCCCTAAAGATTTCATCAACCCTTTTACATTTACCATGCATCGATACACTATAACCAATAACTAGTGCTGTATGCATGCCTTCACCACTAATCCCAATTTTAAACAAAAACAAGCAGCTATCTTGTATAAACCGTCTCGTCGGTTCCTTTTTTAAAAGGCTATTATGGAATTACCTGTACAAAATTTCGGAATTCAGAAATTTATATTGTTACTACACGGAAGAATTTAAGAGTGCAACTGCAAGTATATTATTCGAGAGCCAGGTTTGCATGGACATAATTTATATATTATTGAGCAAAAATCCAACCATGTATGTATATAGGTAGTCAATTAATGAACGTTACGACATTATTAAACATCGAAATGCTTCATGCGATATCATGAAAATGTCTTTTTTGCTGTTCCAATTACAAACACTCGCTTTCTATTCTCCTCGTCTTCTTAGTTTTCTGAAGTTTTATGGTAAAGTTTCGAGTTCAAACGGCAAAGGTGGTATTAAATATTATAAATATGGCAGTTCAATTTTTACTGAAGGTCAACCTCGTACCCAGGGTCTTTTACCTACTGACTGAAGGTATGCGCTGATTTAATTGGATGATTCAGTACCTATATTAACCACCAGCTTGCATTGTCGCGATCACACTTTTCAAGCTGTGGGGATTGAAACAGTTCTGTTTGGAAAACATGACGGTCGAACAATCAGTTGGTAAGTAACGTGTAATAATATACTTTTGCAAATTAATGGAAGTAATTGAATTACTGAGAGCGTCCATCGACGCTGCATGGGCTCAAAATTATATTAATCTCGAGAACAATTAAAGCCAGATATTGAAATTTTTGTTAAAAAAGTTTTTAAAAGTATTTGTGATGAATTCATTGTGGAATTCGTTGTATTACTGCTAAATTTTACTACCGTATTGCAATGACGCGGTACACAAGGAATTCTTAACTTATTGTACGAGCACGCATTTTTTAAAAATTAAGAAATTTTTCATTTTCATCTGAGATGAAAGAATGCGGTCGCGCCATTTCCTGCTTGGAATGGAATTTTAATAAGACAAAGAACTAAGTTTCGAAAGTCTTCACTGCACTGCAAAATTCAAAATTCTTAGCAATAAAAAAATCAGTACTTGAAATAAGAAATCTAGTAAATTTTTACTTAAGAAGGATGCCAATTTACTTAAAACAAGAATAGATTTGCTTATCAAGAATAGTTTTTCGAAGGACAATTATTATAAATAAGAAATCGAGTAGTCTTTTTCTTGGTAAAAATATCTGTTTACTTAAAATAAGAAAAAAATCTAATCAAGCTTGAAATAGGAAATCGAGTATTTATTTTCTTGATAAGAATATGTGTTTTCTTAAAACAAGAAAAAAATTACTTATGAAGACATAAGTACTAAATTCAATGACTATATAAATAGAATATGATACCTAACAAAAACATGAAGGCTTGGTAAGTGGAATGAATGTTATAAATGCATTATAACTTTCATTTTTGGTTCTGGGAAAGAGACTACCTAGAAAAGATTCCTTTCGCTGCATGTTATTTGTATTCAATAAATATCTTTATTATATTTTGTTACTGATGCGTACCACTGCATGCACGCGATGCACGCAACATATATATTTTAAAAGAATCAATTCAACTCTAATATAGAGTTACCTAAAACTAAATTTATTCTAAATTGAGTGGTACACCTGGTTGAAAGAAGCTATAGAGCTTGCATGCATGTTATCTAAAAGACAATTTCTTGTAGGACAATTTCTTAATTAATATATATATATATATATATATATATATATATATATATATATATATATATATTATATATATATATAATATATATATATATATATATATATATATATAATATATGCAGTGCATGCTTTATTGACGAATCCGCCATTTTGAAAAGCGATAATAATATATGTGCGATTATTCATGATAATAACATATGTGCGATTATCCTATGGATTATCGTGTTTGATCCACCGATCTGGAATCAGAAAGAAGGATAAAAAACTTTTTAAAAAACCCAGCTTCATTCTCGATATTTTCTCAACGCTCGATCGAAAAAAAGTATAAAGAATTATATAAACGCTGCATATAATATAACGGTGAATAATCGCGGTCAGGAAATTATATGCATTTTCATATATAAAGCAAAAACCTATAATCCTGCTTTCACCACTTATTCCATGGAATTGAAACAACCACTTTCTATAAAATTCATAAAAATTGACATTCTTCATGTATGAAATGCTTTTTTGTTGTTCAAACCCTCACTTTTATCTCTTATCGGGTATACGTATAGTTTGGCGAGAAGTTACCTGGAAAAAATCCGTGTTTAATTAACGGCGAAAGTGATAGCAAATTATAAACCAATCAGATTTTTTTAAATACTCTAAACTTTTAACTAAATATGGAAGTTATATAATAACTAAATGGATATATGCGCATGTTTTAATTGCATGACTACCCACTACAGTAATTCGCGACAATCTTGCATTGTCGACCACAATTTAAAACAGTTCAGTTCGGAAAACATGACGAGTTTAAAACAGTTCAGTTTGAAAAACATGACGATCGACCAAAAAATTGGTAAGTAACTTGCATTGCAATATAATATATAGTTTTACAATTTATCACAAATAAAATTGAAGGGCTTCCACCGACACTGGACGTAAAATACCATGTCGGGAACAAAGCAGAATATTAAATGTTTTGTTAAAAGTTTTGAAAGTTACTTGAAAAGTCGCTGTGATGATTCATTTTGGATGTTGTATCATTATTAAACTAAATTCAGCCACATGATTACAATGACGGTACACAATAATTTTTCTAAAATGTTGCATGGGCATACTTTTGTTAAAATAAGGAAAACAATCTTGTTTCATTTTCACCTGAGATACGGGAATGCGGTCACACCATTTCCCGCTAGGAAAGGAATGTTAATGAGACAGAAATTGTGCATACATCTCTCGAAGGTAACAACCGACCAAAAATGCGATTACGCGCCCGTTTATGATACTCGCGCGGGTATGTGTATACTAGTGGAAGTGTCGATATGCCGTCTTTCCAATAAAAATCAAATTCTAACACAGTTTTCAAAACTAAATTCTAAATTCTATATATTACCCAGAAAACATGGCATTTTCTTTAGACATCTTTGGAATGCTTAATCGTTCATGATAAAGAAATTTTGATAATGCACGAGTTTCTCAAGTCGATTTGTAAGTTGTATCAAATCAAACATGTATACCTACTCATATCTTTTGGACGAAGCAATTAATTTTTGCGTTGTCTTGTTTGGCTACTGAGTGTGTAATGGATCGGACACAACCTTTGTCAACAATCATTTTCACTTTTCCCTAATCGTACAAACCTCTCGCGTGGGCCGGATGACATAAACCCTTGCCTACCTCGACCTTAACTGCATGAAACCGAATCATATGGAGGACCGAAACCAAACACGAAACACCGATATCAAATAAAATGGCAACAAGACGGGGAATAGAGTAAATAGACAGGCTCTATAATCTTTGCAAAAATGTAGCTAAAAGGTTTTATATAGAAAGTAACTTACTTCACGGTTGTATATAGTGGTTATTTCAAGAGCACGCAATACACCAAGTGTATTGAAAGGAAAAGTATAATCAGAGAGCCAAACAACATAAAGAATTCCGACGCATGGAATTCTTTATCCGTGCATGATATGAATCTAAATTGTCCAAAAATCCACTTTCACTTTTTAGGTTCTGGGAAAAACACCACTCGGAAAAGATTTTTTCAAAGCATGCATGATTATTTCAACAGCGGGGAGTCCCAAAAGTGAGACAGAAATAAACTAAAAGGACCTTTATTCACCATGCTGTTGCAATTTTAAAATATTTCAGTCTCCATACTCACAATCACTAAACTCACTGTATAATATATTATTTGTGAATTTCTCTGCTGTTCTTTGAAACCCCCTGTGCGTATACACATCTAAACAATTAGCCTTTACACTATGTAGTTTGTATCTGTTTAACTACAACAATTTTATTCCAAAAAAACTAATTCAACTCAATCGAGCACTAAAATGTGCCAAACAAGGAACAAATGCCCAGGGATATCATGGTAGTAAAGCACCTATACGACAGGCGAATAAAAAACCTTCCTGTCAAATATTTATACTGCAAAATGTGGCATATAATAAAATATTTTTTAATCTTGCTTGCTCGTACTATCACCATCACCATCACCATCACCATCACCATCACCATCACCATCACCATCACCATCACCATCACCATCACCATCACCATCACCATCACCATCACCATCACCATCACCATCACCATCACCATCACCATCACCATCACCATCACCATCACCATCACCATCACCATCACCATTACCATTACCATTGCCATTACCATTACCATTACCATTACCATTACCATTACCATTACCATTACCATTACCATTACCATTACCATTACCATTACCATTATACCATTACCATTACCATCACCATTACCATTACTATTACTATTATACAGTGCTGTTTATTGTAAATATCACCAATATTACATTGTTTTTTTAAAGGCTATCTCATTTTCTGCTCCTGTTTTGTGGTTAACGTGTTTGCAGGTATTAAATTCGGCGAAAAATTGACATGCTTTTGATGACACATGTTGCACTAAATCCTATATAGAAGCAAATTTCTACCGACAATTTATAAGTTATATAGGATTTCATTTTAAAAAATTAAACCAGAAGTACAACTTCTGATTTACAATATTTTTGAGCAAGGGTGTCAAAGACAAGATATTTTCATAATCGTCCACACAATCATACGTCCTAGCACAATCCTAAAGTCCATTCCTCTGGGAAATTGCCCATGAAAACTACGTGCAAGAATAATAATTACAATTTAAGAAGCTCCTTTTATGATACAACGTAAGCCCTTCATAACCATAATAAGGTTTATGAATTACAGTGAGCGATCTATTTTCCCAAATTCGTAGGTACTTGCAACACGACTACGCATTACAGAAATGGCAATGGGACAATTTATGGTCCGGGTTGGCCCTTCCAATATCCAAATAATGTCTCGAAATGTTGGCGCATTGAGGCACCATTTACAAATCATGTGGTTAAACTAAATATTGACACGCTCGACATGGAGGCGTGTAGTCTTTGCGGTTGCGACTACATTGAAGTGTTTAATGGTTATGATGAATATTCGTTAAGCTTTGGAAGATTGTGCTCCAGAAGTTGGCAATTTACGTCTACAGGTCGATATTTTTATCTAACGTTCACGTCAGATGGAAGCAGAAATGGAAAGGCTTTCACGGCATCCTATGTTGCAGAACCAAAAGGTAAGCGTATATATAGCGTATCTATATATACGCACTAAAATTAGGTTAATCCTGGTTTCCATTTAGTCGTAGTTCTCGTGTACCAGACTACCAGTACGGCATTTTTATCGATGACGTACCGATTTACATATGTCAATTATATTCGTGTTTGTGACCAATAGATTACACCGTACATGTGAATGATTATCATAACAACCTCAAAGCTGTAAATTTCTATTATTCTAACTGTTAATTTCCTCACATTCATTTTTAGACAACACCAACAACAGTAACAGCATCAATATCAACGGAGATGGTGGTAAGACAAAAACTGGTAGCGGCAGCAAAAGTAAGTTTGGCTGTAACATTATATAGAAGGGCGTCACTTCATCTAAAAGTTTGCATGGGAGGGGATGAAGTTTCAAATTAGAAATAAAGAATGCTCAATAGACCTTTTTAATAATGACGTCAAACGCGGAAAGTCTGATGTTACACGAAATTTGATTGGCTCCACAAAACTATTGAGCCAATCAAACTTCGTGTAACATCAGAATTTCCGCGTTTGACATCATTATGAAAAAGGTCTATTGCTTATTTTTTACTACGAGGGCAGTTTATAGTGATATGGGTGCGCCATACATATTGCTCTCTTTGTATCAGCTCATTATACCACTCGAGCTCGTGTAAAACAGTTTAATACTAAAAATTTAAGTGCTGTTGCAGGAAGACATAACTGAGGTTTTGAGCAAATTAATATTACGCGACATAGAAAAATATCTCCTCTTAAATATATATCACACACCTGTGTCTTTAGTCAGGGAGATAACAAGTGCCCAAAAAACGATTTGTCAATGATATCGTTTTCTGTATATTCAAGATGCCGGCCGCGTTTTTGTGTTGAAACCAAGATATTGATGTTTAATGCACAAGTTTTTGGTTGAAATTAGTAATGAAAACCGAAATTATGGTTTAATTGAACCTAATTTATTAGCAGAATAACCAAATATACAACAAAAAGTTTATCACACGATTCTCGCTCGGTTTATCGCCTTCGGAACAATACAATTTGTGATATATTAATAACTGATTATTGACCGAGCGTGAGGTCTGTACTTGAAATATCAGACCGAGGCTTTTTAGTATGGACCGAGCGAGGAAGGAGCGAGATACAGATCGAACCAATACGGATCGAACAAGCGAGGTCAATGATCTGTTTATACGATGGTTGATCATGAACTGCATGAAACATCCGGGATACTGGTCCAGATACGCAATAGATACGGCCACGATCCAGATATGGGTTTTTACGAACCGCTCGTCAACCAGTCGGAGTAGAGGATCGTGAAAAGGCAGAAAAGCCATATAATAAATATATTATATGGCTTTGCAAAGTCCTCTATATTATATATTTACGTCGTTACGATTATAATGTTGATTGTCTTATTTTTTTAGCCACGGGATATGCTGGTGGTGGAGTTGGTACCTTTGTTTTTATTATTATATTAGCATGTCTTTATCAGCGCTACTGTAAAAAAGATGATTGATAGCAAATTATTAATTTTCCAAGTCAGCAAGCACGAATATCGAACGATGCTATAATTATTTTGAAACTATAGGAATATTAACATATTCACATAACATAGGGCGCATGTCACAAGATATGTATATATAGCCTCGAGATGTATGAATCACTTGCATGTCACCCTCGGTCTCGGTGTATAACCTTACCAACGTTGAAAATGATATATACCTAACACTATAGCAAGGAGGAATTTCGCTCTAGACTAATCAAAAATTTTGTTTACATTTTTAGTAACCCAATCAGAATGCATAAATATTCAGACAACATAAGGTACATTATTTACCATTTTACATGAAGTATTAACTATTTAGGTATTCTGATTGGCTTACACACGCGTAAAAATCATCATGTTTATGCAAGTTGTTAAAAACGGGAGCGAACAATGTTGTGCTGCACCCTGCATGTGAACAGTATTGTTTAACAATGTTGTTTGAAGCTTGTTGAATCATCAATGTTGTTGCAACTTGTTACAAGAACATTGCATCGTGATGTGCACTGTGCAACAACATTGATGATTCAACAAGCTTCAACAACATTGTTAACAATACTGTTCCCAGGGTGCAGCACAGCATTCATTTGCCGATTTGTTTAAAACGAAATTCCTCCTGGTTTAACACTATTTTTTCTTAACATTATTGTTTCTTAACATTATTGTTTCTTAACATTATTTAACGTCAAATAATACATGCAGTTAAAATGGAGAATAAATGTATTTTTTTGAGACCTTTTTGGCCTGTCACGAGCATCATCAGACCATGGCGCTAACCACTGCCGAGATTTCTTTATTCTTGTCCAATACATTCTTGTTTGTATATATTCATGCTACTATATATAGCAATGAAATGGAGGTACTGCCTATTTTACCTTTGCCTCTTTACTTTGCTGAATACAACTTAATGTGCTTTAATTTTCATGCGTATTTCTTGCTAGGCCATAATATATTCACCCGCGAAACAACTTTCAACATCAACTCGCAACGCAACAATAAGCAAAAATCTAAACAACAAAGGTTTATTTATATATAGCTATAAACCGTTTTCAAAACGTTGCGTTGCGAGATTATTTTGAAAGTTGTTATATCAGCTGATTCTTTGCTTAAGGCCATATATGGCAGGTGGTCATATATGGTCATAAATGGTCATACTTCACATACAATCTAGGACAAGGCATTTTTCACCGTAAAATACGATATTCAACAAAAACAGGCTTGGTAAGTGAACGAGTGAGTTTTATACAAATGCATGCTTGATAAATTTAATAAGCCTGGCGACGAATCCACGAATAACGAAAGTGATATATGCCACTACTACAGTTTAGTTGCATTGACATCTTTGTTCTCACATCATGGTCATTTTCGCTGTGTTAAAAAGTTTGAGGAAATATCAAACTGATGATGAATCAATCATACAATTGATAGGAAAGCAAATCTATAGTTTAAAAGCAAACCCGATGCCCTCCCTTCCCCCATATATAGCACCTGCTAACGCGGCCCGGCTTCTGTCAAGGTATTCTATGTTTGCATGCAGAGAAAATCCTACAAATTTATTCAGCATAATATGGCTAAAGTATGGTTCATGACAACCAAAATTCTTATGGCGAATGCTCTAAATACGTACACGTAGTCTAAAATTAAATAATGTTCCATGCATATTTCAAATGATCGATTGAATTTTAAAATTTCACTTCTGTGCACAGGCAGCCCGGTCAATGCGAGTACTGTATACTATCATGTATATAATTATCATAAGGCTGGCAACTCTCTCGTACAAAAAATGTAATGCACACATTAATACCATCGCTTGAAACACAAAAATTACGCTAGTTTTTTGAAAAAAAACTATAGATACAAAATACCTTCGATATATATTTACTAAATTTATCTGTCATTTTTAGACTTGAAAACAACTTAAAAATGCTTAATATTTTGCAAACAAAAGTGTATGCACGCATGCATCTTAAGGTAAAGAAAAATACTCAAGCATGCATTCATAAGTGCATGCAATATACATTGGATATATAATCCGAGCACGTTTGAGGTCGAATTTTTTCTACCCTGTTCTAGCCTATTTGATGAGTAAGTTCCGTGCATAAATATCGTGCATTATATTTGATAAATATAATCTAATAAAACCCATCATCAATATCATATATCTCCACTGCAAAGTGCAAACACCTAGCATTATGCATTGTTTTATATCTATTTTAACTTTCAAAATATTTCTTGCTGTTATATACTTCGGGTGGCCATGAGTCTGATTGCTTTTTAGCCAAAATTGCTGGTGGGGTCGGCCTCATAGCAATTATTGCTGTTATACTGTATTTCATCGCTCCTTATATGGGGTTGTGTTAAATGTTAAAAGACGATGGTCATGTCTTCGGTCGTTTCATCTATACAAGTCCACAATTATATTTCTACCTCCAGGAGTTGGTTGTATAGCTATAAAACTTTTTAATTAAACTACATTTTGCATAGTTAAATCCTAGTTAACTCAGAAACACACGACTCTGATTGGCCAATTCTTTCCTTAACTACAGTTAAAAGCTAACTAGTCTTTTATACAACTGGCCCCAGATAATTAACTACATTGCAACATGATCTCTATAAAGAATGACGTCAGTTTTCTGGAGACCATACAGCCTCTGTGGGACTATGATACGTAATCAATAATCTTTCCTAAATACTACTGACTTTATGTACACATTTATTTTATATATTTAATAAATCATTTAATGCTTTTATTAATTGTAATGCATTGCCATAATGAATACAATATTTAACACTTAATTTCAAAATATTTAACTTTTTTAACTTGCAGCCTTTGTTATCAAATTTGGAATAATATTCATCAATTGTCAGCACTGACATGCAGGTAGCAGCATATTTAGTTCTTTGAACCGCTTAGAAATTTGAATCGATGAACTTTTTAATGTAGATGAATCAAGCTACGATGATCAACTAAACTGAGAATGGGTTCTCGAGGATATCATCGAAATGTAATACTCATGGGCTAGAAATTAGCCAGGCATAGCAGAATATATGATAATAGCCCCCCTAAATCGCCTATGGCATTGGTAATACTGTAATGCGTGATCACACCATTGGATTAGGGTGCTTAGGTGGATAATAAAAAGCATATGGCAAATACAGCGAGGTTCTATAACAAAATTAAGCCCTGAATATATTATGCATCGTTGAAGTCAACTGAATTTATAAAGATTATAAATTTCTTTCTCTTTATATTCGTCTGGGAATTGAGTATATACTTAGTTACGTACCTGAACTTCTACTCATGGGATTGTCTCTGAATTTCAGCTCCGCTGTTAATTTCAGAATTCAGTTTCGTTTAACCTTCACAAAGCACCAGAACCAATTTTCCATCCAAAACCTGTGTTTGCAGTTATTCGCATGGGAAGGTACTATGCATATAGTCACTTTAATGAGAACTGTCCGACCGGTCGACAAAAATCTTTTATCTTCTTAATTTAGGTAATTCCTATAGAGATGGATTTCATGATAAAGCAGGTTCATCAAATTTGGGCGAAGTTATAATCTCGCCGTTTTAAGTTATTTCCAAACGTGTGCATGAAAGCCGTATAACATTTAAAATCAATTTGTATTCATCATATAAATGCATAGTATTATCCTACGTATATACTGTGTTGTGCTAACGAATGACATTCAGGGTGTATGAAAAAAGAAGACCTTTAGAAATTAAACTATTGTTATGAATGTAAATGCCTGGTCAATTTTCTAAGCCCACAATTTTGTAAGCGCTGCAAACATGCACAATCGAATAAAATCTTAAGTTAGGCCTAGGTTTATCATCTCATTATCTATTAAGGTCGACACAGACCGGACGCGAAGCGGCAACGCGACGCGAATTTTGAGTTTTCAGAAGCATATAAATTAAATTGTGGAAGCAAAATTTGGAAACTATGGACGCTAGAGCAGTCAAAATGTTTTATTGTTATGTAATTTATAAGAATATGATAGTTTAAAATAGTTCTATATTATGATAGTTTAAAATTTATTTGATTTTGAAAAATTAAAAACGGTTGAAAAATCGCGAATTTTGAGTTTTCAGAAGCATATAAATTAAATTGTGGAAGCAAAATTTGGAAACTATGGACGCTAGAGCAGTCAAAATGTTTTATTGTCATGTAATCTATAAGAATATGATAGTTTAAAATAGTTCTATATTATGATAGTTTAAAATTTATTTGATTTTGAAAAATTAAAAACGTTGAAAAATCGCGCCGCGTTGCCAATTCGCGTCCGGTCTGTTTGGGCCTTTATTTGAATTGCATTCGACGCGACGAAAATGCGACGTATAACATAGGCCTCAGTAATGCATGGCACGAGTTATTACTGCTCATTAATTTCGCACCGGCGTCGTTCAAGGTTGTTCTGAGTGACTAGTCATGACGAATCACATATTTTTTTCGCGGCGAATCTTTTCGCAAAATCACTGGATTTCAGATATCGCTTCGCGTCGCGCGAATAAATTCGCCTTGTGGAAAACAGCAATAGTCACCTTAAATAGTTTTCTTTAATAATCGCCCCTCTGTGCATCCGCACTCGTTATGAGACAGCGGTATATCAAATACGTTCTCTTTTGATTTTTTTGCCCGATAGAAAGGTGAGAGATTTTTTGAAAACAAATAAAATCCAACTCAATCTTACGATTTCTTTCTTTACAATCAAGCTAAATTTTTGCAGGTAGCAAATATATAATATTACTCATTTAGTTATACGTTACAGGAAACAAAAACTAATAAAATGACCGCGAACAAAGTCGTTCAGCGAGTGAAATTTGGACTCCATTGCACTTCGACATTCGTGTATACATTCACGCGCAAATTTTCCCAAAATGGAATTATGTTTCTCGTATTTTGAGCTCCCCGTGATTTACTTTTACGTTTGCACAAAATAGCAAAGTAAATGTCGTTTTCGAACATACAAGAAGGTATATTGTTTGTGAGAATAAACATTTTATAGTTTGGAGTGGGAGCCAGGGTGCATTCGGTGTATATCACACGCCGAAGATACGCTAAAGCAATCTTAACATTACGCCAACTTCCCACCCTGAGCCATACTTACGACAATAACCCACTCCAGGACGTTACGCCGGTCGCATACTCGCCAGGACGTTCGACTCATGAGTCAAAAAATGCTACACGTTTAGAGGACCATTTTTAAGAAGTTAAATGCCTTTGTTGTTGTTAAAATACTTAAATGCATGCAGTTGAAGTCGGTGTGTGTGTGGACCTTCGAATTACAAAGTTTGGTGTGTTTATCCGGTATTTATGCGCTGACAAGTTAAAAACAGTGTACGCCACTACGCCAAGGAAAGTTGATTGTACGCCAGTACGCCAAGGATACCCTAACTCTACGCCGAAGGTATCCCGCTTTGTCTACACCGAATGCACCCTGGAGTGGGAGGTTGTTGCTTGTCAGGTTGGCTTCGAATCTGGACTGTGCTTTCATTTTGAGTTAGTCTTAGGGGTAAAGATTTGCATATGTAGATAACTGCTAGGTACCTATTAACTTCTTAAAAATTAACACTATGTTGCAGTCAACCTTGTTTAAAACCTCTTATTAATCTCTTTCCCAAACCCACAGTTTCTTCTGGCAAGGAAACAAAGACTCTGGGATCAGAAATGATTCTGATTGGTTGTTCACACTGTAGGAGCTAGGCTTCCAGTTTGGATTATCCCAGAGCTCTTGAAATTGCAGTCTTGGGAATGAGGTTGATCTCTTCCTTGCTTAGGCTATTATCAATTTCCCATGTTTAGACATTTCATGAGAGATGGGTCGCACCTAATAATTTATATTTTTATGTATATGCCCAAAGTCCACACCAAAGAATGCCAAAAGTAAATTTATTCACATCACTATTAAGTATTAACTGTTTCTAGGCCATGGGGAAGTTTATTAAATCTGGCAGAGTTGTACTCCTCCTAAATGGAAGATATGCAGGGCGAAAGGCAGTAATTGTTAAGAACTATGATGAGGCAACCTCTGACAAACCATATGGTCATGCCTTAGTTGCTGGTATTGACAGATATCCACTTAAAGTGAATAAGAAAATGGGCAAGAAACGGACAGCCAGACGGTGTAAGATCAAACCATTTGTGAAAGTTGTGAATTATAACCATATCATGCCCACAAGGTAAATTAAGATTGTCCCAGTGATAAGTATGCTACAAATTTACAGAAATATCATGACATATATTCAGGTATTATAATTACATTGCAGGACAACCCCTTTCTTCAGAAAGAGTAAAGCTTTTATCTCCTCAATATCGCACTATACATTTGCCTTTGAGGCACTTAACAATCAGCTTTCTCAATCCAAATAGGCTGAAAATGTACATGTAATGAAATTATTACAAACTGCACTCTGTATTTCAAATATATAGGTACTCTGTTGATGTACAAATTGACAAAAGTATTGTGAATAAAGATATTTTGAAAGATGTTGCAACCAAACGTAAAGCCAGAACAGAAGTGAAATCAAAATTTGAGGAAAGGTAATTACTGCTGTAAAAATTAAGTGACAGTGACAAACTTCATTTAACTTGTGACAAGTTACTTCTTCCTTGTGACAAGTGTCGAAAACATCAATACTTCTCAAAAGTAGAGATACCAGCTTTAGAATTCTGAGTATCAAAGGTATTGATATGGCAAGTCACTAGCGTTTGGTATCTACTTAGTTTTGCACATATTGAACACATTTGTGTATTAGTTTCAGCATGTATTCAAACTGGCTGTCCACTAGTGATAAAGTATGGCACTAATGTTGCTCTTTTGAAATTCTGAGAAGTTTTTAGATATAAAGGCTAAGGGTGAAAGTTACTAGAGATCTGTGTGACCTAAATCACCTAATGAAAATTTATCCTAATCGTATTCTTGATATTCAAGTGCAGTTGACCATGTTACTTAAGAAACATAAAGGAAGAAAAAAAAATTGTTGGGGGTGCTAAGGGACAATTTTTCTACTTTATGTTCCTAGTATCTAAAAGTAGAGACACAAACACATTTTGTGTCATATGTCATAGGTTCGCTGACACATTTAGGACATTCATTAATGACTTAAATGAATGTGTCTGTTCCTGTGAAATTTTAAATGGTGTAAAATGTTTTGCCAATTTGTCAACAATTTTGTACATCAGCATTTTTTTCTGTAGATACAAGACAGGAAAAAACAAGTGGTTCTTCCAGAAGCTTCGGTTTTAGGATATGGATGTAAAATTCACATGAAATAAAATTGCCCACCATATATTTTATTGCTTTTATGTTTGAAATTCAGTTGGTGATGCATGCAGCTGAGTGATTACAAAAATGAAGGGGTATTTTATTGGATATGTTAAGCAAATAGGACACTTGAATGTTCATTAAGATGTTAAGGTTTCTACTTGAATTTTCTTTTATATCAATTTCTTAAACATTTCTGTTCAGGGATCTGATGACAATAGTTCTTTTGGGTATTTCAGCAGTAAGGGCCCAAAATGTTGCCTTCAACCATGTCCATAATTCAATTTTGGCCACAGACTATAGACAAAAATTGCCTTAAACATTACCTAACAATACAATACTCATTACAAACATTTAGTAGCATGTTAGCCAAATTATGCAATGCACCTTATTTCCTTTTGTACCCCAACACAATTCACCCAGGTAAGTTCATTTCATTTGTCAAGTGATATTAATATATCAGCAACCAATTTGGTGTTAAAAGGTCATATTGAGGGCGCTTGTGTAGCAGTTTGGTTTATACGAGAGTATATATAAAACAGGAATTTTGTAGGATTTCGCTAAACATATTAAATGCCATCAACTTTTCGATTTTCTGCTGTTAATAGTCAATCAAAAATTTCTTCAGAACTACACACAACATATTTATGATGGGGTTGTTATGTCAAATCAATAGCATGTCCCAAGGTCTCTAAAACAGCGTTGGGGGAGGAGCAGAAAGAGCGTCCATTTTCTTCACAGACTAGCACAGCTGTACGTTTCGAGAAAAAAATAGTCGAGTCGACACTATAGCATCAAAAAGTCCTATATAAATTCACAATTCAAAATTATTTATTGAAATTCACACCTAATAATGCATCCAGTGTACAATACTCGAACATTTGTCCAAAAAGTTTCGAAGTGCATGCAAATATCAGTTAATTAACTCGGGGGCTTCGTATACATATAGCTGTTCGTTGTAGGCTTGTGGCAGCTATTTCATAGTTCAAATATTAGCTTACAAGTGCGTGTTAACCGGCATTATGGTGCAAGTATTTGTTAAAACTGTTCTACACAAACATCGAATTCGTACACAATGTTGATAAATCGAGGAAAAGTTTAAATCAAAGTTTACGCATAACTTCACTATGCATCGACTTTCTCTGCTTCTTCCTGTGGTTCGTCGACCATTTGCGATTGTTCACTTTGCCAAAGCGTTAAATTATCACGTAGTAGCTGCATAATTAGTGTGCTATCTTTATAGGTATCCTCTTTCACTTTATCTAACTCGGTGATGGCGTCATCGAACGCAGTTTTAGCCAACGAGCAAGCTTTTTCTTGGGAATTCTCGATTTCGTAATAAAATACGGAGAAATTCAGCGCCAAGCCAAGCCGGATGGGATGTGTCGTACACAAATGCTCTTTACTAAGCTCTTGAGCATTTTCGTACGCCTTCTTTGAATTCGCCTTATTTTCGTCTTGGTCGGTTAAGGCTTCGACGAGGTACCGGTAATAATCGCCCTTCATTTTCAAATAAAACACAACGGATTCTTGATTTTCGCAGTGTTTCGCATTCGGAATGAGTGTGTCATCGAGCAATTTCACAACTTCCTTGCATAATGTCGACAATTCCTCTTCGATTTTCTTAAGATAATTCTGCCTTATCGTACCTTCAGCCTCATCCTTCGCCTTCGATGTGAGAGCATGTACAACTCGCCATGCCGAACGTCTTGAACCGACAACATTCTTGTAAGCGACTGAAAACAAATTTCGCTCTTCGGTAGACAGGTCTTCATTGAAACTTGTCACCTTTTTCATTGCTTCAACCATGTCTTCGTAGCGTTCTGCTTGCTCAGACAATTTTGCTTGTTCGACGAATGTCACCTTATCCTCTGCCATTTTAGAATAAAAAGAGATTTATGGTGATAAAAATTTCTCTCAGAGTTCGTGAAACTACCGAACACGAAGCCAAGCAAAATAGGGCGGAAATAAGATTTGGATACCAGCTCGGCGTCAGCGGAAGCCATATAGCGCTTGGTCAGCAGTGTAAAACATTTTTGACCATATATGGCGTTTAATTATGTACAAATTGAATATGTAATAACTGGGCGAATGAATTATGATAAATGATATCCACTATACCTACCAGCACATGAAATTTTAGAAAACGTTATGACCATATAGTGAATAGACAGAAAAAATTAATGACAAATATTTCTGAAAATAAAAATTAAAATAGTTTTCCACGTACTTCGTCAACTATGTCTCGACGTAATTTAATTCAATTTTAACTACCTAACTTTGTATTTCTCAGGTTATAATTTATCCCTACTTTAACTTAAATTTCTGTCAGGGAGGACAAATTAAAATAGAAATAGGCGCATCAATGCCGCCCGCTTACCCACTTGGTGATTCGAGGCCGACGAGGCGCATGGCTTTCTCTGAATCTCTTCGTTCGTGCCGGTGATGCTTCATTCAAAAAACCTCGGTCTGATATTTTTGTATAATAGATTTTGACAATAGATTTTCCTACATTACATTCTAATTGGTCAAAATCTCTGAAGTGGTAGTCACTGGTCAGTGACTATAGCTTGCTTTTTGATGCTTTTTTTTCAATATATATATATATATATATATATATATATATATATATATATATATATATATATATATAAGCATACCTATATATTAGTATAAATAAATAATATATAAATTTTGAAAATATTATATTTTTGTAGTACATGCATTTAAAAAGAGTGTTCAATATCAATAGAGCAATTTCGAGTACAGATGAGTTGTTAATTGCTAATCATTAATTTCTCAGTTAAAAAATATACTTTTCTACAATAAACACATTTTGCCAAACATTGAAAAGGCACTTTTCCCAAAACATTTCAACAGGGCAAAATTAATTGTTTCAGCAAAAATGCCACCCACCTAGATGGAAAAGGGTGCTGACACTGGATTATGTAAGCTGTAATCAGCACTTGGCTATATCTAGCTGTTTTAAAACTTTATTGGCTTAAGAAGTGGATATTTACCCTATAAAAGTAGAATATGTTCACCCATTCAGTGAGTCAACAAAACTGAAATACCCAGGACTGCATCAGATATTCATGTTTTTTTATATTTTTACCATAGACAATGCTAATTTCCATAAAAAATCAATAGGCAAGGATGGTGGAAAGGCCTTTAAAAATGAGGAGAATTGTCATAAATTGTTGTCCAGTAATGTAGCCATTAGTCAGGGGGGACTGTTTAACTCATTGTGATGTTTTATTTTTGCATTGAACATTCTACTTAAAATTATAATTTTATAGCTCCAGTTACCAAACTTCATTTAATAACCTTGCTGAATAACAATAACATTTCACCCTGGCTTACAAATTCGCAAAGCTATGTTAAATCATGTGGAATGTTACTTGTGTCTTGGGCTCACCAAGACTATCGCAGTGTCTCTTGGGGTTGGTATTGTACTGACTTAGTAACTCACTCTCATTAGAGTACCATTAGAATACCAACCTTGTTATTATACTTTCACACTTTCATTAATTAATAAGCTTGGGGAAGATGTCAAACTGCATTACATATGTTTGTTGCTAATATGAAGCACTTAGCATGTAGCACTTGAATACAAGAGCATACAAGTTGATTTTTTTAAACTACAATAAACATAGATAGAATCTGTGCACTGTTTAGAGTACACAGGTAAAAAGTTTTTAACTATATCTTCCTTGACACATTACCACAAGGCAAGTGAACTTAGCCTTAGCTTAATAGGTTCTTGACAAATTGTTTGAACTGCTTGATTCTAATTTAGGAAGATGTACTAAACACTAATATCCACAGGTTTATATGATAGAAACAAATGTTTATCACATAACAGGAATGATTGAGAAACAATATGAGAAACATGCCGAGGCCAGTTCGTTTCATAATTTGGTAATAGTCTTATATAATATATGTTGACAGTAGAGTGATGTAGCTTGTTTCAAAATATAAAATCACGCATAACTATACATCTTAATAAGTACTTGATGTATACAAAAAAGTTCTAAACATTAAATAGAAGCTTACAAAATTATTCAGTTATTAGCATCATCGCCTTCGCCAGCATTAGAGTTTTCGTTGGTCCATAACGTGAGATTATCCCGTAGCAGTTGCATAATTAACGTGCTATCCTTGTATGATTCTTCCTTGAGGTTATCTAATTCGGAGATTGCTGAGTCGAACGCACCCTTTGCCAACTCGCACGCCTTGGTGGAATTTTCGCGAATCTCGTAGTAGAATACTGAAAAATTGAGCGCCAAACCTAAGCGAATCGGGTTTGTCGAAGGCAGATTCTCAGCCTTCTTGCTGGCATCATCATATGCTTTCCTTGAATTATCGATAACCTCCTCTTTGCCATCATCGTCAGCAACTTCCACTAAATAGCGATAGTAATCCCCTTTCATTTTGAGGTAGAACACATTCTGTTCAATAGCCGACTCGTTTTCTGTGCTTTCCGCCTCCATTTTAATCAAATATTCATCCAAAAGCTTCAGCACATCGCGACAGCGTACCTCCAGTTCCTGCTTGATTTTATCTTGGAATTCTTTTGTGATCTCTGCAACTTCTTCTTTACCTTGGCCATCTAACTGCGATAACTGGTTGGACACAACTCGATAAGAAGATCGGCGAGCTCCAACGACATTCTTGTAGGCAACCGACAACAAGTTACGCTCATCTGACGAGAGCGCTTCTCCCGATCGCACAACCTTCTCCATAAACTCGACCATATCTTCGTACCTTTCAGCCTGCTCGGCCATCTTTGCGTAAACAATACTATCCTCTCTTGTTAGTTCTCCCATATCGCTTTTTATATGAAATAGCAATGTTCGAAAATCGTATCACGAAGCGTATACAGTGGCAGATATTTCACAATATACGTACGGGAGTGGCAAGTCACGTGATTTCAATGATTACAATAGCAATCATGATCGCCAATCAGGAAACGTTATCTGATACGGGAAACTGTAAATTGAGTTAGCTCCACTGATAGATACCTTCCGACTGAAGACTCACATGATATGAATACTTTTTGAACAGACTCTCACTAGAATTTGATGTACTATTGGTAGTGCTCTGTAACATTACGAGGACGAAACACCGCAAATACACCTAATTTTACATATTGTTCTATTGTTTGTTTCGAGATCTTGATATTTATTTTACGAAAATATTTTTCATAACTTAAAATGCGAACACTTATTTCCGGGTGGGAACAAAGGGTGAGAAAAAATGTCAGTGACGGTAATGGCGTTCTACCACCATAAATGTGCGAACAACGGTACTTCGTGTAGGCGTGATAAAAGAAACACCAGGTAGCACAACTAACGAAGGCCTTAGGCTGCTAGGAACGGTGTGAAGGCAAAGGGGACAGATTTTGGTGAAGGGACACTTCTGTAGCGTGGAATAATAAATCATGTTTGGAAAACATTTCGTTTCGTAGTGTTTTTTCTTTCCAAAATAATTTCGGTGTCTGGAATCTTTCCAACAGACGATTGTACTATTCTTTAATCTTGTTGGTTGCACTTCTAATCAGTAAAATATAGAATGTTATCTTTTAAAATGAAAGGGCATTTTGCCCTCCTGGTAGCCGCCCCTCCAACACCCTGGCACGTCTGCCTTTATCGGTTGAACCGTCGACGACGCCCCATCAATTTTTTTAAGGCACCAAAAATGCCCTTTTTGTGATGAAAAATTCTTTTTTGGAGAAGCTAATGCAGCTGTAAATACTATTTTAAAACTTGAAGTTGCCCTTTTTGTTTCTATGTATGCCCACTTACACGTGCCCAAATCTTTTTGCAGAGCATAAATATAAACCCTACTAGTGGTATCCTTGCAGCTTTGGTAATCAAGCCGTCCCTATAGGTGGGTTTCACTCAAGACTAATACATAGCGAAACACTTGGTGGTCAACTTCACACATATTGCGAATTATGCCTTGTGGAAGCTTAAGTGAGCAAATTTCGTTAAATTGCACATAACATCTATTCAACATTAGGTCAAAACCTACACTGAATATTTTACTCGATTACACGAGTATTACACGAACAATACTCACACCACGTTCACACACCAGTTCAATGGTTCACACTCACAAGTGTTTGTATTATGGTATAGAGCTCAGCAGTTTTCGCGATAATCGGAAAGCGTCGTAATCAGTCGTTGTGTTCATCATAAAATTATATATTATTTATTTTTGCAGACTTCAAAAATGGAAGGAAAGTCAAAATATGCTGGTTTGCCTGGCATTGTATGTATTTAATGTTGTGATCAACTGTTAAACATTAAAAAAAAGTGAATTCTAAATTTGTTTTATGCAGGATACTGATTCGCCGGATGTATTTGAAACTGTTGAGGAAGGAGGGGTGAAGATTGAGTCACAAAAATCAAAGGTCTGCTTTCTGCAATCCAATATAAACATCAATATTCCATTTAATTTAATTCTACTGAGTTTCAAAACTTACATGGCTGGTTAGAAAAACAAAGGTACAAAAGCAGTACGTAGTTTAAATTATTTTACTGTTTCAAAATTCAAACTGGGCATGGAAATGTTTATAATAATGCTATGTACCGTGCTATGTACTCAGGGTTGGATATAAGAAGATTTTTTTAAAATTAAAATCTTCTTATTTCTTATATTATATAAGAGATTTTTTAAGAATATAGAAGATTTTTCAATCTTCGATAACTTCGATGCGTCACTTAAGAACAAAAAGATATATATATATATATATATATTTATATATATATATATATATATATATATATATATATATGATAAATGATATATGATATGATAAATGATATATCAGTTTCATGTAACTTTATTTTGTATTGTTCAAAAGTGTATGTCAGTTAATAGTGGTTCAAATCTTCAAATTCACAACTTCAACAATTACAAAATTATCAAAAATAATATAAGAAGATATAAGAAGATTTACGCCCGAAAAATAAATCTTCTTATATTAATATAAGAAGATATAAGAAGAAATAATATAAGAAGATTTGCCAACCCTGTATGTAATGTACTAGTTAATCCGAATTTTTATTATCTCCCTCAACAAGCCCCCAGGACGTTTGATCAAATATCTAGCTGTACAGGCAAAATGTGTTTTGGGGCACCCATATCTGTCTGGTATATGTTTCTTATATATAGAAATTACTAGAAAATCGAACCAAGTATCACATTTTCTATTTATATGTATTAATTATCTACAGTAGTTAGGTTAAGTTATGTAGTCTTACATGGTCTCAGATAGAGGCATGACAAAGTTTGGTAATACCACATATGTAAGTATATTATCTTGGGGACTAAGTTTAAAAGCTCTTCAAGATCGAGGTAGAGTTTATCACATAAATTATGCTTTTGATTGTGATTTGGAAGGGGTGATTTATTTAATAACTTGTAAGACATGCCATGTACAGTATGCCTGTAACATGGTCACAGCATTTAGGCTGAGATTTATTAATCATAACATTTCACTCTTATGTTTCAACAAAGGTCAAAGAGGTATTTGAGGTCATGCAGAGTTTATATGCACATTTTTTTGAATAAGCTAGGCATAAAAGTTTAGAGGATTCAATTTTCAAGTAATGTGAATCAAAGACAATGATCTTACAAAGTTGGATATCTGACTTTACCAGCAAAAGTTCCTATATATTAAAGCCAACATGGCAGCACACTTCCATTCCTGTAGTGACTTAATTCTCTATTCCTGAATTAATATTTAATTAGTTGAGTAATTTGGAAAACCTTCTAAAAACTTTTATAATATAGTATACTACTGTCAGGTAAGGTCTAAGGTCTAGGTAACATGGGGTTGACACAAAATCAGAAGTAATAGTAACCAATTATTCTATACATAACATGTCATAACAACATGTCTGATAAGCAACAATATATAATTAAATATATAATTGTAGAAAATGCCATGCACATGCAAAATTTCAAGAATACTACAACTATATATAATCTGACATACTTCATGTAGACACTAGCTGACAATCACTGAATTCAGGTTAATTACAACATTAATGGTGTAAATTTATATGGTTTTTCATCGTAGGATGAATTTGAAAGTGAAGACATTGAACATGTTTCGGTAAATAAAAAGGAAGCATTTAACAAATTTAAAGGAAAATATCTGGATGCAGATTCAACAGGTTTGAGCTAGTATTAATTAGGTACATAGATTTGAGAAATATGTTCAGGAAGTATTCAGGAATAAACAGGTTCACAAAATTTTAAAATGTTTACGTGCGGCAAGTTCAAAAATTTAACTGTTTATTGTAGTTTCATTATATAGAGGTGTGATCAGTTTACACACAAGCAATACAAAGCTAAAGCAAAACAAAAGAGATAATTTATCAATTACATACACACTGCACAGTGGGCATTTTTTACAAGGCCATGGCCCAAAAGTTATTTTATGAACTGATTTAGCAGAGAAAAGTTAAAACCTCATAATGCCGCCCAAAAAATTAAACGTATTTCATAGTCATAAGAAATAAGTACCTTCCAGGAACACGTTTTTGTGTAATGGCATGTCGAAAGCTGCAGACTCGCCACATATTCAGTTTACTCAAAAAATGTGAATATAAATATATAATAAACATTATATAAAAAACCAGCCTGGACGGTAATTTGATAGTGTTTTGGGGTTTGTACTGCCGCCTACCAACGTTTTTTTTATACTTCAATAGCTACGACAAAAAAAGTCATTCTAATTAGTTTACCTTTCGCATTGGCGTTTCAAGTTGGAAATGCCTCTTTTTGGTTGAACTATTTAGTTTTTTGTTTTATATTATAATAGCTTTTGAGCATAATTTTGTCGTTTATATAAATTTGAGCTTTTTCCCGCCAAACTTGCAATCGTTGTATTACCAACTGATCTCACATCATTTGCCTGAACTGGATTGAAAATGAATGGAAAATAAATTGATAATTAAAGAACTATATGAGTTTTAGACGTCGTCTATACGTTTTGTTCACAACCGCAAAACGTCGGTTTTCACGTCCTAGCAACATTTCAGGCGCAAGCAAGCGCTACCTCGAATTAGGCTCTATAGGATTGTTCCCAAAATGACAATCCGGTATCCCTTTTCACATCACTCTGCGTGGTACTAAATAGATGAACTGATTGTGTGTATTAACCTTTGCCGCAAAATACAATTTTTAGATTTCTCTGGCAACGTTGGGAAACTCAAAATGAGAGGGTATGAGACAAGAGGAGAATATGAGATTGTAAGTTACTTTAAAAGAATAGAGTTGTTTATCTGGCATCTCCCCTCAGTTTGCTTCATTTCTGAAAACGATCTTGAGGTAACATTAGAAATCCATAGTATCAGTCAATTTGAACAGTTTGAGTTTTCTTATACTTAGATTGGTGATAGATCAATCACCAAGGAAACGCCTGGCCAGAAATATCAAAGATTGCAAGTAGAAATAGAAGAACTTGCTGAAGAGCTAGAGAAAATCAAGGTATTTAATTTAAATTTAAATTGAATTGAATTTAATTATTCACTTCACTGCAATTAATAGACACAAACATTAATAGACCTTATGCATGATTAATATACTCAGATAAGGCCCAACGAGGCTAGGCGAGGCTTAGCGAATACTATAACTATAGTAACCTAACTAGTTATGCCCGCTGCGGATCGGTAGGGATTGAGACGGCAGCACGGCGAAGCGAACGAGGTTGGCGATGCGTAGTCTTTACTGTCATTTTCAATCATGCGTACGTCCATCAGATATGGAACCTAAACGGTACCCTCTCCATCCCGTGATCACACTGTCACACGGAATCACAGAAGTTAAAGCCGTGGAAGGAAAACATGAACACACACGATGCACACATAGTAAATAATTAGATACATACCGTAGGAATCTTTGCAAACCAACTGAACCTAGAGAAGCTAAACTAAAAAACAATAAATGGAAACCATCCCCCGACGGGTGGAATGTCAGGGGAGGAAGGCGGGGCGAACGAAGCGATAATAAGCAGATAACAACAAGGCAAGCCATATAAATACTAAGGCCCGGCGAAAATACCCCCGTGCCAAACACCCGGCTAGGAACCCACGCGAGGGCCAACTCTTTGATATTAACTTCTTTTATTATACTAATAAATACATTCAAATCAGTGTGACCATATGTGCGAATTTTATAACCAAAGCTGCTGTGACCGCTTCCACCTGGTATAGATTTTGTAATCATTAAAATCAGGTGGGGCTGTCTATAGTGTGTGCATCCGATCTAATCTGGTCATTAGAAATTACCAGATCTGGTCACACTGCAAAAGGTATATAATTGTTATATATATACTCAATCTTGTTCAAAGATGGTTTATTGTCGCATCACGCTTTATAGAAACAATACCATAATCATAACCACTATCCAATTTTTTACAGGATGATGCTAAAAATGTAGAAAAGCAAAATAAATTTTCACCTACAGGTTTAGCTACAGAGGTAAGGCAATCTTAATTTTGTAACCATTCCAAAATTCAACAGATTGAGTCTCTTCTTTATATATATATATATATATGCTGGCAGAGATATAAGTACAGTATACATATTACTAACACGCAATTTATCGCGAAGATTGTCACTCGAAGTATTTTAACTTTTTATAGCTTACGTATATAATATGACTGAATATTTTTCTATAAATATTAGTCCGGTTTTTAAAGTATGGCGCAAGCTTTGTCTCGTGTTGTCTCCCGTCATCTAAAAGTAACTTTCATATGTCTCCCTGGCATAACAAGGAAGAATTTCGTTTTGAATGCCTAAACTTTTTATACTTGATGTAAATAGTAAATAATTTACCAGAAGTAGTCAACATTTACGCATTCTGATTAGGTTACTGAAAATGAAAACAAATTTGGTGATTGGTCTAAACCGAAATTCCTCCCTGTTCGCCTCCCTCAGACAGTACCTGCGGACAGTACTAATATTTATGGTCTTTATTGAAGATCAAAATCGATTAGATTTTGTTATGGAGGTCCTTTATATAGACCTATATATGCAATTTGATATATGGGCATGCCAACCATGCAGTACGCTTATATTTTTTATTTAGGTGAAACATCTTCAACAGCAGGTAATACAAGCAAAATATATTTATTTTATTAGAGAGAAATACATACATGAGGCAACTCATAACATTTTATTTCCTCTTATGTTTTAACTTATTTCCATCCTGTTGATTTGATCATAAGATTTTTCTCCGATGCACGTTCGCGTACTTTTTAAAGCATGCTTAGCAGCCGTACTAGTAATAGTGCTTTCGTTTACCATATTGTTGAGTATGATTATTAACCAGTAGAAGATAATAGTAAGTTGTCTCGAACGAAAAATGAATTTTTATTAGACAACTAGTACTAGTCCTTTCCCGCCATATTATATCTCCTGGACTGACTTCTCCGCAGTTCCTTAGCTGGACATGTATAGATCAAAAAGTCTCCGCGCCCTATTACTCTCAGCGCGCCATTATATAGCGACTGGGGATGAATCAGTCTCCTGGAGGTGCGAGGGGGGCGATCGATGCAAGTCTTACATATGATCATACTTATATGTTTTAGCTCCAGTCTTGGCAAATCGATGCCCTCATTGGGTCTGAGGTTTCTACATTTACAATGTTTTATATATATATCTCGAATTAAGTTGGGTTTCTGATCATTTTACTTATTTCATTGTTTCTGATCTATTGCATCATCTTGATATTTCTCTTCAAATTCAATTATATACTGCTATAAACTAGCTATGTTTGAAAAATATTTACTTGAGAACATGCACTTACGGGATTTGGGTTTTTTTATAGTTTTCCGCTGGATCAACACATCCTGAGGGAACGGTTCAAAAGTAAGCAGCGATTCAAAAACTCTTATTCTATTAGAGATTACTTCATTCTTGGCATATTTGCGAATTGTGAAGGATCACTCGTGCCATGACCATGCATGCAGTCAGAACCATGAGATAAAATAGCATTTTCATCTTATGGCTTAAAAGGAAGAAACATACAAGGTAAAGAGGTTACGAACAACCAGTGTCTCCTATAGTTTGTTTGACGTGCATGTAGTACTGTCATTGTCATATTTTCATATTTCTGACATCTAGAAAACTGCAAAATCAACTTGAATCATACAAAGAAAAAGCAAAATCAAAGCCATCGAGCAAGGAGCAGGTTTTTACAATACATTAAAAAAATATATGGAGTTATATTGCTGCATGCATGGAAATAGCATCTAAATATCTTAGGGCTGAGAATAAACAACATTCATGCAGGAGAAAATTTACCTTCCACATGAAAATTTATTGAGTGAGAGGCGGGAAAGGCCGCATATAAAATTTATATATAGCACACCTGTAGTGATTTGTTTGTGATAATTATTATTATAATCATGCATTTCTGGCCGTCAACGTGTTCTTAAAATTTCTAACCTCTGTTTCCATTTAGGTGGATGAAGATTGTGTTACTTACAAGTTGTTGTATAAACCAGAGCAAGCGAAACTGGCTCAACTATCACATGTAAGCTTCTGACGCTGTCGATACCCTAATTCTATGCTGTTGATATACCCTAATTCCCAACCATTTTTGTTGAAAAAGAAATTTTTGGCAAATTTTGTTTCATCACATTTAAAGAAAAATCAGTTGACTTGTTATTGATAATTTTACTTGTTAATTGCTAAAACGTTGTTAAATTTTACCAGACCATTTCTTTAAAAATTACTGTAAGAAAACATTCTTTGACAGTCTACTTTAATAGCATACCACGTTTAGGTTTCGGTTTACAGTTTTTTCATATTCGTATGTAGTTAATTTTTTATCAATATAGGTCAGTGAGTTAGAAGAAAGGGTTAAGAACCTTGAAAATCTTCTCGGGATAGACTCACCTCACCTGGTAAGAAAATCATTTCGTTTTCAAAAGTAATTTAGCTTGTAGATACACCACGTAAGTATTTAATACTGCAAAGCTTTCGGTCCGTTAACCCGGGCCTTCATCAGTGCAATTGATGAAGGTCCAGGTTAACGGACCGAAAGCTTTGCAATATTAAATACTTACGTGGTGTATACCTGCAAGCTAAATTACTTATCGACTGTCACTATGCAAACATGCATATCAAGAATATCATTTCGTTTTCGTTAACTCTTATCCAAATACCTGCATGAAGTCCGGGTTTTGCTAAGATAGGTGCGAACTAAAAGAGCCCCTTTTAGCGTCATTGGTTTGAAGATGCAGTCTTTAAACTGTGCATCTGATACTGTATAATGCCTTGATATATTAATATGTAGATGTTGCGTGTCAAATAGCTTGTCATATACCAACTCTCTATATGAAAGGCTTAAATATGATGAAACGTCAATTTTACTTATGCAAAACCCTTAATTCACTATATTTTGTTGTTTTAGTCCACTCTTTTTGATCAAAGTGTTACTGATGAAAGGACTTTGTCGGTGAGTCAAGCGAAATCTCCCTATAAATTATTCTTTTACTAAACAAGGATAGAAAATTTACGTAGAGCTGTGGTTATCATTGACAGACATGTTGCACTTATATAGGGGCCGATTACATGTAGCCAGCATGGGTTCACCCGCTTTGCCTATAGTGATCCGCTAACAAAATGCTTTGCTTATTTTTTTTTCAATTTTCGATTATACATGCAGGCGAGTTATCTCGTCTTGCCGGAACCGCATGCAGTTGTAGCTTGCCGAGTCAACTCACTTTGGCGAGACAGAAATTGCCCACATGTCCCATGTAATCGCTTTTTGCGGCTGAGCGGGACACGAATCAGACTCACGAATGGTCTGTTTTTCATCTCAGGTGTCCTGTCTAAAACCTGTCCTGCGGCCAGCATGTCGCATGTATAATCGTACTTTTAAGCTCGTCCCGGCAAAGCTATTTAACTCGTTTAGCCGGATCAACTCTCTTCATATAATCGGGGACTCTTATATATATGTTAAGCTGTTAATAGAAGCAACAGTTTGTCAGTACATGCAGCGTAGTATGTTATTATTCGATCTGTTTTGGCGAATTTATGGTTATCAATAATATCTATAATTATACTCTAAATATTAAACGTAAAAGATATAATCCTATATTTACGTAGGTAACTGCACAACTTTCTGTTTATTGCAGGCTGCAATTTCGGACGTGCAGGATAAGCTGGCTGTATTGGATACAACTCATGTTGAACATATTGACGCTAGGCTACAGGTTTGAAACGCCTTTTAGTTTTGTCTTGACGTATGCAATTCGAGAAGCTTAGAGTAGCAGCTATATGTACTTTGTGAGTAGAGAATTGAAGTTATGTGTTTTTAATTGATATGTTTTTAAACTTAATATCCAATTATACTGTGCGAGGTCTATATGAATACTATTTATTCCTGGCATGCATCTTTTACATTCAATTTAGGGACTTCTTCATCACCTTGACGAACTATCATCGAAGAAATCTGAAAAAGAAAATGTTGAAAATCAGAAAAAGGTCATGCATGGCTGTTTATTTTAGTGGTTCTAAATACTATTTTTACGTTAAGACACTTCACTGATTCAAATTAAGATAGTTCGGTTAATTTATCAGTTTTCCTGCCAAATGTTTATTTTCTTTCTGTCATATTATCTGTGCAGCCAACGACGTTGTTGGTGACGTATTGATGGTGAAAAGGTCTCGCAGGTCACTTGGACCCACCCGAACTCTGTATGACTTTGTCCATCACTAACATCTTCGTCTCTTGATTTCAGATTTCTGAGCTGTACGAATTGGTTACAAAATGGGATGCTACCGCGGATGTTGTTCCGGACCTGGTTAGTCATTTACGTCAATAAAAGTTTATAGCCTCCTCTGCAGGCATCTTTTATGTAAGAGATGCCTGCGGAGGAGGCTGAATAAAAGTATACAGGTTGGATTTACTGAGAAGAGAGGGTGGGGCTACTGATTGTACCCAATTAGTTTCTAAGTAGCATCTTATCTCATTTTTGTAATTTGACGAACATACACATCAAGATACGTTTTAATATCCCCTACGGGTCGTGCTTGTACTTGCACCCCACGTACGGCAAAACCACACTAGATCCATCTCTTTAGCGAAATTTCGCTGCAGTCTTTTCATATCAGAATAGTGATCTTTAAACTATTTTTTGATAGATCTATCGACTTGAGACGTTGAAATCATTGCATAATCAAGGTAAATTTTTTAACGGGTTTTTTAGTTACAAATTAAAACCGCTCTGAATGCCTGGCAATGCAATTCAACCTTTGAGAGGTTTAAATTAGTGATATATAGTAGTATTAATACTATATATTAGATATAAAACTGAAATTGCATTGCAAGTTGCTAGAAGGAGCTTTATTGCACGAGTGTTGTACTACACTAGCTGTTACCCCGAACATTCAGTGATTCTTCACTGACGGATATGTGTCATGAATCAGTTTTTTAGTTCATTTCATGACTTAGCTTTTAAAAGCTTTACTTTTAGTTTAGCATATATTTCTACACTGTCTTACCTCTCGTACGTTCTGTAGCCAACCAGTTTGGTTCTTCCCTAACACATCTGGATTCTACTCAAACGGCTATCACGAGTCAACTACAAACTCAACAAAAACTGCTGGCCAAGGTTTGCAATATATTCTATATTTATAACGCTTTAAATATCTTTGAGATTCCTCATTCATGCTTCCTTGCATTCAGTCGTATCGATCATGACAGACCTTAACTCGTCGCTTCAGCCAATATAATTTCTCTCGCTTTTTGAACAGATCGCCCAAAACTTTGAAACCAATGTTGCTTCTATTGGGGAGAATTGCACCAAATTGGACGAACGAATCTCGAATTTGATGAAAACATATAAAAAAACTGGGCGATAAATGGTATTAGCATCGAAATACAATTATAGTCATGACTTATGAAAATGTAGTTAGTCTATATATATAAAAGTGGTAGTAAATTATTGCTGCTGTTTTGGCGCAATTTTGATGATGTCATGCATTTTGAGTACCCGCAGGTAAAAATATTGTTGTTTCACAATTACGGAAAGTGAAAATATATGCTATGTAATATCCCAAAGGTTGCTGTTTTGCATTTGGGGCACTATGCTCATTGTGTCACATGCAGTGGTCGAGTATAAGTCCTTTTTAAGGGGCTGTTTATATGAGCCCTACAGGGAGGGCTAGCCCTACCTGTATAGGGCTCATGTAAACAGCCCCTAAGTAGCTAACTGTATTTTGATATGCCTCCTTTCAAGAGTAGACCTTACATATAATATTTGTTCGGTGGTATAACTTTTAGCTGGCAAATATAATGGCTGCATGTTAAGTAAAAAAGAAACATTACTTTTCTTATTTTCGGTGATCAATATACAGTACAAACATGCAGTATAACTCTATATGTGGCAATAATATGTCATATGACGCGCTGCCTTATCATCTACACTCTAAATTTCGAAGTGTCCGACAAACACCAAATAAGTGTAAATACACACAATTTTGGTGTAAATCAGTATGTTACATCCACAAAGTGCAAATTTACCCTTCGAGGTGTATTATTACACCAATATTGTGTTTCCTCAACACCGATTAAGTGTATAGCTAAAGTTTACCTTCTTTGGCGTAAATTTACGCCAAAAGTCGGTAAATAAACACCGTTCTTGTGTAATAAAGCACCACTTTGGTGTAAACATTATCGCTATAATTTTGTGTTGAGTGAGAGCTTGGGCGTGCATGCATTGGAAGCTTTTGTCGGAAAAAAATTGCAAATGGATTATCATTTTTTATATTCCTAAATAACTGGGCAAAGAGTCCCAAGTCAGGAGCAAAAAGCAATTGTTTTCTTAAAATAAGCAAAGCTAATTCCAAAGTCTTGGAAAAATGATTTGTTCTTTGTTTATATCTTTCTTTTCATATTCAGAAGAGATGACGGTTTTGATGCAAACGCGACGGTTTTGACGGTTTTATTTCAACATTCTGAATAAATCCCGTAACGCCGTAACTCGCGCAGAGAAATGTTGATAGGATTGCACCACGCTCTCGATGCATGCCGGGATAGCGTCGCTTCGCAGTTCGCACGACGCACGTTGTTGTTTGTTCCTTTGCAAAGTATAAATCGAGAAGTATTTTGAATGTATATTAAATTTTACTGGACATTATGATACAAGATTGCCTGGAGAAGATCGAGGATATTGTTTTAAAAGTGACTGGGAATCTCAGTCATCTCAGAGGTAAGGTTTTAAAATTATACGCGCAAACAGACGAAAGCTATATATTTTGAATTTCGAATTTGCCGCGTAAACAGTGTACGTATTTAACAGAAATATTCACAGTTTTGCTACTCATTCCCACCAAAAAAAATGAATGATTTATAGAAATATGTTATGCCGTGGTTATACTATAGGTACTATGCCATATTAAGTGTGATATTGATGTAATGATGTTGGCTAAACCATGGTCAAATACATGAATTTATGTTATATATTAAAATATGAACATGAAACTGATTGAAACATCTGCCATAACAGACTTACTCAATCTTAGGATTATGATGTACGGAATCTTAGGATCTACATTAATTTTGATTAAGAATTTGAATGACATAGCTGTTATATTGCCTTTTAAATAATTTTTATATGCATCCTTTATTAGATGGTGGATTAACAAGTGCCAAGTGGTGATGTTTATAAGTCTAAGTCATCTAAGTCTGTAATGAACGAGCAGGAAAGTATGGTAAGTAATGCATTATAAGGAATTGTGCAATGCTGTTGGATTATTCACCAACCATATGGCTCAGTTTTAATTGTATAATAATATAATAATAGCACCAATATGATATATGCCTAAAATACCTGTGTTGTATTTGTATTTTTAAGGTGCCAAGGTCTTTCATTTGATGAAAAATATCAACTTGATATTAGTTCAGTGAAACAAGAAAAGAAGCCATTTGACTTGGTTTAAGGAAATAAGGTAAGGAAAAGATCAGTTCAATGTTCATGTGTCATACAAATTGCAAATTCATTGTGTATTAATTTCACCTCCATTATTTGCTTCTTATTTATAAACAATTGGTTATATAGTTAGTTATCATGTAATAGATATATCAAAAATCATTGACAGCTTACCAGATGAACATTTGCTATCTAAATTTTCTAATATGCTTGCTTTTTTGTTTTTTTTAGGAACATGGATTAATTGAGGTAGTACTAGTGTGCGAGAAACTCAGTGGATGAGTGGAAAGTCTCCTCTGTTAATGGTTAATTGGATTCACAGTGTTGCAGAACTTAATTTTCCAGGACAAAAATACTCCAGGTGATCTTATAAATATGCTCATATTTGGGAGGACATATACCAACTTTACAAACAACTAGTCAGTAATCAAAGAGGAACATTGCTCAGGAGTTAATTACTTTAGCTTACGGTATGTGTTAATAACAATAATTGAAGACATGCAGTGAGTTTGCATAGTTCTAGATGCACTTGTCTTCTTTCATAAATATTTTTATTCAATTACCTCTGGGTTCATTATACAGGGGCTTAATTTCAATAATTTGAGTTGTTTCAGCTAGTTTCCTAAACTTGCCAATTGGCAATTTTTAATTAAGTCCTTGAAATACTTGTTTTTTTGAGCAAGGTATGCACAAACCTAGCAGTACTTTGAACTATTTCTACATGTAAATATTTAGAATTTATTCATTCATTCATATGGGCACTAAGTAAATAGTTTTAATATTTTGGACTGATAAGGAATAAGAATAATGTATAATTTTGCCTATGTGATATTTCAAAGCCTACTAATAACTTAATTTCATTGCTAGAAATGAAAGAAATGTATAAGTAGGTTAGAGGGCATATTTGTCCATTCAATTTTGTAATTTTTTATGCTTTATTATGTTCCTGCTTATTGTGCTCATAGGTTTTTAAACAAATACATAATTTATTTATCTTTAATAAAATTGTTTGTTCAATATAGAAGTTCACGTCTGTTCATCATGTAACGATCATTACATCAGTGAATGCAGTGGTTATCAAATACACCTTATGGTGTATATTGACCCCATAAAGTATAAATATACACTTTTCGGGGTAAATATACACTCATAGTGTTCCCCCCAACTTGGTGTATAAATACACTCATGGTGTATATTGATACTGTAAAGTGTAAATATACTCCTTACAGTGTAACTATACACTATTCGGTGTACATACAGAGGCAAGAGCATTTACACCAAAATTGGTGTAAATATACCCGGTTGAGTGTATATTGACCTTTAAGAAGGTGTATATTTGCACCTCTTTGGGTGTTTGCAGGGAGGCAGGAATTTACACCTTTTTTGGTGTTTGTACAACACTTGGAGATTTAGAGTGTATGCACGCGCTAATCAAACTGGGGGTAATTGTCATGCAGTTCAGTGATATTTTCCCCTTTATCCGACGTTATTTCGAACACGTCCACACAGCGTGCATGGATTTCTGCCGTGGATTTGTTGTAATTCTGCTCATGCACTAATTTTGCTGACGATGCTGTACATTTTGTTCAAGCATGCAGCCATGCACTCGTTTGATTAATTTCTTAACCCGAAACTGGAAACAGTCCGTGGGATGTCTGTGAATGTAGGCTCATCGCTCAATTGCTCCGTTAATCTCATTCACGCTGCTATATAGCTTGACTGTTTTATTGGTTTGTAACAATGGAGTAATAGCTGTCAAATAACTTCATCCGGAGCCCGCCACTGTTCGTTAATTACTGGTGTGTGACACGGTTTTGCTATTAAATATGTAATGCAGTAGACCTTTTGCATTATAGACTACCTTTTTATCCATGCAAGGAAGTGCAATCAAATCACCACAGCTTTAAAAGAGCGTACTGAAATTAGTAGAAATGCAAAGTTGGTTGCGAAAAAAATGGTTGCGAAATGTTGTAAAACACGGAAAATATTGCCTTGCAAAATTTGCAAATTTGTATACTTTTACTACAAACGGAAATTGTTACCACATTTAGGCCAAAAATGGTAACGATTTCCGTTTATCCTGAAAAAGTATACAAATTTTCAAACTTTGCAAGGCTATATTTTCCACATTTTGCAACATTTATCGCAGCCAAACTTTGCATTTCTACTAATTTCAGTGTATACGCTCTTTTCAGCTGTCGTGATTGATTGCATTTCCTTGCATAGATAAAAAGGTAGTAAGAAATGCGAAATGTCTATTACTATATTGTACACGCGTATCTTAACCCCCACAAGATGCACGATAAGGCAGTTGCTCTCGTGTTCCGTACTGGCTTACGCTAATGGCCTCGAAGCCTTTTTGCTAAGCACATAGCTCTAGTGTGCTGTGGGCGCCGGCCTTTATGTGGCAAATTGATATTTCGTAACCATGCATACGTCGTCCATTATTTATTACCATTAATGCAATGCCAATTATATTAATAATATTAGATAGAAGGAAATACTAGAGGGGACGAAATTATATAGCTTTCCTGTGGATTTGAGCAGTGGATATTAAAACAATTCGACCACTTGGAAATTTGAATATATCATGGAAATCCAATATACCATGCCATTCGTGGGTATTGGAACTCCACGGATTATTTAGAAGCATGTATTAGTGTCAATGTAAAAAGACGCGAACTTGTAAATAAGAGATATTCGAGGGCTGGCCAAGGCCAATTTTATCGTTTTAGTGCATGTTTTCGCGGGCGAATAATCAATTAATTAACGTGCGCGGTCAAGTTTAGTTACGCAGTTAGTGCACGCAGGATGGACAACAGAGGCAAGAAAACATCGCGTGCCCGTCAAAAACGTACCATTAAATTAAATTCATCAAGACTGACAGAAATTAGACGTCTATTATGAAGACAGCGAAAAAATCATCTCAATTTAATAATGTGATGTTTTCGGATTATACATTTGAGACATTTCAGCTGTCTTTGTAGCTCTTAGAATTACCTCGAATTCTTTTTAATGCTGCGCATGGCTTGTTAATATTAATGTACTCAAACTCATTACAGCTATTGTCGTTTTGCATCAACAGCCTAGACAGCCTTGCCGTTAAGAATCTACTTTGGCTAAATTTTTTACATGGACCCATCCATTTACCACTCTCAAGGTGCGCCTTACGCTTTTTCGCGATGAGCGTTAAATTATAAATAATAAACTATTAACAGTTTAACATTCATTGCAATCGAATAATCAGTTTTATAACTACGATCAACAAGCGCAATCCGTTTTGAAAGCGCGTGTTAATTTGCATGCTATATGACTTTCTTCATATTTCATTCGCCCGACAAAATGTGTTGTCTTTGTTTTCGCACTGTACAATTGGCCAAAATTACGGCCAATTTGTTTATGCGTCTGCAGTCCGGGGTGCCCTGCAGTTAGTACAGTGTTCAGCTGCGCGCTGTGGTCTAGCGGCCGCGATCTTACTCATTGCTTTCTTGCAAAATATATCCATACATGACGTGATGTTCGAGGCGTTTTTTGTCCGATCGAAGATCGGTGCAAAAATTCGTCGGCGATACTACTCGAATCGTATCTTCATCTGGGAGATATTCGGTCAAAACTGTTCAAATTGTATCGTTTCATTCCTAGTAGAAAATGTCCGTTGTAGAGGAGGCGAATTTGAGTGAAGAAAGTCCGGCACAAACGCGAAAGACCGATCGAATGTTGACGAAAATATTACAAAAGCTTCATCGCTTGGGTCCGTCAGACGAACAAAAACTCGGTGAAGATGTTTCAGTTCCAGAAAACGAAGCTTTATCGGAGCCAAGCGAAAATGAAAAGGTAGGATTGTACGACTGATTAAATTTCCTATGCATCGTAGGCGTACGTACATTCAGTTACCTTGTCTGAAAGTAACGAGTATGTCAGAGCCAAAATCTGTGTGAACTATAAATACGACTGGCCACATACATGCATGTAGCAGTGAATTTTACGGGTGGTACAGTACGCATCGCTTGATTATTTAAGGTGGCTCCGTAACCTATGCCACGGTTAATACATAATGATATCAAGATCGGGGGCGCATCAATAATACTTCTGTTTGGCGGCAGATGAAGCTTTCTGAATCAGGATGAAATTGCAAACGAACGACCGTAAAAATCGTAGCATGCCTTTTTTATTCACATGCAGGCACTATTATCACGGTTTGTTTGACAAGGCTTAATATGTTGGCTTCAACGACTGTGTTTACCACTGGTGATAGGATAATCCCATTTAAAATACATTACGTGAACCTGACTTGTTTTGGCTCCGTCATTCTGACCGTGAACCAACCCGTGGTAACTGCGGTTACGAGGTCACTATGATATACATTCATGTACAGTAAGTTGAAGTACACTAAGGTCCCGTTCACCGATCTACTCCGGTAACGACATAAAGTTGTACATATACTGAAATAAATCTCAACACTGAGTGCTTTTGCTCCATGCATAAGATTCATAAACCTTTTCATTCGTCGCGAAAACCTCATGCAGTTACAACTCTCGATCTGGGAGTGTTTACATCGCCAGAGGAACCGCAAGGTGTTGATGGGGGGAGGGGGCCAGCGATGGCGAACGAGCTTCGAATCAATTTCCGGTTATTAATTTTGCCCTCTCTCAATTTCTCTGATTTAAATGAATTGAAAAGCTTATTCTAGCAACAAGTGCTCTCTTAATTGCCGGCGCCACTGCTTGTCACAAAGGACCCATCCACAACAACAAAATATAAGCGCACTCCATGTTAGTGAACTTTTTGCGATACAGTCAAGTTCTGGATCGAGGAGGTTTTGTCAAAGTTCAGTGGCGAAGGAATTAACAGCATGCAGTTCAGTTTAAGCATGCAGACTTGTTTAAAATCATCACAAATCGCCCATGATTTTTTATAAAACATGCACGGCCTTTTGCCTCCTAGGCTTGGTATAAATAACGTGAATAAAAACATCGACCTAAATTCTTCTCCGTTTTCATTCACCGATATTCAACATGGAATCGTTCGCCCACGGGCGATGATTTGTAATATTTGACCGTCCATTAAAGCCCTGTTTACCCTAGACACTCGATTTATTCACTTTATTGGCACGGCACGGCTAAAATGGGTACCTTACCCTTCATTTCATCCGTTCTCGGCCTTTGTTTTAGTATAGTCTGAACCCCAATAAAATTGGGCACGCGCGAAACTGATGTAGTTAGCAGTGTCATACAATCGCTTGGCTTAGGAGGGTCAAGCTTAGGATGTCTCAAGATTTTTGGTGTATATTTGAATCAAAATCAATAACAGCCGCTGTCAAAAGATAGTCCTTTTAAAACCTCCATAAAATTATTTGGATACAGCATACTATATATATACAATACACTTTTTTCTTTTGTATTTTATGTTTCATATTTTTATTACTTTTCGGGGCGATATCTTTTTAAGCATTTTTGCCACGGTCGAAAAAATCAACATTTCATGCATGGATTTTGCACCAAATTCTGTACAACCGATATATATATGGTTAAGAAAATCACTTCCGCGGTGCGTGCGGAATATATAGCACACTGTGTGCATGCAGTCTTTGTACACCCTAACTTTTGCCTTTCAATCTATTTTCCCTCGCATCCCATTCCAATGCCATCACTCCGCATAACTGTTCAGAAAATTGAGAGGAACTTGCATTCCAATTCTTGTTGTATATGCATGGTGATGTTACCAACCTCTACTGAGGTTGCTCATTAGGCCGACGATATAAAGGATGGCCCATTACTATATACGTGAGTATTTAGTGAATGTGCTTTAGATAGCTTTTATTGTTGGCCAAACCTGCGGTCTAAACTTGGTAAAATTATAATCAATTTTGCAACATATTTTTAAAATCGTGATCAAACATTGAATCCAAGATAAGTGCGGACAAAATCCACGTTTTTTCCCATTCATCCGAATTTAGGACTTCGTGAATGGAGCGTTTGAATTTCACAAGGTTGCACACGGGCAACATTTCAGTTGGTGTGGCAATCTAATGTAACGACTAACGGCTGGCTATAGTTTGACAAATCATAAATAAAAGATTACTTTTGGGCCAAGTGTTTCTTCTTCAGCTTGATATATCAGAATGATTTGCATATGAAAGTAAACAGCGTATAGTCCGAATTATAATTGTGTCTAGTTTTCGTACTAAGTAATAGAGCATTTATATAGGAAGCCCGCTTTATACCATCGTTACTAATGAATGGTCGAATACTTTTTCCAGCCACAAACTACCACGTATAATACTAATGATCTATGTCCTCCGCTACTGAATTCAATTCTCTATTTTTGATCTTTAGCGGCCGCGAACGCAGGTGGCTTGGTTGTAGCAGAATCTTGTTTTATGCTTCTCATGATCGTGTTTGGCCTAAGTAAATGCCGTTATTAAACAAAATAATACTCGGTTTGTGTGCGTGTATATATAACCAATTCATTTATTCAAACTCCTTGACAGCGATTCCAATATAGGTATAGAACTGGTATAGAAAATTTCTATCAGGCAAATAGGAAAACTTGGTTGTTCATCTTTTTTATAATAATTTTAATTGCACACTGCGCTATCATTTTAATATCTACGAAGCTCATCTGTCTGGCGACGTGGTCGAGGACGTGATTATTATTCGTCCTGAACAATACGCTACGATTTTTAGTAGGAGACCAGACCATGACAGATTAATGCTCAAATTAACCGACGGCCAGCGATTAATTCCTTCTTGCAAAGCCTTAAACTGTGCGCGACTTAAATATTCATGAGATGAGTGATTCTGACACCGCGTCAGTAGTGTCACTGCCGTTTCTTTCGACCTCAAATTGAAAATTTAAATGCAGACTTTACTTTTGAGGCAACGAAAGGTCTTGGGAGAACTTTGAATCATGTGCTTCACGCCGAAGTAACCTCTGTTTATTTCCACTTTGACGCCTGTTTAGATTTCTGAAGAAACGTCTGATTTGCCGGCAAATTTCTCCACTTCCGAGCATGCAATGGACGGCAGGCTAGGACTACGATCTTCTGGCCACGGTTCAAGAATAAACGCAGATAGGCCAAGCAGAGAATATGTTTACACTAATGGCGAGATTCAACACGAAAGCCACGACGACGGTCGTGTTTTTCGAGAGGAGAGAAGCTTCCTCAGAACACAGCAAAAGGCGGAAGAAGCCTTACATTTTAGTAAACAGGCTAGAACGAGCGACCTAATCAATGGGCCAACGTTGCCAAGATTCAGCATGACACTCGCAGACGACGAGAAACCGCTCCCGAGTATAAGTATAACTTCGGGACAAACAAGTCCACGTCAGAGCGAAGCTGAACTTCCATTGACGCTATACAAGACTGAGATTCAGGATAAACAACCGCCGTCCTATGATAGCACTCATATAGAACTGAGGTCGAGAAATATTCCGTCTGAGTTGAAGTGCTCAATGTGCCAACGTGAATACAGCGAACCGAGACTCTTGCCGTGTCTTCATAGTTTTTGTTATCGTTGTTTGGAAGAAGAGGTTTCACACCGAACCGAGAACCGAATACGCTGTCCAAAATGTCAGAAAGATTTCGACTTGGGGGTGAGTTTTAGCGATACTATAATATATATATATATACATGTATGCATGTTATATAATGACTTAATTTATCTACAACGGTAAGCGCGTACAATTCATGGCTTGGGCAGGGTGGGAATTTTGTACTGTATCGAAAAGAAAGACTTCAAAAGACAAGATGAGCCATATCAATTGTTCTTTATCCGAAATTTCGTTCACATGCATGCACCTGTAAGGTCCAAATCAATGTTCAAACAAAACATTAGATCGAACTGACCGGCGCGTATCGTATTTAGTATTACTATGTGTGCATGATCGTACTAGTATACAAAAACTCGTTTACGCGGAAGTGTTTATAATACACAAAAGGCTCAAGTCCATTATTATTAAGGTTCACCTAAGGTTTCGTGCTAAACGAGGTGTGCTCGAATTCAATCAGTGCATGCATGGAGCCTTGAAGTCCATTGTGTTAAAGTGGGAAATGATAAAATGTGTATACTACAATTTCGGATACCCCCTGTCTCTTGATTTTTGTATAAGAGTTGACAATCATGTTGATTTAAGTAAATCTAATGTCTAATGATACTAAATTGTATCGCGCATGGGATACAATGGGGTAAAATCGTTAGGCCGAAAGCTGCTACGACTGTGTTATTTTCACTTTGCAAGTCTCTTCAAAAGCTCTTCTTTGAAAGCGTCATCACTTTGTGCCTAGCTCTTCTAAAAATTTGATTCAAGAGTGCACCATATACTACTACTCATGCAGTTTGAAGACTGTTCGAATTTTTTAACCTACAGCTTGGACCGCGCCGATTTGGAACGGTGTAATGTATAATATAGTTTCAAGGAATGTAGAATCACAAATCGAATAGCATCGTTATAATTGTGGCTGAAGTCTGTAGATCGACTGTATATGAGTATTCTAAAAATGAACTAACGGCAAAATTGGATATAACAATGGATCATTCTATTTACGCCAGAATAAAAACTAGTTGTTTTATTAGGGATATTAGGGCAATAAGGCACAAACTGTTGCAATTACATGCATTTCTTAAAGCGATATTTCAACTGAAGCATATGCTCATTTTTTAATTCTATCGCGAAGTTGCTGACTCTGTTATTAAAGATCAACTTTGAACTTTGACAGCATTGACTAATGACTATTGTGAGTATAAACCTTTGCGCTAATACATGCATCAAGCAGTGTGAAATTACGTTGCAACACTTGTTACAAAATTTTACTATGCGTAACACGGTAACACAAACACCGATATACGACAATACAAACACTATATATATCGGCCTTGAATTGTATTTACAATGAAATACGAGGATCCTGCGTAGATAGGGCATCTTACGGCCTTCTCTAACATATTGCAGTCACTCAGCTTAAATGTAAATAGTTCCTTATAATCATATATATAAATCATATATATATATATATATATATAGGATGCAAATCAAATGTAATATTCTATATTGGGCAGACTGTTTGGAGCGTATTGATATCTGATATAAATATATATCCCATTTTGAGCACACAATTCGTAGTTTAAATTCGCAAATCATAATTTCTAGTTCTAGACTAAAGTCTTTCACACCTTGTCCGCATAATGCACATGTAGCTACGTCTAAACAAATACTCCGATAATTATATGATATAACAGGAGTATTTTCGGAACACTCTATGAAATCGGTTTTCATATATTATTACATTTGCTGAATATTTACCAGAAATGACGCATGGCTTGTGCTGAAAAAACAAACACCTTGACGGATTCTAATGATTTTGGCCGCTGCATTACGCTTATCACGTCGTAGATAATGATTCATTTTATTTACATATTAAAAATAATAATAACATGCAATTTCATGTCATAAGTGGAAAATCAGATCGCAAATTTTGTACTTTTGCATGCAAATTAATATTTTTTATACTATCCATTAATCGAAAGCTGAAAATCAGTATAGATTTTTCGATGAACATGAATATATATGAAAATGAAAATGGATATACTTGGCTAAAAGGCTGTGGAAGTACTGTCGCGTCTAAAATTCAAAAGCCAGACTCAGTCAACAGCTTCAGCTGATATTAAGGTGAAATAAGGTATCGTTCCAGAAAGCGTTTAAAAACAAAAAAGTTTGATTTTCTAAAAAGACAAGCAGCACAAGTGGTACAAGAACACCGGTTTCCATATTTCAGTGCATGGTTAACCAGAACCAAGCTTTAAACCACTGATATATTAGTATCTATCCGCAGGATTTGCATGTTTCTCGTGGTGTAGTTTTTTTTTCATCGCTAAATGCAGAAAACAAAAACAAGAATTTATTTTTGCTCGCGCAAATTACTTTACGCATGCGTCATGAAAGCGAGAGGTGTTGAAGAGAAGAATTCCGCCAGGAAGTAGAAGTTCGTTGAACTTACTGCAAAAGCAAGTAAAATGGATCAATATCTGCGTATCTGGGATGACGTGTAATCTTTACGTATAGAAAATAATTATATAATGAAGCAGGCTTTTTGATTAGGACAGATTCCAATGTCGCTTTTTTTTGTACGTACGTACGTAAAGTTTAACACCTAGGCTGTTATGTAATTAACTTTACTTTGGTAGAAAACACGCTGTATAATCTAGAGCACCACACCCTGTGTCAAAGGTTTTACGCCCATCACTCGAATGTTTTGGGCATTAACTTGCATCTACGTGGAAATGGGTTTATTTGTAAATTAAAATGTCAATAAATCGCGGGGGAGAAACGAAAATAATTATATTTGACGGATATTTTTGGGCCTGATTGTCTGTTGAGGTTAAAAACGTGATCACACGTACGAAGATCATATTTGAGGCCACGCTCGTAACACGTACTTCGCGGTGATGCGCTAGTAGATGCATTTCAAGGAGGATTTATTACGAATTTACGACTCTCAGTTTGCAAATAATTGCGTTGATGTCTCCCTTAGTTTGTTTTCACGCATGCAGGTGACGCTCCCCCACCCCCCGTACTGCGCTAATGTTTGTTTATCGATGTTTAATTTTAGCGTTTTCTCAGCGTGAAGGGTCTGCCACCGAACTTCGTCGTAACCACATTAATTGATAAGGCAGCGCTGGAACGTTTCGAGATCGAGCCGATTTCCTGCAGTAGCTGCGAGGAAAGACTGCCTGCCACTGTGCGCTGCACTGATTGCATGGATTATCTCTGTTCCACGTGTCATATCGCACACCACCGGCTAAGATTGACTAAAGGTCATCAGGTAAAGAATTAATTACATGCATTGTAGATAAAAAGCAGTTTTCCAGCTGTTATCGTTTGATATTTATTTGTGCAAGGCTCAGGAAGTCTTCCAAACGTCTGATTTTGATCTTGAGTACTAAGTATAACTAGATTATGCTTTCTGGGTATTTTTTAACTCGTTTTATTTCCGTAGAAGGATCATCATCTTTTGCAATAAATGAAATTTCAATCGCTATGTATATATAGGCACTGTTTTTTTAAAAAGATGGACTATAACGATATCGGAGAAACGGGAATTTTATTAGGAGGATTTTCAAAGAAAATTGTCAATGAGAATTTTTATCTTGCATCTATGCATATTTCCACTGGCACTGGCGAACAATCGGGTTTCAAAATTAATGATCATGTATTTTCATTTTAATTATAAGCGTTTTCTGGTTCATTCATGCAATAATTGCTCATTACCTTATGCGGAATCTACAAAGACTCAGAGAGCTTTAAGCCTGACAGACAGCCAAGAATTACTTTAACCCGTCGGCAATTTAAGTATATATAGGTAAGCCGATAATCGAGATTTGGAAAATATTATCTTTTATCATTCCGAACCAATTCACGATATTTATACCTATAAATTAAAGCATTCGAGTCAGGCAAATTCGTTAACCGGTATACACCTGTCAGGAGAGCAAACGATTATAATGCAAAAATGGGAAATTTAAATAAAAAAGAATTAAACATGCCAGAAATCGCTGCACGATGTTCAAGCCAATCCAGCGAAAATAAATATATAATATATAACAAAATACGTGATGGTTTTTGCGTTTCATAAATATTTTTGGCCCTACAATTGAAATGGGTAGTGTCGCAGCTCCTCGCAAGAATGTTTTTAATTGGCTGAACTTTACAATACATTTCTGTTTCAACCAATAGCATAGCTTCGTTCTTGAGAAAGCATAGAAAAGCATTATCCAATTAGACGAAAGCTTCCGAGAGCTGCGACATGTTCCATTGACATATACGTTTTAGCTTATAGGAGCCAGTGGTCATGCAGGGGCACATGCCGGCCAAAGGCAAACAATATTAAGTAAATTACCATTATAATATCTTTTAAAAGCATATTAAACAAAGCATGCATTTTGGAAGTCATTTCCGATTGGGCTTTAATTGATACACTTCATTGTGGCAAAATTTCCCTATATATAGCCCGCGAAAAAACCGTTAACATAGTACTTAAGTACATAGTAGTCGTAGACTTTTCTTGATTGTTTTAATAAATCAGTAGCTATACATTTTTTCTTTGATATTTTCGAAACAGCCTCTCCCAAATTTGCACGGCTATAGCTGTTAAGGATCAAAAATGAGTGGAGAAACGTGTTTTATTAAAGTTGGAGATTTTTTGCATACTTTCTTTTTGTAAATTGAAAAATTCTTTTTGTATTTCCGTGTAGCTATATTCTTTTAGATTTCCATGCATTCACAAAGTTGTTTTTATTGAACGATTCTGAAATTCCCCATGCAGCAGAATTCAGAAATAAAATACACTTTCTTTCTTTTCTTTTGTCAGATTTTAGCGTTACAAGACATCAGAAGGAGTAAAAATGTTGCCGAGCTGCTCCACAGACCTATGTTTTGCTCTCATCACTCGCAAGAGAAAATTAGGTGAGATCACTGAATGCATGAAAAAACTCAATTCAACTTTAGGAGATTTAAATATAAATTAGATTGTATAGGTACACCCGTAAGTAATTAATACTGTAAAGCTTTCGGTCCTTTAACCCGGGCCTTCATCAGTGCAATTATCTGATTACACATCAACATGTCACTACATCACGTTCGTCTTGATTTGTTAGCTCGGGCCATTTATATAGGACCGAAAGCTTTACAGTATTAAATACTTACGTGGTGTACCTACAAGCTAATTTACTTATTTATGTCACCATGCAAACTTACAAGAATATTATGATATAGGAGATTTACATCGAGGGTCCATCTGTGTGTTCTCAAGATGCATGTTTATTCTAGAAATAAGCCATGTGGGTCTTCGTCTCTACATCGTTTGTTAATATATTTTCAACATTTGTTATGACGGCCCTTATAATGACTAAAATATAAGCACTTAAATTAAAACTAGTGTGGTTTGCGCGGTTATCGTGGCTTTATGAAGACGGCAGCAGTCGTTTTAATTCAAAATGATCGCCCTGTTTTCCCCACTGGTACAAGACAATCAAGGAGATGTAGATTCCAATAGCTTCATTGCATGCATGCATGCTATATACACACAACTATAACGGTCGTTATAACGATTATTACATTATTTACATAGTCCAAAATATCTGCATGCAATTTGTTTTTTCAAACCCATGCACAAGAACTCGAAACTAGAGCTTGAAGATTTTGTCGAACCTGGCAATCTGTATGTGAAAAATTAGATAACATTTCAAATTCTGTCTTGAATACCTAAGTTCCTAGGTATAACCATGGAAGCGTTATTTTTTCTGATTAAATATTTTAATTCAATTTCAGGTTTTATTGTGAAAGTTGTGACCAGGCGATATGTCGGGACTGCACAATGGGAAGTCACTCAAGCCGTGACCACAGATACTGCTCTGTGAACGAAGCTATCGAGAAACAACGCCTAGTTATTGAAAATCTCATCGAGAAAGTACGTAAGCGCGAACCGCTGCTACGCCGAGCTATTCAAACGGTCGAAGAAGTAAACACGAAGCTGGCGGCTAAAGCACAAACGGCGAAGAACGAAATCAATAAATGTTACCCAAAGCTGTTGAAAGCCTTGGAGGAACGACATAAGTTTATGCTCAATGAAGTAGATAAAATGTTTCACGGAAAAGCCAAGGTTCTAAATTTTCAACAAAGAGGGCTGGAAGTGGACTTGGAAAACTTGTTGAACACGTGTAAAGTCACAGGTTAGTGCAGTGCAGTCTTGGAATTAGTTTACGAGGTTCTGATTGAACTTCCAATATACCGCTACTTTCGGGGAAACATGAACCAATCAGATGCGATGTTTCTATCAGATTGACCAATCACGAATGCATGCAATAACTGAAACACGCTATTATAATTATACAAGGTGTCTGAAAACGGAACCTCCATAGACATGTCTCCAGAAGGACGGATTCGTGTGAAAATTTTTCGCTGTTTGAGACAACGTAACTGCATGTGACTAAAATACTGTGCAAAAAAAACAAAACAAAAAGCACAAGCAAAGAAACGTCGAGTTTATAACTATTGTGAATAGCAATGACATTATTAATGATAATCTCATTTAATACATTTATGCGGGTTCTTTTTTTCGGACATCCTGTAGATAACAACGTCGCGTTTCCAGAAATTAGTGGTAAGATAGCTGTATACTAAATCACACTTCAGCCATACATTATGGCCTTCATTGGCCTCAACTTTCACAATATTAGCGGAAATTCAAAACACCGTTAAAATCCCTTGAAAAATCTTTGTAATCCTTGACCTTTAGAAACATGCATATGCAGTTTGCCTGTCGCTAAATGCAGCAGGTATTTTCAAATTTTAGCTGTCAATTCATTAACATTGCATGCATTTGTAATGCTACAAGAAACAAACTGGTTTTGTTCAAATGCTAAACTTCAAATTAATAAACTTCGTATGGTAGACTGTCGGATGATACTAGAAAGGTTTTTGAATGGACACAATTTGACGAGACATTTTAAGCTTTATCACATGCAAATGCGAAAGGCAAGAATATAATTTTTTAGTATTTTCACACGTCAATTCGTTTGTTGTTCCAAATAATAATACTAAACAGCGAATTTCATGTAAAATATTGCCATTCGCTTTTAGATGAAGTACTTCGGCATGGCAATGAAACGGAAGTTCTGGTGGTAAAAAAATTGCTTTCGGATCGTTTGGCTGAGTTGGATACGGCAAAAATACGGCAAGATCCTGAGGAGAACGATGTCGTCTATTTCAATGCTCAAGAAGAGACTATGATGAAAGCGATTCAAACACTCGGCAGTGTCAAAGTTTCCTCAGCCTATGCCGCACTCTCGTGTGTTGTTGGAGGACTAAAGAGAGTGCCACACGGAAAAAAATCGTCTTTTACCGTTAATACCAGGTAAACCTCTGCCGTGCACGCAGATGCCACTGGCAAATATATATACTTAAATTTTTAGATCTGCCTCTCCGAATTACATGTAAGAAAGTCAAACAGAAACAAAAAAGCTAAAATAACCGCGATCAAAATATATGATAAACGCATAAAGACAGACAGGAGTTACAAATGGCACCAAATATGCGCACTATATAGCCTATTAGGCAAAACAAAAAAACATAATGACTTTAGTGGACGAAAAAATGGCACCAAATATGCACACTATATTGGTCATTAGGCATAACAAAAAACCCATGATGATTTCAGTGGTCGGACAAGACGTATAATGTAATGACATCAAGACAAAAAAATACATTAAAATAAACTCATAACCGAGCTGTATAAAGAAACTATCAAATAACTCGTAAAATCTGTCGGGCATAATCCCGACTGACGTTGTTCTGTCCTTTTTCTTATAGAGATCATTATGGTACGCAGTGCAGTGACGGAGGTGAAAGATTACAAGTTAACATACAGTCTACTGCTGGAGATTATACCCTGCCTGAAGTGAGAAAATATAAGAGCTAGGATTAACTTCCATCCCATAGCGATCATCAGTGCAAAGGATGCTTCTTGTCCGTGGAAAAATATCTCGATTCAGATAAAAAACCCTGTTGTCTTTTAAGTTCCCTGGAAAGGATTCAGTCGACCCTCAAATTTTTAGAATATCCCAGTTGATTGGTCTATACGCGGTTTATACATATAACTTCTAAAATTTCCTCCCACGCTGAAAATGTTCTCTTCAAGAATTCAAAAAATAGCACAATCCCTTTTATCCCTCGTCTTAATATATTTTCACTGGTGTATTTTTTTCTTGTGTATAGATAGCTGACAACAGAGATGGCAGTTATGTTGTCTCTTTTTGTCCGTCAAAACTTGGAACGCACCGAGTAAGTGCATGAACTCGTGTTTTCCTTGTCATACAGCATTAAGATTTTATTATAATTAGGAAGAAGCCACTATATGTGGATCATAGTATATACCTTCTGGCTACCATCGTTCTAAACCGCATGGGTATCAACATCATTCTAAACCAAAATAGCCGCATAGGTATCAACATTAAGGTGCTTTTTAAAAGGAACCATGCAGTTGTCTATTGTCGATGTTAGAAACATTTTCCCACCAGCAATTGGAAACGGATAGAAACTTTTTAGACAAACACTGAAGCAGATTGAGCTGGTGTGCCATTCGTCATGGTTTATTTATTTATAGCAAATGCTATACTTTGGTGCATAACAAAGGTCAACTCATTTACCCATTTTTTATTTGCTTTGTTTTTTCCCGTGCAAGGTGACAGTATGTATTCAAAACGAACACGTCCAAGGGAGTCCATTCACGGTGCAGGTCGTTCAATCTGGAGGAATGATCCTGAAGTTTGGTAGAAAGGGAAGCAACATGGGAGAATTCAATGGTATTTTCGGGGTGGCGGTGGATCCTGTTGAGGGAAGAATTGTTGTAACCGACTGTCATAATCACCGCGTCCAGGTTTTCAGCGCAGATGGTATATTTATCTTTCATTTTGGTCGCAAAGGTGAAGGAAGCGGGGAATTCCAGTGTCCAACGGGTGTTTCAATTGATGCTCGAGGACAGATCATCGTCTGTGAAAGACTGAGTTATAGATTACAGGTAGGGGTGATATAATATACCGCCATTGAAACGTTTTGAGAAGTTTGAGATCTCCCGTGCACTCATTGAGTGTGAATGAGCTTTTAGAATACAGGCATATCATTAAAGTTTTTCATTTATGGTATTGTCGATATTTCACTGTTTACCATATTTTACTGTATACCATGATGGTGTCGATATTTTACTGTTTACCATTGTGGTGTCGATATTTTACTGTTTACCATTGTGGTGTCGATATTTTAGTGTTTGCCATATTTTACTGTTTACCAAATTTTACTGTTTACCATGGTGGTGTCGACATTTTACTGTTTACCTTCAAACGGTGTGGATATATTTATGTAGAAGATAGGACATTGTTGTTGCCATATTTCCACAAAAAATATATATTATTTCAAATTCCAATAGCAACTTTCCGTGCATGCTTATGCTTTTGTATATTTTATTACTATTTTATACCCAATACTACTTTTCGTGGAGATGTTAAAAGATTATTCTTTCTTTACATTGCTATTTTCTTTCAGGTATTTTCCCGGGATGGTTCATTCCTACGTGAATATCGTATACCAGATTTAAAGGCGTCAACACTGGCTATTGGGGAAGAGCATCAAATTGTAATTGCTGACTCTGCAAATCGTTGCGTTCATGTGGTTAACATGGAAACAGGTGAGCGAAAATCCGCCATCTGTATTTTTAGAGAATTACTAACAGTGATGAATTGAAAACAAACCTTAGGTCATTCGATCAAGTTTGGTTCGTTTGGAGACGAGACAGGAGAGTTGTCATATCCATGCTATGTAGCTGTGAACGACAGAGGTCATATAATCGTGTCAGATATGCATAGTCATAAGATACAGGTGAGACGTGATAATTTATACAATGCCCAGATTCTGTACCTCATAAAAGTTAACAAATGAATGCAATAACAGTTCTTATCCGATTATTCTCTTTCGCCAAATGGCCTCGTTACCATGTTAACTTATTCTAGCATGTCTGAGAAAGATAAGGATAATATTTCCATGTCTTCAAGACAAAATAGGTTGTTGCTCACCCTAATTTGCAAGAAAAATTAAGGACGAAATGTAAATACATTTGACATGAAATGAGACCATTGGGTGAATGAAGTCTAAGTTTCGTAAAGTCTTCAAGCTTATTATAAAGTCTTCGAATAAAGTTTGTTCGACATTACCGTAGACGCATGGTAAAAAAATATAAATTCAAAATTGGCATTAAAACGGCAAAATGCCGTTTCTAAGTTTTTTGGGTTTTTTTTAGTAAGCAAATTTTTAAGTTTTAAAATAAGTTTTCAGTAGATTCGTCATGATCATTGTCGTTTGCAATCGTTTCTCGTCCATCAGGTTTTCGATTCTCGCGGTCAATTTTTGTTCAATTTCGGCAAGAAGGGAAGCCTCGAAGGAGAACTGCTTCGTCCAACCGGGGTGGCGGTCAATCGAGAAGGGCATATCATTGTTGCGGATAGAGACAATCATAGGATACAAATATTCACCGCCGATGGAAATTTTTTGCACAAATTTGGGTGGAAAGGTGATGGCGATGGACAGCTTAATGACCCTCATGGCCTAGCCATTACTAGGGATGGTAGTATTGTCGTGGCAGACTTCAGGAATAATCGAGTACAGGTGTTTGGCAGAGTTGGTTAGTTGGTCAAGAAAGATGCTGACGCACGGATTTAATCGATCGAGCTGTTGTCCAAGAAAACGCTATACCGTAATGGCAAATCTGCTTTGAAGCCACGTTCAAAGGCATAGGCTTCTTTCGTTGATCACAAGCTAACAGCTTGTAGTAACAAGTAAATTTAATTTCGACGTGACTGTAATCATATCATATATATTGCATCTAGATTTAGCTAACCGACACATTTAATCGTGATAGAATTTATTATTCACTAAATTTAATTTAAAGTAAATGCACATTCGTGATTTGTCGCTTGCCAATAGCATTATTCATGATTTTATGAGTGACAGTCTCCGTCATTGACTAGAAGCTATTTTTTCCTTAGCAAGATCTTACTATATATGGCTAAAATCGCTTTATAAACCCTTTCAAGATATTCTCCACCTTTTTGCAATGCGGTGAAGGTAATGAGACATTACGATATGCATAAATGATACCAATGATGACGTGACTCCTATAGCAATGAATTCTATGTAATCTGGAACGATGACTTGGTGATGTTTGAAGCCAATTTGAAGCCGAACTGATAGACCAGTCCACTTCTATTTTTCTAGTCTTCACGGATTACGAATGCGGCGACAAGCCTGGAACTGGTCCTCAAATTAAGCGGCTCCAAAATGGCGGTAAAGAACTCATCAGTTATCGTTTCATCTTGCCCATGTAGTAACATCAATAATGAATTGAGGCTGTATAATCAAAATTATGACTTTCCAGTCACCACACTACATATTCAGGGTGCATCAAAAGAAATGCAATTAAGGGAGTAAGACTTTTCACGTTTTGATCAGCATCAATGAGCTGAAAGACTTTCCACAATTTGTCGAAGGATCTCTATGGCGTCTTTGTTCCTTGGATGCATTTTTATAGCTCTGTAATATAAAGGATATAATAGAGTTCAATAATTTAATTTGTTGCCAAAGAGTTCACTTTATGCTGTTATGCATGCAGTTTTATCTTCATGAAGATGAAGTGTCAAGGTGGTCGTATGCAAAAATATTGGGTTATCCTATTTTAAAATATAAAGAAAATAAGAACTGTGATTAATTATATATAGAATCTTTTGGGCTGTCTAAACACCAATTTTGTCTCGCAGATGAACCAATTAAAGCAAACATATTTCTTTCAGTTGCAGTACTGAAAAGGTCGAAAAGGCAGCAGAGAATTGCCGGTACATAATATGCAGAATTGTCGCCAGCTGTCCTACATAATCACATCGACGCAAACAAACAAAAGAGTATACATTTTCAATCAAGTTGAATAGACCTTTGAGGTGCTTACGTCATGTCGGTCTCGAACAATGAATCGCAATGCAATCTGGGAAACAAGTGGGACAAAATTGTATAGATAGAAAACTGTGTGACCTAAGCACTTCAGAAGGCTATTGACCTATGAGTATTTAGGACGGTTACATTAAAGCCATTTTATTCAGAGCCTTTTGCATAATATATATAATAATACAGTTCATTATGGTGAAAAAGTTCTAAAAAACATCACTAAACATGATTACATGTCATACCTGAGTATGTACGAAAGAGCTCTTAGTGAATAACCAAGTTTGTGAAGGCCGTCGGCATAGAGAATGAGACTTGGTGCATGTAAAGGCTGTAGAAAAAAATATTTCAACCCATTTCAGACGTCGAACTTTTCACGTACCGAGTCGAACGCAAATTACTTTAGCTGATTAACATTTAGTGCGGCACATGAGAAGTTCAACGTCTGAAATGGACCTTAAGGCATAACGACGCAAAAGAATCAGGGCCGGATTAACCATGAGGGGCATCTGCCAATGTATGGCGTGCATGATCCCGCGCTTGATTCAGTTGGAATTCTTTCCGGCGCGTGGCCATGCATGGCCCCAAAAACTGCCAGGCCACATGGGCCAAAGACTGCAAGACTTTTATAAACTCATGGTTGGTCGTTATTGGTTATACATCAATAACATCATGGTATACATACTCAAAACCAGCACATGCGAAGATTTCTTAGACGTACCTGTTTCTGAAGAGCCTGCTCGCAATATTTAAATGCTTCAGTGAAGTCAACAGCCTCGTTGTATTGTTTCATCAACTGTACACATAAGAGTCAGAATTTATTTTTCACGAGAAAAATGTATAGTCGCGTGAAGGAATAGGCAAAACAGATGCATGTATCCATATAATCTAGATATTTAATTAGCCTCGCACACAGAGGTTTCCCCCAGAAGGAAAACCCTCGGTACCAGGTTTGTAACTAATTTACACCCAGAAAATTTGGGGTAGGACTTCATTTAGCAAAAAGGATATCCGAATCCTTTTTTCCGAATCCTTCGGAAATCCGAATCACGAATCCCAGCAGTGTTATTTACCTTAACAGCCATTGTTGTAGAAACGTTGTAGACGTATTCTCGACAACTCTGACTTAAATCACAATATACGAGTGCCTGAAAATTAGATCATACAAGAGGGTTTGCAGATAATTGAGTAAATTACTGTATCTCGAAATTATAGTTCTTATACTATATTACTTACATCGTCCTGGTATTGCGGCAATATTGGCTTTTCGTAAAACCACTTTTGATAAATATATTTATGTCCTTTTTTCACCTGACGAGCTGTATACCGCGGATGTCAAAAGCAAGGACAAGATTATTATTATAACTTAAGACAGAAAATTATAATTTAATATATTTTGTAATCGTGGGGAAAAGGGTAAACCTGTATAGTTGAATGTATTTGTAGATTTGATGTTCAAAAGAGGACTGCCCAACTGCACCCACTATACTCTTTGACCTCAGGCTGGAGTGGTTGCAAAAGCGCACTGATCTAGGAGCGCCCTAAAGCCTGTCTCACATTGATCACCACCGACAATCGGCGAAGTGTCGGTGGCCTGTAAAGACGAAAATACATTCAAAATAACAAAGGACTATTCTTCAGCAAAGAAACGCCGAGTTCACAGCTTGAGGTTACATAATTAATGTCAGCTTGAGGCCACATAGTTAATACTGCATGTGAATCACTAACCGATGTGTGTAGTACTTTCATCACACTCACCATCATCGTCTAAACTAAGGACATTGATAAAAAAAGGTTTGTACGTCAATCAATTTCCACTCGTTTCAATTTCTAGGAATTTTATACGTTTTATTAATTTCCTTACGTACTTTCTCCAGATAACAGCCATTCCTTGTTGTGGCTTGACGGAAATATTTAAAAATGGGAAAAATGTCTCACCTCCCTGATAATTAAAACGAAACTATTAGGAAAAAGACGAAAGACAAATGGCAGTGGATGCATGGTTAAAACCAATGACCTAAACCTAACCTCCTCGACGTCTGTAAGGTATATTATAATAGTTGCCATTCGATCATTAGGAATATGATGGCAATCTGTATGTGCTTTGTACTAGGAAGAAACATAATCTGTTATTCTAAAAACAACCGTAATAGCTTTCCCGTACGGGAATGAAACTGATTGCAATGTTGAATATACCATGACATAGAACTCCATGACATGGATTTTTGACGAGTTTGGACTCGGCTATATTCTGTAAATTTACCTATAATTAATTACTCAGAGGAATTAGCACGGCGCTCCGGCTCGGGGAATATATCTTACAAAGGTTTTTTAGAGTGCATGAATATTATAATTCTTCATATAATTCCTATATAACCTAGAAAAAGTTTATAATAATAAACATGTTGGGGAGACCTAAAATTTCCTATGACTATGTGACGTGAGAGTAACCGCCATTTTAAAGCAAGGCATTTCTTTTATTTAAAGCAAGTTTCCGAGAACGGGGAGGGAGGAAAGATCAAATACTTTTTGTTCACCGTGATAAAAATCTCACTGCTCCCCAACTTAGCACCATGTCCTAGTTGTATTCAATTACCCCACTTTTTGCATCATAATTAACCAACTGTGTGTGATAAGCATTCGTAACTGGCAATCCAATCGCATCTTGGATGAACTTTTCCAAGAGATCTACTTGATAATTTTCCCCTCGCGGTACTATCACGCTTGAGCTAAATTTGAGAACTTTCATCAATTTCTTGCCAATATTTAAGCCCTCCAGTGCACCTCCGTCACAACTTTCTTCTGCATTTAGAGAAATGTTGTACTCATCCGGTGATAACGAAGCTTTATAGATGGCATCTAGCAATTGTTTCATCGTTGAAAATCTCCATAACTTTCTAACGAAAAGACAAGAGCATTAGATCTTAAAGGAGGGGACATGCATCCTAACACATCGGCAACCGAAACTGCAATTACTGCATGAAGGTATACAAGCTTAATAAAAAACCTCACCCAATTACTTTCAGAATAAGAAAAGGTTAAAGGCATTCAATTGTACTCTAATTTTCACCCTAATATATATAAAAATTGCTCTCTGTTAAGCGTGCAAAATACTGTTTAAGCGGGAGGTAAACCTATATGGAACTTTTACGTCGTTTCATAGTCTACCTTATCCAATTCCACTCTTCATCCCGAACCACGGTCCTTGGAGTTTACACTATTCCGAATTCGCATTTGATCACGATATCAAATCTAGCCATGTCAGAAGCATTTTTAACCCCAAAGGATGATGGCAAGTTAAATGAAACTGAGTTCCGGGGCCAATTGTTCAAAGCTGGTTAGGCTAACTCAGGGGTAAATTTTAATCCACTGTTTCGGTTTAAGGACTTCTGAACCGCTAGCGGTTCGTTTTAGAAATTTACAAAATATGGCTTCATATTCTTTTAAACAACCGGCTCCTGGGGACAAAAGATACCGTAAAACAACTTAAACTTATGTCGTTACTATGTGAATCCGGTATAGTCATTGTGGACTGGGTTAAAAATAAACTCAAATAAACTTACCCTGGCCTAGGCATCATATGTCAAAAACTTGGCTCAGTTTGAATGAGCTTGTTATAATATGCTGTTTATTGTTATCATTTAATTGTATTTTATAATTATTCATGAAATTTAAACATATCTCCACATAAATCTGTGTCATCTGCTGATTACATGGATACGGTTCTGCATGTATCTTTAATTAATGCTTGCTGACCGTGTCTATTTACCTGGTGGCGATACTTTGTCTTATATCTTTATAAGTCCGAACAAGCTTTTCACATTGATTTTTGCTCAAAAAATTCGGGATTATGTAAACATCAGGTTGATTTTGTCCTGTTATTTGCTCTCCCTGGGCTAATTTTATCTTCCTTTTTATCCTGGTCCATTCCATCTCGTCAAATGTACATTCTCTTTCGGCTTCCAAATAGTAAAGTAAATGCCATAAATTTCGGAGAAGGCAATTGCTCAACTGACTCGAGCATGTCTTTTCTTCAGCACGGGATAATAGTCTTCTATAAAACGACTGGTGAGGACTATAGGAAAGAAAAGAATTCTGCAGACGCTTCGAATCCCGTAAGATTTCCTCCAACATTTCGAGGCTTTTCGGCTCATTTTCACAGCTTGAAAATGCAGACTTCATTTTTACTGTGAAGATTAAAACCAAAGAACATGCTAAATTCATGATTATTTTGTCAAGACTTGTACTTCACGAGAAGGGATACTTGGATAATCAAAAACCCTGGCTTGCGAGGTTGTATCCTGCCGTATATATGCATGCATGCCAAGGACGTGCCGAAAAATGCTACATAGAAGCAGAAACCTTTCATTTAACTAATTACAACATCTGCGCACATCTGGCTCACAAAGTGACTCGTTCTTAACATATAACAAATGACGTCAAAGAGTCAATATAAGATACTAAATTGCGCGTGTTTCGCCATACAACTTTGATAATAATAATCATATTCAGTCCTTCAAGCTCTTAGCAGCCGGTTGATAACAGCAAAGTTTTTGCATGAGAATTCTCCACTTCATAACTGAAAAATAAGAAATCAAAACAAGTGACTGCACGCGCAAAACTGTCAACGTTGTCAACGTGTAGGGATGGCAACAAACTTGAAACTGATGAATTTGGGGTGGTAATTGTAGTCGTATTATTGTGATACACACATATGGCCAGCACAATGACCGTCTTCGCTACAGAGGCCAGGGACTTAACTAGATGCAATAATTGAGGGATGTTGGGTGTAGAAGGTTGGGGTGGAAAATTCAAACATTCATCAATTAATATAGCTCAGTGGTCTATATAATATTCTTTTGTAGAGATTGCGACTGAAAAGAAATCCATCGGGCAAAATTGAATGTATAAATACGACCACCCCCCCGATTATCGCAATATAGTTACGTCCCAAAATGCGAGTTACATTACAAAGTACAATTTCTTTCAAACGAGCGTGTTATGTATCTTGTCTATCTTATGTTCAGCTAAAACCTCTACAGAGTATATGTATAATGTGATTATAATTAACTTACTGCTCAATACTTGTCAAAGGAAAGTTCCAAAGGAAAAATATGAAAACTAACCTAAATGTCTTTCAGTATAGTTTCGTTTTGGATATCTGAATCTTTTCAGTATATCAGTTGTAATTAATCTGTAGAGTTTATGAAGTGTATCTTAATGTGGAATTTAAGAAGCACATCCAAGGGCGCAAAATCTCGCCAAAGTCGCAAGAAGCTAAATTGTGAGGGTGTACATTCATAGATTTATGATCCAATGTACGCAATCCAAACAATCGCTATCAAAAGAAACCACTCCAGCATATGCATATTCATTTGGCACAATATATTTTGACGGTTCTTGATATGTTAAAAAATATAGTGATTTAAGATGCAAACAAAGCGGTTGTTTACGTTACGGAATGTTCCCCACCAGAGTTCCCCACTTTTAAGTTTTAACAATAGAATCAGCAATACTGAATAGATGTTATAACTTACGTCACACCTCCCAGAATCCCTAGCGCATCCATATTCCATACCGTCTTATTTCCATATTGCGCGTGCAAGTGGTGTAACACTGTAACTGAAAAGCACAGGCCAAAAACATGGTTGATTTAACAGAGCATGAAATAAAAATAAATATAAAATCCATCGGATTTCAACACCATCCACCAACATCCAGTCCACAGGCATGTTGAGAAAGGTAACGTCATATCTTCGAATGCACTGAATGCATTTTTGCAAACCATAAAGCTGTATTTGCCCCATTTCTCAAGGGCAACGCGAAGCCTAAGGGGTTGTTTTCAGAGTGGTTTTGAGGCGTTCAAGGCCCCCAGCATTGCATGATAAGTTTATCAGTATTTGACAGAAAAACAATATGTCGATATGCTCCACTATTTACAGCATTTACAACTATACACGCACATCCTTGTTTCAGCTGAAAACAAACTCTGACTGAAATTGATGAAATAACCGATTCCTACCGATCCTACGACATTGTCATTGAGTATAGGGTTAATATGCTAGCCTAGATTATAGGGGTTTTATGCTATTTTCCAGTGTCTTGGTCACTACAACTGTTTACTGTTTGTCATGCAGAATTTTTCCTGCTGTACGTCTGGCATATATGCAAACTCTATTTGTACGGGTATATTACCCGTATGGTACCCAGAACGAATGGAATCCTGACCACACAAAATTAACAATCTCAAAGAAATATGGCCTGAAATATATAGGGAAACATTCAAATTTGGAACATTCAAGTGCACTTGTTCGAAAGTGTACTTCCAAGTAAGAAATATATTGTTTTAAATAGTTTGGATTAAGTTTAGTTTTGGATTAGGGTTTTAAAGTCGTAAATTAGGTATATAGTTAAATGCTAAGATTCAATTGTTATTTTTCATACATATATCATCTGGCAGGAATTACTGTTTTTTATGCACTGTCTTTGTGAACAAAGTGCCCCCTCAAAGCATCAACTTGCTAATTGAGCAAGGCCTATTGTGCTGGAGGAAAGAAACTTTTTGAGAGAAGTAATAATATACTTCTTTAAAAAAAAAAGCTATATCTACTCAGGTGCCTTAGGTGTAAGATAATTCTTGTCTCCTAGAAGAGAGTTGGTCAGAGACCAATCAATATTGATCACAAACTAAGCAACATTTCAACAGCAGTTTGTCAACATTTAGAATTTTAATTGAATAAAAAAACACAAAAGACAATGCTTCTTGTCAATTCAATTAAAATTCCAAAAGTCATGTTGTGATGCTTGGAATGTTTAGTTTGTTATGAGGAGAAGATATGTACAGAATGGACTTTAGGTCCTCTCCAAAGCAATGATTATACATTTACAAACGATGAGAGGATTTCAAGGAAGAAATTGATTAACACCTGGCTCATCTAGGAAAACTGAAGTAAACTTTGCTAACAATATAACAACTTATTATAATTATTATAGTCATCAAATTGTTAACAATGTTTCAAATTATAATTTGATAATCATTTAATAATATTCCATTAGTTATAGTAAATACTCTACAAGAGTTGCAGGATAGTGTAAATTAAATTTTCTCAAAAATCCTCTAATTATCATCATCTCTATAAAAAACTACCTTACCACTTTCAAGTTAAATCCAATGTAATATCCTCATTTGGGGCATGCACCTGTCGTACATTAATGTTTATTCTTGTTGTTGCCATATATGAGGCAAATGGTTTCCACTCTTTTGAATTTGTTGCAAAGCCATGCAATTTATCTGCAGAAGTTCTTAGGTTAATATACTTGTTACATATTGAACAGAATTCATCTGGTTTCGAATAGCTTTTTTCAGTTTGTCTAAATAAAGACATATTGCCACCATTGGCATGATCATCCCACTTTAAACACTCTGGTGGTTCATCTTCATTACCAACTTTAACAATACATGGGACAGCATGGTAGGCTAGCCTTGATTTTTTGGTCATCACAATTACATCTCCACTTTTTACAAATAGTGCTGAAAAGAAGAGAAATATATGTATAGAGAAGTATTAGGAAACTCTTGCATTGTCATGTTACAGCAGCTTCTTTGCATTGGTCTTATTTGTATAGTAGGGGAAAGGTTAAAAAATCACTTTTAAAATTTTTTATCATTTATTATATTCTTCACATTTTTCTTGACACAAACTCAAGCACATTTTACAGTGTGAATGCGCCATAACTATGCATGCACTAGGCAAACCAATGTCTGGTTAAATAATGAACAAATTTGTCAACTATGCACCTAAAGTAGGAACATGTTGTATATTACCTGTCGGTTGAATATCACAAGTTTCTCCACCGATAAGATAAATAGCTGACTGTCCAAAACTAACTGATACCAAAGGCTGCGATAAATCATTTTCATATTTGTCAACATGTCCACCCATACTTGATCCAAGGGGATAATAATTAACAACACCAGATTCAGGTTTGAAGTTAGGATATCCAAGTGCTGTTGCTATGTGGCATGTCAGGCTAGCAAGGTCTCTAGGAAACCCATAGTAAATTCCTGGCTCATATTCAACATTGTTGTAGTCAAACTTGTAGCCAAGATGAGCCCATCTGAGTTTTTTGATAACTTCAGGTGAAGCTGACTGGACACTAATTGATTAGGTGAAAACAATTTAATTAAAATAAAATTGGTGTAATGGCCCCAAGAGTCTATTTCATTGAAATAGTAGAAGACATGTTTTCTGTTATATCCATGAGCCCATGGATATAACAGAAAACATGTCTTCTACTGTTTCAATTAAATAGACTCTTGGGGCCATTACACCAATTTTAAATGGAATTGCTACTATGGGTGATCAACTAATTTTATAGAGAGTTTTTAACCAGAGATATTAACCAGAGTTACTAGCGTTAATTTAATGCCAAAGTTAAACCTCTTTCACTTACCAGTAATCCCAAAATGATTGGTCTTCCTGTAGTTTTATGTCATCGTGAACGACCAAATTTGTCGCATTTGGTTTACTGGGGAAGTCCTTTAAAGAACGTTGCACAAAATAATGCTGTACTCCTCTTTCAAAAGGATTAACAATAAATATAAAACCAGGACAAGAAACAACTTCGAAAACCTTCCATTCGGCCACTTTAAGCAACCCTGAATTGCGACATTCAAAAGAATCGTCGAAATTTTCTGAAATATCAATTTCCCGCACTTTCTCTGAAAATTTCCACGGATTCTCAAAGTCAACTACATCGCTCAGGTCAGGAGGAGGACTACGTTTCTTGTATCGTTTGTACTCTTGGCGTACGGCGTTTAATTTTGGGTCGTTTTCATTCATTTCGGCTTTGTACCTACTTGCAGCCGCCATATTGTATATTTTTGCAATACTTCATGTAATCGATCATAGATGTAATCACCAATGAAATAATCGTAAAATTAATGAAGTCATGCATTCATGTAATCATTGATGAAATCGAACGTACGGCTTACGCGTTGGCGGCCGCCTTGAAAGTAGACTACAGTTCTACTGCCATACGTACAACGGCCGGCATTACGGACCAGTTTCGAGTCATGGAGCATACGCTAAATCGGCCACACTGACAGTAGGTGCAAGTGGAAGCCGACTTTAAAGCGGTGCCGTGTTAAGTAGTCACCGGTGGTCACCCTTTGTTGAGCGACCATGTGACAAAGTCCCGAAATGTTCATGATAGTAAATACTATTAAAGTGACCTTTATTGAACGGCCTCTTCTCTATTAAGCGGACGTGGTCACCCTTTCCACCGTCCCAAATTCAACCTTTCACTGTTTTGAGACTTTATTAACCGGTCTGAGAAAAAGTCAATACAGCAAACATAAAACTATATTATAATCAAGTTTTTATTTGTTAACATGTCAAAGTCGTTTATCTTTTTATTCAAACTTAAATACTAAAATTGTCAGCAGTATAACTTTTATCAATTCGTACTTGACGTGATTTATTATTCATTCAATAACTGACACGAAAATGTTTGTCATATATTGACACGAAAACGGTTTGTTATATACTTTTTAATCGGTTACATGCAGTATATTAAGCTGTTTTATTTTCAATTTAGTTATATATTAAACTTTATGTATTTTAGTGGTGTGGGGATTTCTATACAAGGACTGTATTAAACGGTCTACCTGTATTAAGCGTTCACATGCGAAATCCCAGTGAGTGACCGCTTAATACAGGTTCGACTTATTAGTAATTTTGGGTCTGTTAGAAAATGTAAGAACAATTCCTGTTTCAAGGAAAGTCTGGACGAACTTTTATCAATTACGTGTGCTTTTTCTGATGACGTCTATCACATAGTTATGATATTATAGTCTTCAAATATTGTCAGGGGCGTACAGGTCAGTAATATAAAACTTTCTGATGGAGCCCTGTTAACGGGAACTTTTACATTTTTGAAAGTAAATATCTTTTTTGATCAATTAAAAAAATAGATGGGAACGAGTTCATTTAACTCTGGTTTAATGCAGAGTTTGGGGAAATAAATAGATGACATTTTTTTGCAATCCCCAAATAAACACAGAGGTGACAACCACACAGGTGGCGATCCCGAACGTTTGTTATGAATAATGTTTATTGATTGTTTAAAACACTCAACTCAAGCGATGTTCAACTAAGCTCCGTTCTCTTCATCAACGTGATGGAAGGAAGTTATTTGGTCAGCGTAGTATTTCTACTAGTCCTGAACGTGATCTTCATTTTTTCTGGAATATGTCTAAATTCCCTGGTCATACTTATTTTCCGAAGATCAGTACTGCTTCGAAAGAAGCCATGTTACTTTATGATAATGGTTTTGTCGTGCTTCGATCTGCTTGCAACCGTTACAAATCATCCGATTTTGGCGCTAACAGCAATTCTCTGGTTGACTGAGAGGTTTGACATGCTGCCCTGGGTGTTCAAATACTTGAATATTGCTAACATTTTCCTTGGTTTTTCGTTACTTGGCCTGTTGGTTATGAACTTTGAACGATATCTGGCAACCCACTATCCCATCTTTCATCGAACAAAAGTGACGAAGAGCAGACTTTTAACTCTGCTCGGAATACTAATGACCCTCGAAATACTTTTGGCCTTGGGTTCTGTAAATGACTTCGTAATATCTAATCAGGTTTTTGTGCTAATTTCCTTTGCTATTCTCTTCCCGCCAATGTTATTCTTCAACTATAAACTGTTAAGAGTAACACGAAAAGCAAGACGTGAAAGTGGTAATTTGCATAGTGAGAAAAAGATGATTTCTGTAAAACATATATCGAGTTGCTTGCTTGCAGTCGCTTGCTTTGTTGTGCTAGCCATCCCCGCCATGGTTTATGTCGGCATAAGATCGAACTCAGAAAAGACGTTAACGATAAATAATGGGAAACTCGCGGCGCACTGGGCAAAAACCATACTCTCCATGAATTCCACGTTTAATTCCCTAATTTTCTTCTGGAAAAACAAAATTTTACGCATTGAGGGATTAAAGATTGTAAAACGAAAAAACTACGCTAGCTAACTAACAGTTTACATGGACAATTTGGAGGTTACCGATATTGAATAAGATAAAATAATAATTCAAAGTCTTGTTAAGTAAATATTTCAGGAAGTAGAACAAGTCAGAGAAATTCTTTAGAATGAAATAATGTAAATGAACAAGGCGTAGGCGAGATATTTTCATCATCACGGTAAAATAATGTTGATAAACCTTGAAGAGAGACTTTCGCCAAAAAGTCACCCAAAGGTTAAACAGTTCCACACTTAGTTATTTCATCCTGATATTTGTTGTAAATTCGCTAAAACGTAGAAAATCTATTAACAGCTAGTCGGTCTTTAAAAACAAGATGTGAAAAGGATGTAGAAGACTGAATGTTTGAGTTGTCGGGATATGATGTAAACTTCCCTGAGAGTAGCTTAGGTAGAGTAATTGCTTCTGTGAGAGTAGCAATATACCCATTGTCATTATTAATTAATAATGTATAAGCGTAGTCCTGGAACGAGCAGTAGTTTGTATAGATTATAGAAGGCTTGTAAATATATTTGGTCTCTTGGATGAGTATATCTAAGACTTTTCTATGGCAATCATTACAGAGATGGTAAAAAATGACACAATTTTCAAAGTTGAACGATTCATTATAAAAGCAGCACTTAATTCAATAGACATAAACTGTATATATGTATGCGCTACAAAAATAAACTATGACTAATTGAAACCGGAATCTATAATTATTTATATGCAAAATTTATTTTGAGAGTTCAGTATCCGACACTTTACGTGAGCGTAAAGGTTCATTAAGTACACAAAAAAATTAAGCTAAGTTATTACAGCATTTGAGTATCATTTTAAGAAAAGAGAGTCTTTATGGTAAGACGATTAGTGCATCAGTAACACTCAGAAAACGAATAAAGCTTTTCGAACATCAATTGTGCTAAGTTCAAAAACAACACCTCATTATATATTCCGTAAAGTGAAAATCAATGGGACGAAGCACAGAACAATTTTATCAACTTATTAATCATTAAAAATTGTTTTAGCAGTCAGTGAACACCAAAATATTTGTATAGTGTGACTGAATCATTGTAAGGTTGGCTGCGCTACGTATAATAGTATGTGAAATTTTGAACACTTTGTTTTGCGCCCGGATTAATTTGAAGCTTTATTGGCGGTGGGTGTATATTCTATATATCCGTTTCACCCCGACTGATTCCCTTATTTGAACATAAAATTGTGAATATACACCCCCGCTCTAATGGACCATATCCGTTTTAAACTAAATCGTGAACAAGGAAAATTCGTCGGTTCTGAGGTATACAGCCAATTATAGCTACTATAGAGAAATTGGATTAGGGAAAATCGCTTATTTGAACATATCTGAATAATTATATGAATTAATTATATGGCTTTTCAAAATCCTCTATTCTGATTGGTTGACGAGCGGTCCGTAAAAACCCATATCTGGACCGTGGTCCGTATTTTCCGTATCTGGACCAGTATCCCGAATGTCTCATGCAGTTCAGCCATAAAATAAACCGATTATTAATCTCGCTTGTTCGGTCTGTACTGTGAAATATCAGACCGAGATTTTTTAGCATACTAAAAGCCTCGGACTGATATTTCACAGTACAGATCTCACGCTCGTTCAATAATCAGTTAATGAAGCCCCGCCCAAAGAATTATGCTTTCCAGCGACGGCCCTGAGCCTGAACAGGCCCCTAATAAGGGCGAAGCCTGAAAAAAATCAAAATTGAAAAAAGTTTTTAAGATTTATGCGTAAAAAACTCGTTTTTACAGCACTAAACAATGTTGTGCTGCCTATATTGTGTACACTTAACAACACTGAGCAATATTGGTGAAAATGAAAATTGCACCAATAACCTTGATAGTTTTTAGCCCTGAGTATATATGCCACGGGCTAGTGGTATACTGCTGACAAGGCTGTAGCGATGGGGCAGGCTTATATCTTATAAAAATCGTTAAAAGTTTCATTTTGTGTAATGCAAACGAAGATTTTTAAGACTCGTTTTGGATGCAGTTACGATATCGGCTATATTCCACTTTTGCATGTGCTTTCATAATTATGGTGCTTAAAGTGCTCTATAAGACTATATTGACAACTCCATTCTTCAGCATCGTCTAGAAACTTGTGAATTTTTCGCAAAATTAGCTTTCCCGCAATAGTTCTATAATATGTAGTTTGGAGTGATTTAGACTTTTGTAATTATATAGGGCACTGCATGTGCACGAGATTAATGTATATACACTTCAGTTCATTGATGATATTAGTAAACCGACGGTCTTTAACAAATTTAACATGTAAGCATGTTGCATGAGGAAGTTAAATAACACAAAGCTTACAACTAGTTTTAAGCCTGTAGAAACATATGAATAGAACGTTCTGTTTTGGAGTTACTTAGCAACCAAATAACATTTTCTATCTTCTACAAAAGGCTATACAAAAGTGTGTAATTATGATCTCTGCTGGGCGCTGTATTATGTCATTTTCCGCGTTCTGTATATAGTGACATTGTCCGATGCTATATATTAACTTTGAACCATGCAGTGAAAAAAACACACCCCCCAAACCATATTGCATTTGCGATATATCTTTATAATTTTTGTTTAGTTTTATTTTGTTTTTATATTTTCTAAATTAATATGCGTAAGAATGTAACCTTTGAGAAGTGCCGCGATGATCTTTTTGCAATATAGTAAGAGAGAGTACGCACCACCAATTCGCACTTTCGTAATACTGTAATACGCACGTGATATAAAAGTATCCAAATTTTTTCCGTGAAGGAAATCGAAAGCCGTTTAAGTTGTGTTTCATCACACCCTATGGTGTAGTGCATGTTGCAATCATCGGGAAATTCCAAAAGGTATAAATTTACAAAGCATGCATGCTTTGCCATTACACTTATTTCATCTCATTGCGGAAAGACGACCTCTATAGCTAAAGTGAGACCATACCAGTATAAGAGATCAATAGATATGGATTTAAGTTTTAACTACTTGGTGAGTATACTTACTTTCCTTAGATGAAAATTGTATTTTAATATGATATCGAAGAGCATGGCAAAAATTTTCGATTATTATATTTAGTGGTTGTAATATTACAATGTATATAATTATACAGTGGCTTTCCAAAAGTTTAAATATTCTATTAAAATTTTCATACCATTTTAATCTCTCGCATGGTTCAAATGTCTATGTATAAAATTACATCCTCGCAGTAGTTTTAAACAACTTTTCTATACATTTGGAGCAATTTGGAGTTTTCTTTGAAAAGTGTCAAATTGTATTTAAACTTTTGGAAAGCCACTGTATTTTATATATACTTCTACTAGTTCTATATGCTTAGGAAGAGAGGCCATTTCAGTTTCCCAGTATATTATATGAAAAAATATTGCAGTTTTAAATTAAAGGTCCGAAATGTTTTAGATATTTTCCAGTCAATGTCTGCTGTCTTGAGCTTAACTGCACAGATTGAAAGAGTCAAAATAAATTGTTTGTAAAACTGAAAAGTAAATATTAAATGATTAGATTATAGTACTACAGTATTATGCCTTCTACCCAAATTTCCAGATGTGGTGAGTTTGCTGCCAAGCCTTTTGACTTTAGGTTCAGAATTTGCGAATAATAGCTAATTTATAGTAAACATGGATTATTGAAAATGATTTTCGAAATTGCAAAACAAAATGGGGGACTCTTCAGTCTTGACCTGGATATAATACCTGTATAATATGGAATGATCTTGAAAGGCTATATTTTTTTCTATATTTCAGCTTTGCATACTGTTTTTCTACGTGGGACAATGTAGTTCTCTGCCAGCCAATTATAAATTAGCAGATAGCGATTATATGTTGGTAAGCAGAAGAGGCGCTCTTACGTCATCAGCAAAATATGCAAATCAGGTTTCTTCAAAAACTGAATGTCCGTGGACTTGGCATGTCGATAAGGATAACACCCGTTACCCTAGGAGAATTGTCTATGCTAAATGTGAAAAATGTAAATGGCACTGTGTACCAGTCAAATACAGCATGCTTGTGTTACATAGAAGTAACAATGCGGGAGTATGGAAATTCGCGAATAAGAGAGTTATTGTGGCTTTCGTTTATACTAAACCACGATTATAAGAATATAGTCAGAACTTTATAAATCTTTTAAAATTATCATATATTAATTATATTTATTCCTAGAACATTCCTATTGCGAATGATGTATGTAAGTGAATTCAAATATGGATTTCTGTAAAAAATTGTTGTTGAAAAACAGTTAACAAGGCGAATTTTTTTGAAAAAACACTTTGACTGTAGTAAATATAACTGTTAAACTAATGGCCCTTCAAATTCTATAACTACTATCAATAAATATATATAGAAATTACATTATTTTATAAGAATACAATATGAGTAAGTATATGTATATAAATGTATTAAGGTAAATTATTATTCAAAGTTTCCTGGTAGTAATGTCCTGTAAATCCCACTATACGTACAGGACATTACTACTTTTCCTTCTGCCTGTTTATAGTTTTGGTTATCCTCTCAGCACGCAAAATGATTCGCGCCGCTCACTTCTGCATCCTCAAAACCCTTTCCAACATAGACCTTAAGTTTCGCTAAACGCCAAACCGCGAGAAACATTGCATTTATTTAAAGTCATGTGACTATCAATGAACCAATCACATTTAAAATACACAGCACCTATATAACAATGCATGTTATCAGTTATGCGTGATTGATGATATACAATGTTTCAAAGACATTCATATTAGTTAAACGTTTAGTTATTACAACAAGTCCTAATGTTTAAATAAGTTATACATGGTAATATGAACAAACGTGTTATATGTGGTGTAAGGTAATATGTTGTGTACAGGGTGTATCAAAAAAAACGCAACCACTTAATATTCATGAATATCCTCTTTGTTCTACAACACAAAAGACGTTCGGCCCCTGGAATGCGAGAAAGCTTGTAATCATATTCTAGCGGCACAATCGTCGGTAAACAAAGTCGGGTGCGTAAACCAACGAGCTGAATTGAAAATATTTAACGAGTAAAATTTTATTTACAATTTATTTTACAAGGTCGACAGTTAGCATTCAAGTCATCATGTACGACAATAAAAACTCGTTTTTCGGTTGTTAGCTGCACCATTATTAGTTTAGCTGATTTGACTATTAGCAGTTGAACTGTACGATTAGAAGCCATTTTAAAATCCCAGGGGCATAAAATCTATTGAGCTTATGAACAATATGAATTTTAGAATATTAAGTGGTTGCGTTTTTTTTGAGACACCCTGTATAAGGAGGATATTTTGCATAAGTAGACCCTGGTTATACGTCGCGTCGAAATAATGTAATGTAATAGGGAGTTTAAGATTCACAAAATCTACGACGCGGACGTGAAGTAATACACTGCTATAATTTCCACAGTTTCCCAACAGCGATGGAAATTATAAACTCCTTTTGGTAAACGAAGTCAGAGCCGTATGTAAAACAAATTAGTACTGATCTCCCAACACAAGTAGCCGCAATTTTCATGTCACGTCCACGTCGTAGATTTGGCGATGCATCTTAACTCACTAATACATAAACGCGGACAGGAAAACTGTGGTTTAAATAGTTGGTAAAAATTGTAATTCTGCAGCTTTTTTTCTGGCTCAATTTTAAACAAAAACTGAAATATTTGTGGTATATTCCTAAACTGAATCGCAATTCACAACATATGCACTAATAACTTCATAGTTCAATGTAAGGGGATTCTGCACAGATGCATAATGCATTTCAAATTAGCAATACCATCTATATGAAAGAACTTAGAATTGTACGAAAGATCTGTCACTAAAGAAAATTTAAAACAGTTTATGCGGCAAAAATTTTATTTTGATAAAATAATTGATAAAAATTATTACATAATATTATAATATTGTTACATCATCATAACTTAAATGTGAAATATTGATATATATTCGAGTTTACAATTTTAAATATAAGCATAACGTTCGATGCCTAAAGTTTTGAAAATTCGTAAATTTACATTATTTATAATAAAGATTAAATATAATATTTGCATAAATATTTTGGAATATTGTATACCATCATTACAAATATCAAAAAGGAACACAATATTGCTCAGCAACCATAAACTTCCACACGGAGACAAGCTGCGGCCATATACTTGATTGGATGAATACGTATATAACGAGCATACTCAGCTCTCTCCAGGAGATTCAACACCGGTGTCACATGATCACAGTTTCCATCAAACACCTTGAAAGATAAGGCAAAGCATTATACAAAAGTGTATATAGAAAAGTGATCAAGTATAAAATGGCTTATGGATCAAACAGTGATTCAATTTTTGGTAAATATGGGTATTTTGAGCCTTTCTGATAATACTTAATGCCTAAAAATGTCTAACGCAGGATAATTTAGGATAATATTCATTGTATAGATAATGTTTTCTTTATCACTAGAAGCAAACTCGGGGAAATTGCAATTATAGCAATTCGGTGTACATGGAATCCGAATATGTATTTTGTAATGGTATCACTTCATGCGTAATTGATCCATAGATTTTCGTTATTTTCATTACCATTGCAATGGAAATTAATATGGATGAAGCGTAAATTTGCAAACTGTTTAAGGTGGAGGTTGTGCGCAGGTATAACGGTGCACCAATATGCCAAGGAGTTTAGTGGCTGATTAAACTTCACTAAAACGTCCACCTTATGTATAGAAACTATCACGTAAATCACTATCATTTAAAACCCATCATTGCCGAGGACCCTATTTTGCGAGAATCACCGAATAAACTGCACAACACAATACTCTATATAGGGCCTGACATAATATCATTTCACCTACTTTTTTAACTCCATTTTCTTGATATTCACGCCATGTTGATCTGTCATCACTGAAAGACAAACTGTACGATTTCACGTGTTCAAAATACGTATCTCTTCCTTGGGTTGCTAGTGCGGTGATACTTCTTATCTTCCCAAAATCAATCTGTAAATAATTATTCGTTTTTTGATAAGGAGCAGCACACCATGCTCCGACATGTTTTCGGGCGTGATCGTCTTCTTTGTACAGACGTCCAGAATACGCCGGGGCGTACCATCCGCCACCTAATTAATATACGATAATAATTCGTTAGGTATGGCTTTTGAAATTACTAATCATTAAAAATAGTTACAAAATGTTAATGTCCTAGCGTACAACTGTATTGTAGTTCTTAAAGTAATATCGAAAACTCGAGCAACCAAATAACATACCTGGTGCAAATGTTGACGAAGCATACATTTTATTATCAGGGATTTGTTTCTTTGAATATACTCCTAGTGGCTCCGTGCATTCGCCTAAAATTATTAAATAAAGGTCAGCGAGGCAACAGAGCGAACATGCGAGTGTTATTTTGAGTATTGTAGTTGAGTGGTAGGTAATTACGGTTTCAATCATAATAAACTAGGAAGTTGAAATCTCATTGAAGAGCACATTAACTACGAAATAAAATATTTTTGAGATTATAAATTCGGAGAATTAGTTTAAAAAATTAGAATCAGAACTGTTCTCAGTCTTACCAAGAGGTTTGATCATTTTTTCGTCACAGATTGAGAACCTTTGGCAGCTCAACATGCAGTTGTCATACACCCAACGATCAGTATTACACCTTCCATCTTTTGCCCAAGATTGACAGTATTTGCTGCGATCTTTGCACAATACCCCTTAAACGTAGAGATGTTGCAAGAATTCGTTAATCAGTAACACATGTGTAATACTTGACACAACAGTTGACTAAGTGTTATATCAAACAGCACCAGCAACTCAATTGTATATAATTATTACCTGTGAATTTTCCTGTTGGTAGCCTAGTTCCAATCTTTGTAGTTGGTGTCTTCGTGGTAGATTTAGGTGTGGTCATAATTTGTACCGTTGTCGGTGTTGTGGTTGTTGGATCTGGGGTTGTTGTTGGTGGTAAGGTTGTTGTTGGTGGTAAGGTTGTTGGTTTCGATGTGGTGGTAGATCTGAGGTTCGGTTTTGTCGTCGGCTCTACAAAACATTGACGTTATTAGTTTGTGATAATGTTACGGAGATGGCTGTGAACGAAGCATTGAATGTATAAAGTATAAAATGCATCATTAATAATATTTAACAGGCTCTCGTGAAAGAAATTTAATTTGCCGATGTCGTCTGTTTGAAATATGGAAAGCAGGCGTGCAAGTTGGACTAAAAGTATAATCCGGCTAAGAAACATTCAGGTGTGTGATGAGAATAGAGATCCAGAGAGTGTTAACAGTCCTATACTTCGTTTATGAACAAGCAAATTACATACAACTACATACAACCAATATAATCAATATTTTATATGCGTATATACCTTGAGTGCAGACACCACAGGTTTTTCTACATTTTTTTAGCATGAACCTGAGGATACGCAATTCATCATCCTTGACGCAAAATCCATCTTCTGCCCATGCTTTGCAATCTTCATAATCATCTGCGCAAGGTATGCCACAAATCCCGCAGCTTTTAGGGCAGGTTTTTATCACTGGATCCGGTGACAATTCACAGAAATCGGCCTTTGCCCAACTAGCGCAGTGTATGTGTTTGTCTCGACATTCCTGCTCTAAATAGGTAAAAAAATGAGTTTTTAAAGTTAATAAAGTTATAACAATTTTTCTAAATACTGCTAAAAATTACACTGCATGCTTCATATTTTTACTGTAGTTACTCTCGTCTACATGATGCACCATCTCTTATATGCATATCCACCATTTAGGCAAAAAGTGTATTTTGTAGTTTTCACGTACCGGTCACAGACGGTGCGTTTACCATATTTGCGTCATGAATGGAATTCATATTTGCCTCCCGAGCAGCGACGATTTCTTAAAAATGAAACATGTATTTTGTGAATTCAATGGGTTTTAACGGTCAGCTGATGAAAATGAGAAAAACTGATCTGTCTAGATCTGCAAACGGATGCAAACCTACCTTCGCAATGATACATTTTGTGTGTCTGTGCGACATCTGAGTCACTGAGTTCTGTGTACGGTCTCTTGGAATTTAAATAGCGACTGTTTTTTGGCAAGATTGTATTGCGTCTCCTGTCGATTGCAAAGGCATTCCAGGGGTAATGCATGATGGAATTAAAGTCATAAGGTTCTCCATAGTTGTTGACTTGTTCTTTAACAATGTCAAAGTTGTATAATAATGCTGGAATTGAAATAACATAAAACTGATAAATAAAATAAAAAATAAAAAAAATAAAACAACTGTACCAAAATAAATTTGCTATTTATCGTAAATCTTTATATTGTTGCTGAAGCAGTTGATATTTTCTTAGCTATATGCAGTATATGGCTTACCTTGATGAACATTTCCCCTGTTGATTGTGATGTACTGATCCCTGTCTGGTCGACTTTGCTCATGCCAGAAACCGATCACGTGACCCAACTCGTGAACCATGACGTGCTTATAGTCACAACCGTTACCAATAGAAATTTGCGTTTTCTTTCCTTTGTATCCAACGTACGTTGCCCAGCAACTGCCAATGTACATTAAAATAAACAGTTTAAGAATGTGAAGCGCCAAAGCCAAATTTGGGTTGAAAATATAAGGTGAACATATTAATTTTGCGGAAAAAATGTCTTACCCAGCAGCTCTGATGAACTCGAGATAAACTTTGTGGTGTGGCTGTTTCTTGACAAATCTGACACAAGTTCTACTTTCCCACTCTGCCATCGCATCTTTTGTTGCCTTTAGAGCGCTCTCGATACTTTCTGAAAGACGTAACAGGCGAACAGTTCATATCATTATTCTTTAATAAATAGCAAATTAATAAATAGCAAGCTCATCGGAAAAATGAGAGAAACTAAAAAACTGTTGTTTATAGTTCTTTTGGGCACGGTACATTAATAAAACTGCGTGTATATGCCAGTATAATTATGCTTACCAACGCTGCAGTCAAAGACGTAAGGAATGATTCCGTTCGGCCAAGGTGTTCTAGTTCCAGCCTCTGCGATCTTTGCTCCTTTTTTAGGAAGACCTGAATGTTTAATGTCGCCTTGAAACAAATTCTTTTCTTCATAACCTTCTTCCTTATCGTCTCCGGGTGGACTCACGACTCCAGTCTTGTTGTCTGTCAAGTATCGGAAGTTAAAAACAATACATTCAATGTGTTTTGCATTGTTTAATATCTGCTCTTGTTAGTCACTTTAGCCAAACGCCAAACGTAAAATTTCATGAGCCGTACCTATTATATCAAATGGGCCAACACGGACGATCGGAGGGTTTGGAATAACAGATTTTGAGTGAACTGTCACGAAACATAATATCAGCAAACTAAAATAGATCTCCATCTATAAAATAGAAAACACCATAAACCACAAAATTCGCTTTGTATGCGCTCGACATTATAAGAAGTTAGCAAACCAGCTTTGAAAGAATAGTAGGAAAAAATATGTATATATGTATACGACGTTTTTCATGATAACCATATTACAAACCTTTTGCAAAAACTGTTTGGTGAACTGATTTCTTCCTGCTTTCCTTTAAAGTTTTCAGTTATTCTGTAATTCTTCGTATGCTTCCTTGCATGTGTTGTAGTTAGGGCTTGCGATTTCGTTATGAGTTTATTCAACTCGATCGCTCGCTTTTATTCTCACTGTCTAGCACTCGATATGACCGCATTTCGTGCAAGCGGAAAGCACGCGAAAGGTACGACATCTATCGACATCCCGCATCCGGTGTCATAAGCAGCCAATTTACGGAAATGAGATGATGACTGGTGATGATGTCGTTTTACGTCATAACATGCTCGAATTTTCGTATATTCCTCGTTGACAATTTACTTTAGTAGCAGTAGCAATAATACCATAATCTATATATTTACAATAATAAGATACCGTATCTGTACGTATACCGTCGCGCATGTATAACTATACTGTGACTATACATAGACAAAAGACATACTGGCAATATATAAAAATAGTTTTTCAATTTGGCTCTGAAATTGAATTATTTTTATGCATTATCATTGCATCTATTTACTTGGCTTTATGAACAGTTTTAATGATGTAGCACTTTACGCAATGTTTTGGCAAACTTACAGAAATTGCAATCAATGAAAACAATCGCTTGTGAAACACGCCTCAAAGTTTTAATTCCTGCAATACTAAACACCAAAACACTTTATAAAGTATAGCGTGGAAATATAGGATTGTTATGCTGATTATTGAGGCAAGCGAGAGATCAGTATAAAGCGTTGACACAAAATCATCGCGCATATTGCCTTACACATAGATCAGTGGAATATTTCCATGTTGTAAAGATACACAGAAAAGGTGAATAAAATTCCCCGAAATTCAAAATTAGGTCTTCTAGGAACTATTGAATATAAGGTGAATTTTTTAGAAACACTGAATATTCTCAAAAATTCCAGAATCAAAAGATCCATACCATTTATAAAAATAACTGAATAAAATTTTATCGTTTTTTGAGTACCATTGAGTTACGATTGAGTCTGTAACTATTTAAACTTTAATATTAATTTAGAAATTCGAGCTGATGCAGGCGAATTCAGAAGGTTATATGATGCATACTGACGTCAATTGGAACAAAAAGGTATTACTTGGGTAGTAAGAATGAAATACGATATAATCAAGGTGCAAATCTGTTGACATTGCGTGGTGAATCAGGCAAGCGAGGAAATGCGTAAACAATGCATCATTTAAGCACCCACTTCTCGCCGCAGAGGAAACTTAAACTAGACAAGATATTGAAATTTGAAAGCCTATGCCATCTCTAAGTGATGTGAAAGAAAAAAGTGATTTATAGTCTCTTATATGCCAATGCATTTACGGAGAATGCGGTTCGATAGCCCGATTTTTGTTTACAGACGCCCGCTTATAAACGTAGGTACTCTGATTCTAATGATTTCAAAGTTAATTATACATTTCCTCATCGGCTATATCCGGCATATCGTACTTATGGACGTCATAATGATAATGTGTTCTTCCCACAAACACTTTCCTCGTCCATGCAGTGAACTCTTATGCACCACGCGGCTGTAGTTTATGTTCTTCTGCATTTTTACATGTATATATATGCCTGTAACCAGTGACCAATCATAGCTGTTTTGGCTTTGTGAGGAGTTAATTTGGGAATATATTGTTTGTAGTGACGCGATTTGCCAGCGCGACCGAATTTTCAGTTTTTCGAGGAAAATAAATTCAATTCTGGGTGGAGTTTTTGAGAGCTATGGGCCCCAGACATGTCAAAATGTGCTATCCTTCAGTAATTTATTTATCAAGAACATCATAACATGAATATTATAACATGAAATTCGTAAAAATCGAGTCGCGTTGGCGGATCGCGTCCGGGTGTGTCGGCCTTAATAATTACGCACTCTCCTTTCCGGTTACACTTTTCTTGTATTGTTTCTGTCCGTTTTTTTCGATTTCTCACTTTCTGCGGACGCCAACAGTCCAGACAGACTTTCTGTCCGTATAAACTTCCGGTTTCTTTTCAATTTGAAGCATATATCGAAAGGCCAAGGTCATACTGCTAGCCGTATCTGGTAGGTCCATCCTCATTGTACGAGTTTGCGAAAATTTAGGGCAATTGCTACAATTAAGGGTCAATTAAGTTAGGTCGCTCATGCAATAGTCAATATTAGTCTAAGTTTATGTTATTACCATAAAAAACTTGCCCCAAAATACCCGTGACTGAATTCCAAAGTGATATAACGTGAAAAGTTGCATGCGCCACTTCGCATATTTGTGCTTGTTCTACAAAACGTTTTTGTGTATTACTGCACGGAGCCATTAAGATATAATTCAAAAGATCGCGCTATACACCCATATAAAAATGGCAATGCAGCGTTAAGAGTTTAAAGTCATATAGGAATCCCAATATGGAATGTAAACATGCTTCAGTTTTCAGGACCGATATTTCTGGTCGAAATATTCATGTTATTTAATTAGGTTTTACAAATGCAACTGTCTAAATCACTGGCGAGAATAAAGAAATTATCATCAAAACATGGGCACGACTTTAACTTATGAAAAACTTAGTGTTCCGCTTATTTAGTATATTGGATATCGATGCATGTTTATTGACTGCAAACACGTCACAATGAGAAAGTTTCCTTGAGACTCTTATAGAGATTGAAGTGTCGCTATATATGTAGCTACATGCATTGAAGGTATGTGTAGCCGTAAAATGTTGCTTTTCGGAAACGTTAGTCTTTCTGGTATATAACCCATGCTGCACGAAGAAGAAACAGCAGAGTAAAAAAAAACAATAGAATGGAGCGCTGAAGTTATTTGATATTTGGTAATGACCCCATGCATGCATGCATTTCCTGTATATTTCTCTTGGCAAAGGCTAATTCAGAGCGTTTCATCAAAATAATGCATGCATGATCGTCTAGAAAGTTATGACAGCCATTTCCTTTGAAAGAGTATTTTCAATTTCCAGTACGCATTAGGGATACTTTTCGTGTGAGGTAACGTCTTTTATCAATAACCCCCAATATGCGTTGGAAACTTCGTAGCTATAGATAATCCCCGAAATTAACAGTAAATGTACATAACTAAATACTATATATAATAATAGTTAATAATAATTTATGTACAGTAAATATACATAACTAAATAGTATATATATCTAATAATAGTTAATAATAATTAATATACAGTAAATATACATAACTAAATAGTATATATACATAAGCTTGCACACCGTGCTCGGCCTTTGTTTTGGTACCAATTTTAGCCATGCTGTGCCGATAGTATGCAGGTGATTCTTGCATACGTCCGAAGCGCGCTTTGTTTTCAGACCCGTCACCACAGATATTTTTGCAAGAGCCGATTATATATCTATTATTGCATGAGCAATATCTATTATTGCATGAGCAGATTTTCAAAGGCCGTTATGACTGCATGCTCGGGCGAAGCAAATGGAATTGAAAACAGCCTCGAGCTCTACTAAACAGGCCGGGCTAGAGAGAAAGAGCGATTGCATACTAAGCATCGTAAAAACGAGCTACTATCATAATAGTAATTTGTTCATTTTATTTTTCTACAATTTGACAGTATCTACCGTATCTTATTTGACATGACATTAAATACAAAGATTCGGCGAGCAACGAAAATCAAAATTTTACGCATTATCGCTATCACTACGCAGAGGAAGCTCGGTTCATTTTTGAAATCGGTCACAGTCGCAGTTCAAAGGCCTCCTTGCCGGTGCGAGAAAAGGTACGTAATGGAAAACAGCCTTTTGGCTTACGTAATCTGTGGGCGTCGCAGCAGAAAGAATTTGGGAAACAGCACGCATTCTCCATAAGTGTTTACCTCACGTAGGATGTCTCAAACTTTCTTGAGTAACGTTCGCAAGATTTTTAAAAGTGCATTCAGTCTAAAGGATACTGCATGAGAGTTATACGTGTTTATACAGTCTTTCGTCTTGCCAGGACAAGAACGTAAAGCTACAGAATGCGAAATCATGACTGGAAATTTTTCGCACTGATGCTTTTTTTCATTTTGTACTATAGTATATTTTTTTTGACGTGAAATGACACAAAGATAAGACGAGCAACAAAAATTAAAATTTGATGCATAATATACGACTTCGTCAATGAACGACGCGTCAATGAACAACATGCAATTATAATAACAAATGCTGTGATGTATATCCACGAATCATTATTTAATCTAATCTAACTTGGACCACGTCGATACGACTTTACTACTATATATAACAACTATAACAATTAAAGCGTGCATGTATGTCTATACCTACTAATTTAGCCCTCTCCTCGAGAGTTCACATGCTTTGAATTTAAGATTGTTCGAGACGTTTGATGACAGCATTAGCATATGAAATGTAGAAAGTCTACACCACCAGACACCAGACGTATAAATCGTTTCTTTAAAAAAAGTTTGCGTGTAATTAAATTCCACCAAGACTAAGTCCTAAAACACAGAATCAGGGTTAAAACAATTTACAGGTCCTTAGACGCGATAGATAAAAAAATTGGCTGAGGCTTTATTCAGGGACATTCACGTCGCCATCGGTATAGCTGTTAGATATTTCTCAGTACAGCGATTCAAGTGTCAAGCCTTGTTGAAACACTTTATATTTTAGTTAGTTCGTTTTCCTTATTTTGGGTGCGAAAAACATGGAAAATTCAGAGGCCAAAATCTTGCAATCAAGTGTATATAAAATACGCCAAGAACGACACAAGCCATACGTAACCCATTTCACGGAAACGGAATGATGGGGCTATACTGATTTGTCTCCATTCATATACATATGTGATTACCATTAGAGGTTGATCGAGTTTTAACGAAGCGTGAGATGATTTTTAGGTCTTAAAATACGTTTTTTTCAAACAAACATGAACATGCTATTGTTAGGATGACCAGAGTCACCACACGACTACCAGCGTCATGTTATTTGCTGATTTTAATTATGATTACCGAGTAATAATGATTATCCTTTAGACTCTGCCGAATGCACTTTGAAAAATCTTTCGAACGTTACTCAATAATTTTAAAGTTTAAGAGATCCTACGCGAGGTAAAATAAGTATGAAGAATGCGGTT